TGAAAATGGCATTTCAGATAAATCGCCCGAAATGTGTGATGGAACGCCTTTGGAATTTGCCAAAAATTGACCCAGAATAATTCAGCCCAAATCGGTTCTTAATGGACTCTATCATCGTTGGAGAATAGCCTCAGGCCTAATCCATGATCTGTAGCCTTCAATAACCAAAGAAAATGGCCTTTCGTCGCATAAAAAGTACGAAAATGCCATCCGAAAATAAATTGGCCCAAATCGGTGCTTAATGGACTTATCATCCGTGGAGAATAGGATCAATAGACTTCATTATCAGTGGAGAATAGCCTCGGCCTGATTCTGTGTTCTATAGCCTCCAAAATCGAAAGAAAATGGCCTTTAGGATAAATCCCCCGAAATCGGTGATGGAATCTACCAAAAATTGACCCGGAAAAAATCCTCCCAAATCGGTGCTTAATGGACTCGATCATCATTTGAGAATAGCCTCAGGCCGAATCTGTGATCTGTAGAATTCAATATCCGAAGAAAATGGCCTTTCGTAGCCCAAAAAATTATGAAAATGCCATCCGAAAATAAATTGGCCCAAATCGGTGCTTAAAGGACTTATCATCCATGGAGAATAGGATCAATAGACTTCATTATTGGTGGAGAATAGCCTCGGACTGATTCCGTGATCGGTAGCCTCCTGAATCGAAAGAAAATGGTATTTCGGATAAATCGCCCGAAATCAGTGATGATACCCCTTTGGAATCTTCCAAAAATTGACCCAGAATAAATCTGCCCAAATTGGTGCTTAATGGACTCAATCATCGTTTTAGAATAGACTCAGGGCGAATCAGTGATATGTAGCCTTCAATATCCAAAGAAAATGGCCTTTCGTCGGCCAAAAAATTACGAAAATGCCATCCGAAAATAAATTGGCCCAAATCGGTGCTTAATGGACTTATCATCCGTGGAGAATAGGATCAATAGACTTCATTATTGGTCGAGAATAGCCTCGGCTTGATTTCGTGATCTGTTGCCTCCTGAACCGAAATAAAATGGCATTTCGGATAAATCGCCTGAAATCTGTGATGGTACCCCTTTCGAATTTGCCGAAAAATTGACTCGGAATAAATCTGCCCAAATCGGTGCTTAATGGACTAAATCATCATTTGAGAATTGCCTCAGGCTGACTCCGTGATCTGTAACATTCAATATCCAAAGAAAATGGCCTTTCGTCGCCCAAAAATTTACGAAAATGCCATCCGAAAATAAATTGGCTCAAATCGTTGCTTAATGGACTTATCATCTGTGGAGAATAGGATCAATAGACTTCATTATCGGTGGAGAATAGCCTCGGCCATATTCCGTGATTTGTAGCCTCCAGAATCGAATGAAAATGTCATTCGGATAAATCGCCCAAAATCTGTGATGGTACCCCTTTGGAATTTGCCAAAAAATGACTCGGAATAATTCCGCCCAAATCGGTGATTAATGGACTCAATCATCATTGGACAATAGCCGCAGGCCGAATCCATGATCTGTAGCCTTCAATATCCAAAGTAAATGGTCTTTCGTCACCCAAATAATTACTAAAATGGCATCCGAAAATAAATTGGCCCAAATCGATGCTTAATGGACTTATCATCGGTGGAGAATAGGATCAATAGACTTCATTATCGGTGGAGAATAGCCTCGGCCTGATTCCCTTATCTGTAGCCTCCAGCATCGAAAGAAATGGCATTTCGGATAAATCGCCTGAAATCTGTGATGATACCCCTTTGGAATCTGCCAAAAATTGACCAGGAATAAATCCGCCCAAATCGGTTCTTAATGGACTCAATCATCGTTGGAGAATAGCCTTAGGCCGAATCAGTGATCTGTAGATATCAATATCCAAAGAAAATGGCCTTTCGTCGCCCAAAAATTACGAAAATGTCATCCGAAAATAAATTGGCCCAAATAGGTCGTTAATGGACTTATCATCCGTGGAGAATAGGATCAATAGACTTCATTATCGGTGGAGAATAGCCTCGGACTGATTCTGCGATCTGTAGCCTCCTGAATCGAAAAAAAATGGCATTTCGGATAAATCGCTCGAAATCTGTGATGATACCGCTTTGGAATCTTCCATAAGTTGACCCGGAATAAATCTGCCCAAATCGGTGATTAATGGACTCAATCATCGTTTGAGAATAACCTCAGGCCGAATCCTTGATCTGTAGCCTACAATATCCAAAGAAAATGACCTTTCGTCGCCCAACAAATTACGAAAATGCCATCCGACATTAAATTGGCCCAAATCGGTGCTTAATGGACTTATCATCCGTGGAGAATAGGATCAATAGAATTCATTATTGGTCGAGAACAGCCTCGGCCTGATTTCGTGATCTGTTGCCGCCTGAATCGAAATAAAATGGCATTTCGGATAAATCGCCCGAAATCTGTGATGGTACTCCTTTCGAATTTGCCAAAAATTGACTCGGAATAAATCTGCCCAAATCAATGCTTAATGGAATCAATCATCATTTGAGAATAGCCTCAAGCTGACTCCATGATCTGTAGCATTCAATATCCAAAGAAAATGGCCTTTCGTCGCCCAAAAATTTACGAAAATGTCATTCGAAAATAAATTGGCTCAAATCGTTGCTTAATGGACTTATCATATGTGGAGAACAGGATCAATAGATTTCATTATCGGTGGAGAATAGCATCGGCCTTATTCCGTGATTTGTAGACTCCAGAATCAAATGAAAATGGCATTTCGGATTAATCGCCTGAAATCTTTGATGGTACCCCTTTGGAATCTGCCAAAAATTGACCCGTAATAAATCCGACCAAATCGGTGCTTATTGGACTCAATCATCGTTGGAGAATAGCCTCAGGCCGAATCCGTGATCTATAGCCTTCAATATCCAAAGAAAATGGCCTTTCGAAGCCCAAAAATTACGAAAATGCAATCCGAAAATAAATTGGCTCAAATCTGTGCTTAATGGATTTATCCTCTGTGGATAATACGATCAATAGACTTCATTATTGGTGGAGAATAGCCTCGGCCTGATTCCCCGATCTGTAGCCTCTAGAATTGAAAGAAAATGACATTTCGGATAAATCGCTCGAAATCTGTGATGGTACCCCTTTTGAATCTGCCAAAAATTGACCCGGAACAATTCCGCCCTAATCGGTGCTTAATGGACTCAATCATCGTTGGAGAATAGCCTCAGGTCGAATCCGTGATATGTAACCTTTAAATTCCAAAGAAAACAGCCTTTTGTCGACCAAAAAATTACGAAAATGCCATCCGAAAATAAATTGGCCCAAATCTATGCTTAATGGACTTATTATCCGTGGAGAGTAGGATCAATAGACTTCATTATCGGTGGAGAATAGCCTAGACCTTATTACGTGATCTATAGCCTCCAAAATCGAAAGAAATTGGCATTTCGGATTAATCGCCTGAAATCTGTGATAGTACCCCTTTGGAATCTGCCAAAAATTCACACGGAATAAATTTGACCAAATCAGTTCTTAATGGACTCAATCATCGTTGGAGAATAGCCTCACGCGAATCCGTGATCTATAACCTTCAATATCCAAAGAAAATGGCCTTTCGTCGCCCAAAAATTTACGAAAATGCAATCCGAAAATAAATTGGCCCAAATCGGTGCTTAATGGACTTATCCTCCGTGGATAATAGGATCAATAGACTTCATTATCGGTGGAGAATAGCCTCGGCCTGATTCCCCGATCTGTAGCCTCCAGAATCGAAAGAAAATGGCATTTCTGATAAATCGCTCGAAATCTGTGATGGTACCCCTTTTGAATCTGCCAAAAATTGACCCGGAACAATTCCGCCCAAATCGGTGCTTAATGGACTCAATCATCGTTGGAGAATAGCCTCAGGCCGAATCCGTGATGTGTAGCCTTCAATATGCAAAGAAAATGGCCTTTCGACGCCCAAAAAATTACAAAAATGCCATCCGAAAATAAGTTGGCCCACATCGGTGCTTAATAGACTTATTAACCGTGGAGAACTAGATCAATAGATTTCATTATCGGTGGAGAATAGCATCGGCCTTATTCCGTGATTTGTAGACTCCAGAATCAAATGAAAATGGCATTTCGGATAAATCTCCCAAAATCTGTGATGGTACCCCTTTGGAATCTGCCAAAAATTGACCGGGAATAATTCCGCCCAAATCGGTGCTTAATGGACTCAATCATCGTTGGAGAATAGCCTCAGGCCGAATTCGTGTTCTGTACCCTTCAATATCCAAAGAAAATGGCCTTTTGTCGCCCAAAAAATTACGAAAATGCAATCCGAAAATAAATTGGCCCAAATCGGTGCTTAATGGACTTATCGTCCTTGGAGAATAGGATCAATAGACTTCATTATCGGTGGAGAATAGCCTCGGCCTTATTGCGTGATCTATAGCCTCCAAAATCGAATGAAAATGGCATTTCGGATTAATCGCCCGAAATCTGTGATGGTACCCCTTTGGAATCTTCCAAAAATTGAACAGGAACAATTGTGGCCAAATCGGTGCTTAATGGACTCAATCATCGTTGGAGAATAGCCTCAGGCCGAATCCGTGATCTGTAGCCTTCAATATCCAAAGAAAATGGCCTTTCGACGCCCAAAAAATTACGAAAATGCCATCCGAATATAAATCGGCCCACATCGGTGCTTAATAGACTTATCAACCGTGGAGAATAGGATCAATAGACTTCATTATCGGTGGAGAATAGCCTCGGCCTTATTCCGTGATTTGTAGACTCCATAATCGAATGAAAATGGCATTTCGGATAAATCGCCCAAAATCTGTGATGGTACCCCTTTGGAATCTGCCAAAAATTGACCCGGAATAATTCCGGCCAAATCGGTGCTTAATGGACTCAATCATTGTTGGAGAATAGCCTCAGGCCGAATCCGTGATCTATAGCATTCAATATCCAAAGAAAATGGCCTTTCATTGCCCAAAAATTACAAAAATACCATCCGAAAATAAATTGGCCCAAATAGGTGCTTAATGGACTTATCATCCGTAGAGAATAGGATCAATAGACTTCATTATCGGTGGAGAATAACCTCGGCCTGATTCTGTGATCTGTAGCCTCCTTAATCGAAAGAAAATGGCATTTCGGATACATCGCCTGAAATCTGTGATGGTACCCCTTTCGAATTTGCCAAAAATTGACTCGGAATAAATCTGCTCAAATCGGTGCTTAATGGACTCAATCATCGTTGGAGAATAGCCTCAAGCTGAATCCGTGATCTGTATCATTCAATATCCAAAGAAATTGGCCTTTCGTCGCCCAAAAAATTACAAAAATGCCCTTCGAAGATAAATTGGCCTGGAAGTTGGAACCAATGTAGTCAAAAACTAGCTTTAAAACATAAAAGCCTATGCTTTTACGCTTTGGAACCCCCAAATATTGTAGCTTTTGTTCAAAAAGTCTTTTGCACCAAAATCCCAAGTAAAAGCCCTCAAGCCCAGTAAAAGCCTTAAAAGCTAGCTTTTGACCGCTTCTTTACGCTTTTGATATCCGAGTATGATGATCATATTTGGTCGTGTTTGGTTCAATTTTTTGGACAAAAGAGAAAAATGGTGCGGTCTTATTTTGCTTTTATGAATTTATCATCCCTAATTTCGTCACTTTTCCACATTCTCGTACTTTCTCTGCCTCCAAAACCACATGCCCATCCAAAGTCCTGCTTCTAATGCTTTTCCCTTAGTTTCCCGCGACATGCATCCAACTTCCTCTAAGTAAGCTCCCACTGCTATAATAACTTGGACATCTTCACTCGATGCATCGACCCTCCCCATTCCTATAACTCCTATCCACCCCTATGACTATGTTGTCGTCAAATCTCATCTCTTTTAGCCCCACATTTGCCGCCACTTTCACTTATTAGTGGAGCTTGTCTATAACCCTCTAGCTTCATCTTTTTTTCTAGAAAGCAAGAGGAAGGTGGTGAATTCTTGTTTAAAGGCCTATTAGTTTAGTTTATGTGTATGAGAGTAATATGTTAAATATGAGCTAGTTCATCTCTCTATTCATATTCTGCATAATACAAGTTATGTTAGAATATTTCTATTAAAACTATATGATGTGCAAAAGCTTACGCTTTCACGCTTCGTTCCGCTTTTACCCATCATTTCGCTTTTACCTAGAAGCTAAACTTTGACTGCATTGGTTGGAACTAGTGTTGACACTATTCTATCAAATTCGGTGTTAACACCCTACTTGGTGCCCAAATTGGAGGATCAACATCTTTAAACATTAGTGAGTCGTTATTTTTTTTTATATATAAGGATGATATAAGTGAGTTATCATTTATCCGAGGATCAGGACAAAGCTAGCAAAAAAATTTAAAATTCATTGCAAAATTCATATGGACATGTAATTGGACATGGCCAAACGGTTAGTATGTTGGATCAATAAGAATGCGGTAGGTTAAAGATTTGTGGTTTGATCCACATAATTAGCATTCCTAAGTTGTATTGTGTCCCTATTGTTGGCAGTGAGAGGCTAGGGGTCGATCCACAGAATTTAGTAGTTTTAACACTTAAAAAGAAACATACGGACACTATCACTTTTGTAAAAACTAAAGATTTTAAAGTTTCAGTGTCTTAACTTCTCGTTTGAACAAAAAGAATATATCAACATCATCACTTTATGAACAGTCGATGTAACATTTTTTTACTGCATACTCTTAACACGAAAGTTATATCTTGACGCCATTACTTTGCGAAAATTCGATTGCAAAATTTATGGTTGTTGTTAACTTCTTATTTGACAATAGATGTGTGTACTCCTGATATTTAAAGGTATATCTAGATACCATTAGCTTGTGAAAATTCGATTTCAAAATCTAATTAAAAATCTAATTGTTAACTTAAGTAACAAGAGAATACGTAATCTCTTCCAAGAATTAGATGCATTCACCTGTATTACGGGAATTTTGAGAAACCTTATCTCATTTTCGATGACTAAATCTCATGTTCATTGGGCTGTAAATTTACGAAGAAGATATCTTCAGTTGATTTTCTTTATGGAGCAATTTCTCCATCGTTTATTAAGATATTTTCATTATTCTTTCATCAAATATTTATTTACGCTACGCCCCAAACGTCAAATTCTAGCTCAATCTCTTGCGAGTATGCCAGATCAACCAACAAAAAGTATAAACAGCCACTAAAAAAAAATTTGGAAAACAAATAATTCCTCAATCATTCCAGGAGTCCAGTTAATAATGAGATGGGGGCAAAGGAAGGAAGTTAGCGAGGACAGCCCGCGTACAGCCAGTGTCGTATTTTCCAGCGAGGCTTCCCCGAACAACCAACACAGCAGAGAAGAAGAAAAAACAAACAAAAAAAACTACTCTCTCTCTCTCTCTTCCTCGCTTTCCACAGCCGAAAATCCACCCAACTTTTCCCTTTGTTTTTTCTTTCTCTATTTCCCCCAGCCAGTTTTCCTCGAACCTGCACCGCGTACTAATAATGATCATTGATCACCCACCACTTCTATATAGATGCACAAGCAGAAACCCATTTCATCAGACAGCTTATCACTCAACCCACGAATCTTTTTCAGAAGCACTTTGCAGAACAACTGTGGTGACCCCAAAAAAATGGCGAAGAAACAGAGCAATGTGAGCCGCAGGGCGTGGAACATCCTCCGCCTGGCGTTGCTCTGGGCGCGAAAAGGTGGCGTCTTCAAGAGACGGCTGGTGATGGATCTCCGCCTGGTCCCCAAGTTCATCAAGAGCATGGCGCCCGCTTCTTCTTCTTCTTCTTCCTCTGGGGCCCGAATTGGCTTCTACGGCGAAAGGGAGCTCTCCTTCGACAAGACTCCTCTGTTCCAAGTGAAAATGCACCGCCCTGCATCCATGCGCTTCATCATTCCTTGCATTACTCCCCACCGGGCCGACTTCGACTACAATGATGTCGATGATGATGAGAACAATGTTTTCTACGGTGAGGGCCGGCCTTGCACTAGCGGAAGGAGGATTAGCAGTTGCATAGATGGCAACGACGGCGACATTGTTGTTGTTGACGATGAAGAAGACTACGAGGAGCAATATTCGGATGAGGATTGCTCGGTGGTGGAGGAAGAAGAAGCGGAAGGGATAGACTCTCGAGCCGACAAGTTCATAGCTCAGTTCTATGAACAAATGAAGCTTCAGAGACAGGTTTCATACCTGGAGTACCACAAGAACTGAATTTGTTTTTTCAGGGCATAGCATTCTAGTTGATTATTTTGTATGTGTTGAGTCTTGAGAGACATTGATACTCGACCATTATATTAGGAATCAGAAGTGAGAAATGACACATTGATCACCGTTTTGTGACTAGTTCAGAAGTTCTTTGCATGGTGGTTAAATTGGAGGAGCCTAGCTGGGACATGGAAGTCGCGTTGGAGATCGGCTTCCTCCCCTAAAATCCTAAGAAAAATCCGGTCGACAGAATGACTCCCCCGACTTAGAATGAAGCCAACTACGAAGGGCAAATCGGCGCTAGAAATGACGGTCTAGTCTCATTTTCTCTGTTTTTGCCGCCAATTTGGAGGGTATCTTGGAAACCTCGTTTCGACTTATGTACCACCAGAAACTTGTAGCCGACCAGTTCCCTTAGTTGCATAAGTCGGTGAATCCTAGATGTTCTTGACTATGTAATTCTTGATTTTGGCATTATGTATGATGTTTTCATTTCCTTTATCTTTCTGATTTTTTTTTCTTCTGATTATTGTTGATGTGATTGTGTGCGTAATACGAGGACTGACTTCAAAGGTCATTTCCTCAAACCTCATTTCGTGGTTGGATTAAACTGGACACGACACTTGCTCACAATCGCTCAAACTGTGTCGACTTCCTCTATGAAGACGTCTGTATGGTCTTCATATCGTTGCCTACTAGACCTGGTATTTGCCACGGTATATGGTACGAATAAACCTAACAAAGATTAAACAACTCACATGTTGCCAAGATTGAGGTTATGAGTGGAAGCAATGTAGTCAAAATCGCGCTTTAAAACTTACGATTTTACGTTTCTTAGATCACTAAAACGCTTCTACACAAAATCTCAGTTTTTGTAACTTATGTAGTTAAAAACTCCGCTTTCAAACTTAAAAACTTACGATTTTACACTTCTAGATCACCAACATGCTTCTACGTAGAAACTCGTTTTTAACTACATTGAGTGGAAGTAACTCTAAGGGGAGCTTGCCTATGCAACGCCTCGTCCTCCTGCTTCCTCTACTCACCCTAGCTTTAGATTTTATTTTCCGCATTGCTTTTTCCTTTTAGTTTTGTAAAACCAAGGGGAATTTCAACCCCAGAGTCACCTTAACTTTCACAATCGCGTTTTAAATCGTAAAACTCATCCCTCACCAAATGAGTGAGTGATTGTGAGAGAAGCTAGAGAAATACGATCATGGTATTCAAACCATGTAAATTTGACCATAGTCTACAACGTGATCGGGTAACTTGATGCTTAGATTGAACGCCAAATTGTACGATCAACATCTTTATACATTAGTGATTCACTGTTTATACTTTATCTGATGAGGATGCCACATCAACCAAAAAAAATTATCAGTAAAAAAATTGTGGAAAACAAATAAATCCTTAATCTTTCGAGTTCGTAACGAGAAAAATCGTCTTTCTTTGAAGCGAATTCCTGCCCTCCTGACTTGCATCCTTCTTTGAGTCGTCGGGTGCAAACAGGCTTAGAGTAGATCGCTCTACCGGGCAGTGTTATTAAAATCAAACTGTGCCAATCGATTGGACCAGTAACACCAACAATCATCTGCCAGCTCGGCTCGAAACCCCTAAAAAGTCACATGGTTTAGAATGGTCGGTCAACGAGCGGCCAAAACGGTTACCCGCACGAGCTGCTCAAACCGCCCGACTGATTTTTTGATTCTCTCTAGTGGTCATAAAATATTAATACAATTGAGGTTCATCTTGCCTCGAGTGAGGTTCAGCGGGAAACCACAGACAGAACGAAAGGTTTTCGCTGTTCCAAAACTTCCTAGTCCTCACCACCTCCGATCGGCAACCCATGAAAGACAAGCAGAGAAGAGGAGCTCCGATGACCCCCACGCCAGACTTCCTTACACGATGCTCTCCTCTCTGACGACACACACGCATGAGTCTACGGAGACGATGGAGAAAATGTTGCGATGAAAGACTGGGGGTGTAGAAAGAGGAGATGAAAAATATTGGAATGAGAAAAGACTGGAGTGGAGCGGCAGGTGATGAGTGATACTAAGAAGAATGAGAAGGGTGGAACTTTTTAATGTTTTAAATGTATTTTGTTATTGATGACCCTATGATGGTCGAGTTGCTCGTCCTAGAGGAGGCTATTCTCTGGTGCCAAGCGAATGGGTTTACGGAGGCGAGCTTGGAGGGAGATGTCAAAGTGGTTATTGACAAAATCTATCGGACTGTACTCGCGATAATAGGGTTGGAGCCATTCTTGAGGAGGTCGCAATAGAAATAGGGCAGCCCATGTGGTGGCTAGAAATACTATTTCATTGTACCCAACTACGTGTCGTTTTTTTATTTTATTTTCTAGCCTTATTAAATTCCAGGATGTTTAGATTTTTTGTTCTAATCAATATAAATGATTATCTTTTGTAAAAATTATCTTTTATAAAAAACAAAAAATATTAAAATGTAACTCATTCACTATATCGATTCATACTCCGAATCGGTTCTCACAACATTGATTTGGGGTCGGAGTTAATAATGAGACGGGGGCAATGGGCAAATGAAGGAAGCAAGGACAGCCCGCGTACAGCCGGTGTCGTATTTTCCAGCGAGGCTTCCCCCACCGCCCAACCCGCGCTTACTTTTTTTCAGCCGTTTCCCCGAACTACCAACACAGCAGAGAAGAAGAAAAAACAAATTAACGTCTACTCTTGTCTCGCTTTCCACAGCCGAATACCCACCGAACCTTTTTCCTTTGTTTTTCTTTCTCTATTTCGCCGTTCCCCCAGCCAGCTTTCCTCGAACTTGCACCGCGTACTAATAATGATCACCCACCACGTCTATATAGATAGATGCACAGGCAGAAACCCATTTCATCAAACAGCTTATCACTCAACCCACGAATCTTTCAGAAGCACTTTGCAGAACAACTGTGGTGACCAAAAATGGCGAAGAAACAGAGCAATGTGAGCCGCAGGGCGTGGAACATCCTCCGCCTGGCATTGCTCTGGGCGCGAAAAGGCGGCGTCTTCAAGAGACGGCTGGTGATGGATCTCCGTCTGGTCCCCAAGTTCATCAAGAGCTTGGCACCTGCTTCTTCTTCCTCCCCTCGTGCACAAATAGGCTTCTATAGCGAACGGGAGCTTTCCTTCGACAAGACGCCTCTGTTCCAGGTCAAGATGCACCGCCCTGCATCCATGCGCTTCATCCTTCCTTGCATTACCCCGAACCAGGCCGACTTCGACTACAATGATGTCGATGATGGTGGTGATGAAAATGGCGCTTTCTACAACGACGAGCCTTGCACTAGTGGAAGGAAGATTAGCAGGTGCAGCGACGACATTGTTGTTGTTGATGATGAAGAAGACTACGACGAAGAGCAATATTCCGACGATGATTGCTCATCGGTGGAGGAAGAAGCAGAAGGGATAGACTCCAGAGCTGACAAGTTCATAGCTCAGTTCTATGAACAAATGAAGCTTCAGAGACAGGTTTCATATCTGGAGTACCACAAGAAATGAATGTTGATTCTGGCTGGGATTTTTTGCTCCTTATCCCCTTATTCTCTCCTCTTTTCTTTTGAATCGATTCAAACCCTGTCCTTTGGAAGACTGATGAGAGGCATACGGCATTTTGTAAATTACCGGAGGCTTCAATCAATCAATACATTACTTTACATTCTTTTGGTTTTCCTGCTTCGATTTTGAACTCTGCTTACTGAACCCTGAATGAACTAAAAGAATAAGTGCAATGTTCAATCTCACATCAACCAAATGCCACAGCAAACAACCGAGATAATTGTAGAAACAAGGAAGAGATTCATTGTAGAAACACAACATCGACAAGTCTACGTCATAGTTGCTCCATCGATCAATAGACAGCCTAGCAAGAAATAAACACATCATAGCACTGAAGGCTTGGCAAAAGCAACTAGAGAACGAACTTGGTTGCATTCGCTGACAGACATCCCGTAACAATGAGATGGTGATCAATCCAAATAACAAAGCCGACACCATTCAAAATCATTCAGTACTGTATAGCAGGCACTCTAACTATGACTTCTGCCTGCACTGTACTACGAAAACCTTCCATTGGCAACAATTTATGTAATTTCTCAGCCAAGGAACGGGAAAAAGAAATCGAACGCAAACCACAAGTCACTGTCCAATGAGTTCCCCCAAAAACTACAAGAACCTCTTCTCACCAAGACTGTGTTTTGTAAGGTTCAAGCATAGTCAGTTTCCATTCTGCCAACTACTTTTTTATGTGCTCTTCCAGCTGTCCAGTTGCTGCTAATATGAGACCTGCCAAGGCAATGGAATAAACAACGATAGAATAATTGAAGACGGATACATTAGTCTTATTTGGTTATTACTCCACATAAACAGAATCGTGAACATAGTTGCATCCTAAGTTAACTATAAACTCGTTCTCAAGTTTCTGAACCAGATGAGGGCTAATTCTTTGTTCAGTAAAAGATAACACAATCAGATTCAGAGGATGCAATTCAGTACATACCCAGAAACAAAGCTGACGGTCGTCTAGGTCGTGATTTGAACTCAGGATGAAATTGCACACCTACGTAATATGGATGACTTGGAAGCTCCAAAATCTGCAGAAAAAGCCAAGATTAGTTAAGTCTAATTTGACGAGCTTATGAAAAGTTGAGTTTGTTCTTCCAGCTGAAAAGTTAAAAATTAACCACAGCCAAAGAAATAAACTTTGCCGGGACTCGAAAGACATTTACTAAATAATAGAAAATAATAGAGAGAACAGCGACCTCCATCCTCTTTCCAGTTTCATCCTTTCCTACAAACTTCAGCCCGCCATTTTCTAGAGCTTCAATGAACTCCGGGTTTACCTGCACACAAACATGGAAAGTGCTTAGACCCTTCACAGTTTAAATGGTTCTCCCACAAGTTTTCACTATTTTAACTAACCTCGTATCTGTGTCGATGGCGTTCATCAACATGCTGTGGATTGTCATACCTAAGAATGAGATGGGGGAAAGAAAACAGGACAGTGTGCAATCAGCCATATACACTTCTCCACTGTATCTCAATTATAATGTCTCCAGGTATATGAAATAAGCATAAAACAAGAGGTAGCCAAATTCGGCAAGATTTGGACGATAACATTTAATGAGCACTTTGCTTCAAACTTTAGTGTACCTTCCTTACCCTCCCTTCCCACATAGCTCAGCCAGAAGCACACAGAGAGTAATTAAACAGTTGCAAGCATGAAACCACAAACTTTCTTAAATATGCAAATCACAGGGTAAAGAAGCACATACAGCTTTGCAGCGATGCAATCAGACGTCTGGAAAAGTGTCCTTCGAGAACCTAACCGCATTGTGCTTCCCATGTGTGTTCTTGAACCCTATATTTATATCAAACAATAAGCCAAAAAAATAAAGATCTTCCATTAACATGGCGTGGGAGTGTTGGTAATGTTATAGCAAATCAGTACCTCAGGCATGAAAATCACAACAGGATCAGGTGTCTCCTGGTCGAACTCCATGCTATTTGCCCCTTCCAGTCCCAAAACCTAAACAGATAATTAGAATGGAAATCGGGAACATAAGCTACCAACTGCACATTCAATTTATGATTCACATACCGATCGAGCAAATTCAATCACGGAAATCTGCATGCCTAAACAAATTCCAAGATATGGAATCTTGTTCTCTCTAGCATACTTGGCAGCCAATATCATCCCACTCACACCACGATCTCCAAAACCTCCAGGGACTAAGACGCATGATGCATTCTGCATAAACATCAGTTAGAAACATTTCCTGAAGGGATCAGTGACCACTGAAACAAAAATAACAGGTTTTAACAAGCTAGAAATACATGAATAGAAGAACAAAGCCACATAATTAAAACCATCTAGATTGTGCTATGAAACCTCACCCTCAATGTATCCCATGCAACAGCATGAGCTTCTGGTGTCTGGACAAAGTCAGAAACATTAGTAAGAGAGATTGACCTGTAAACAAATCAAACCAAAAACAAGGACTGAAACAGCGATTAGCAGCCATCCAATACCAATTTTGCACTCTCATCCTCAAGATCAGAAGCTGCAACCCAATCAATTGATGGTTTCAATGAACACGCAATGCAAGCATGAAGAAGGGCCTGCAAGGAAGGCACAGAAAGTTAGGCCCACCACAATAGCTAACACAAGAGTTCTCAAATAAGCCACAACATGTCAGCCAGTAAGTTCATTGATAAACTATAATTGATCAGTATCATTCTAAGAACGTGACATAGATATATCTTCTGTAAGATTTCCTTGTTGAGATGCAACATGAATCTGCATGAGTTATTTATTTTCGCGGAAAAAAAAATCTGACACAGCATCAAAACAATAGAAAGGTTGGATGCCACCCACTTTAAGTTCATATGTTCCACATCTCTTCACCTAATTGTGAAAACCTAGAGACAATCTTATTATTCAACATCCTTGATTTACTGACGCAAGTATATTTGTTGGTAAGTTCAAACCCAGCTTAGGTGACACACCTTCACAACAGAAAGGTATGAATCTGTTAGACCAACATACTTCCCCACCAGTGCAATCCTCACCTGCAACAGAAAAAATGTCCTAAACTCCAGATGAAGTAAAGAGGAAACACACAGAACAATCATACTATCTGATAGTAGTACTCACAGAATTTTTTAGATTATCATATGTCTCTGCCATCTCGGTCCAATCTCGTAAATCAGGAGGCATTGCAGCACTAAAAGAAAATTATCAATATTTCATATAAGCAACTTTCAGCAGTAATTTCCCAACTGGAGTGTCATGTTGCACTTAAAGTCATATACAGGCCAAAAAGTAAACTGAAAACAGCTATAGAACAGCAGCACTTACATACTCAACAAAGGCTACACTTGCATCATTAATTAAACTCTCATAACGCTAAGGGAGGAAAAAGTATTAAAAAAAATAGAAGCACAAGGCTGAGATAGATTACTGCATACATTTCAATATTCAGGTATCATATGACAATTACAGGAAAATAATCACCTCACTAAGTTTAGCTGTTTAAGGATCGCATGATGAGCATTTTGATTCTGTCAAAAAAAATATAAATAGAATAAAATATCAGTTTGATATCTCAAATTGTCAAACTCTGACAGTAGCAAAGACTTATATTGCACTCACCATAAGTAGCAGAGGAACGTGCCAAATATTTGGGACGTCATGGATATTAAGAATATTAGCTTCCTGAAGAACAGGTGGAGGCATTTAGTCAACCAGGTAAGAAAGGCTCTATGATCAAAGAGGCTATAAGTCATGGTTCACAAATTTACCGGAACATGGCAAAACTGAGATAGTTTCTCCTTAGTACTCTGCAGCAAAGGCTGCAAAAGAAGATATGTGTGAGTGTACTGGTTTGATAAGGATCAAAGTTATATGATTGAATGGTTCTCTTTTCTCGGCAATAATGAGCAAGAACTTTCTCTTAGAATGACAAGGCCATCATGGTTTCAAGTAGAGAAGGAATAAAACCTGAGCTGAGCGACATGCCAATAGATGAGGAGTCAAACCTAATGCTCTGAGTTCCCGCACACTATGTTGTGTAGGCTTCGTCTTCTGCATGCACAGAGAAGCCAAATTCATTGCCACAACTAATCACAAAGATCCTCCTCAATGTGACACATTAGGATGTCATAGGAACATTACTTGCTCTCCAACAACACCAAGTACAGGTATCAAGCTCACATGAATGAGACAAAAGTGGTCTTGTCCTGCAATGGATGATGTGAAATAGAGATAATCATAAATAGCTTCTTAAAGAAGTAATCATGTTCAACTATAACTCAACTAGCTCTGTGCAATCACATTCTGACACCTATGCATAGGAAGTAAAACTTGAACTCTGAGATCCATGAAAATGCAACATTGGGGAGCATTTACAGCATTCCATGAAAATAAAGCACTTAATATACCAACAGAAAAGGATAGTTGTCTCAAAGCTTCAATGAATGGCATCGATTCAATGTCACCTGTCATCATAACAAACAACGGAGTAAGTTTCACTGTTTAACATCATACAGCAGCGAGAGATTGTCTTTCCCAAGGCTTACCCACAGTTCCTCCCAACTCTATGACACAGACATCAGCGGGATCTTCCGCACCATCTACGGGAATTTGAGAAACTGACACGATCCAGTTCTTAATGGCATCCGTAATGTGAGGAACCACCTGGGAACTCAGGGTCCAAGCATGAATAAAGTTTTAAAACCAATACGTTCAGGACAGAGCTAAGTACCCTGACAAGAAAGAAGTATCACCTGAACAGTTTTTCCAAGATAATCACCTTTCCTTTCCTTCTCAATGACAGACTGAATACAATCAAAAGAAAGCGTTGGGTCATATTGGATAGCTTATGAGACCAGGGAATAGAAAGAACTCTGCAGGCATTTGAAAATCCACGCACCTGAAATATCTTTCCAGTCGTAATATTATTGTCTTTTGTAAGTGTGACATCGAGGAAACGCTCATAGTTGCCCAAATCTAAATCAACCTTTTAAGAGAAACCAAGGTACAAACCTGTTAATATAATTATCAAGACAACTGTTCAATAAGTGTAAACATCCAAGGACACTATCAGAAAAGGGCTTGAACAGAAAGTTGAGCGCCAAAAGAAGAAACAGAAGCTGGATGAGACAAACCTCTCCCCCGTCATCAAGAACAAAAACCTCCCCATGTTCAAAAGGTGACATGGTACCAGCATCAGTATTCAAGTAAGGGTCTGCAGGACATAGAAGCATGAAAATTTTATTCCATAAGAAGCAGCCCTCGCATGTGATCGATGTACCAGTGGAAAACCCCCCACCAAAGTGAAAATTTACAGGCAAAAAAACGAGCAGAGTTGAAAAGCAGCGAACAATTCTAGCCAAGCCCTAAAGAACAGAACCCATTGCTCACACTCGAAAACTGAAGGTACCAAACTATCAAACATGAAGGCGTAACAAAACAAGTGCAAAACCAAGAACCTATTTTGATGGAGGTGACACGCAGGCCGCAAGCTTTGAGGACGACGCCTATGCTGCTAGCTGTGACGCCCTTGCCAAGTCCACTCACCACTCCGCCGGTCACCAGCACGTACTTCATTATCGCTTCTTTCAAGCTCTTGCCCTCCCTTTCCGGCGCGAGTATAGAATGCACTCCGACTGTTTGTGTATATGTCTCAGAAGACCCGAGGGTTGGGTGGCCTTTGAACCTTGACAAACCTAAAGACGGGAGGGAGAGCGGACTACTTAAAAGCTCGCGGTTGGGGGTATTTATATTTTGGCCTCTATTTTATTGGGTTTTTCTCTCATTCGCTTTATGATTATTTTACTCATTCGCTTTTGTTATTGTTTTTATATTTGATAACCTAGGAATTTCAGCCCCACATGCCGCTTGAGCGACACAAGGTTGTCAAACCGGTTTGTGTCAGTATGCCGTTTAGTAAGTGGAATGACTCGACTGGTGGTACATATCGGTTTGTGCCGGTTCATGCCGGTTAATATTACAAATAATTTACAAATACTCATATTTAAGCACGACATTTAACGTCAATACCTAAATATTTGTACTTGAATCCAACAAATAACATCAACATTTAACTTTTTAACACATAAAATAAATAATAAATTACTTTTTATCAAATAAATTCACTAATATAACATCATTTACTTAGAGATTCGTATATCAATTATGTCGGTCATACCAGTGATGTCATACCGGTTTTATGACCGGTACAGGTTGAACCAGGTTCAACCAGTGACACGTCGGCCGGCGTGACAACCATGAGCTACATCGAGGCCTACTAAACCACGGGGGTACCTGCATGCTATTGTTTTTTATTATTGTTTTTATTATTGTTTTGATACAATTTGTGTATATGTTTTCTTTCCTTGAATACAATTGTGCTTTCCTTGAATACAATTGTGTATATCTTTCGTGGAGTATTAAGATTAGAGTTGTCATTTATCAATATGTTTTTTGGGTAGAATTGGGAGTCACAATGTGGGAGTGGGAGTGGAGGGAGAACGACATTGTTCCTTATTAATGCTTGTGTGTCTAAGTCGTAGCGGTTAGTGCAGGGCACGATCAGTGATCGGTTATTTATCGACAACCGCCTGATTATCGGCCAAGTCCATTATAATCAAGCGACACCGGTAACCGAGGCTCTTGGAAGGGTTTTTTGTTAGCCAAGTACCCGAGTTTAATGAATGCGTTTATGCGGTTACTCAGTTTAACAACCCCGCCTACAACTCACCCAATGGTAATCTCGTAAACTCTGACTTAATCTGTCAAATTAAAGACAAATGTATCTCTTAAGTGTGAGGGGATATTCCTTGCATTTTTTTAAACGTCCCTTAATGATGTCGTCATTTGATTGATTGCTTCTCTATGACGATGAATGAATGCTTTTATGATTATTTATGAGAAGGAGAATTTGTGTATGGTGGTTGTTTGGTGTAATAGCAACTTGCTTGAAACCTCAGATATTGCTCTAATTTTTTTTTTTCAAGAGGGTTCCAAGAAAATTCACTAAAACGGCGTCATTTGGTTTAGAATTTGTAAATCGATCATTTATTTCATACGGGTGATGTTCACAACGATTTCATGACCAATACTGGTTGAATCAGATTCAACCGACCGGCATGCCACCGACATGACAATTGTGCTAATTCATGTTTTCATTGTTGTTTAATATCTCATGTTTCTACTTTATTTTGAATTATTTAAAGTTTACCATTCAATTTCAATAATAAGCATGGTTGTCAAACCGGGGTCCAACCGGCCGATCGAACCGGGTCTGGCCGAAACCGGACACTAAAAGGGTCAGATCCAGCCATATTTAGAGCTGGCCGGTAGTCGGTCAAAACCGGGGTCTGACCGGACTGATCCGGCTACCGGTTTTGAGGAAGATGGCGTCGTTTTGGCTCCTCCCTCGTCGAGCCCAGCCAGCAGAGAACCCTATCTATTGCGCCGCCGTTCCCAAACCTCCTCCCTCGTCGAGACCAGCCCGCAGAGCAGAGAACACCTGCCCCAGCACAGCAGCCGCTCGCCGTCGGCGCTCCTCTCGTCACGCCACGTCGGCGCTCCAGTCGCCACTCCTCGCCGCTGCAAGCCTCGTGGAGTTTGAGGGCGTGAAGCAAAGACACGGCGAATGCCCCGGTTCCGTTGAAGAAGAGCATCGGGATGCAGAGTCTGTCGGCGGTCTCTGTAGCCCAGGTGAAGAAGACGTCGGCGACGATGCAATCCGGCCGCCACTGCCGGAGGAGATCCTCGACAGGGCGCTGGAAAACGGCCATGGACTTGAAGAACGGGATCGTGAGCTCGGGGGATTTGATGGCGTTGACGTTCTCGCAATCCGGCAGCCCTGCCTCTGCACAGGGGAATTCGATAATGTGGGTTTCGATTGGAAGACCCAATTGGGCGTCGCGGCGGATCTTGCCGGAGAAGAGAGAGGCGTTGAGGGGAGTTGTGATGATCGTTGACTTGACGCCGCGGCGGGCGAAGAGCCTCGCCATGTCTGTGATTGGGATCATGTGGCCTTGAGCCATGAAAGGGAGGAAGACGATGTGGAGCGGAGGTGGATCCATTGAATTTGGACCTAGAGAAAGGGCAGTGAAGAACTTGAGTGAAGTGGGGTGAGGAGGGTGGAAAAACCGGCTTAACCCGGTTGAACCCCGATCCGATCATTAAACCCCAAACCCCTTGTCAAACCGACCGAATGACTTAACCCGGTTTGACAACCTTGATAATAAGATAAGAATATATATTTTGGTAAAGAATTATTTGGGTCAGAATTAAGAATAATAATAATAATAATAATAATAATCGGTTATTCGATTTTCTCTGTAACACAGGTTCCCATGTCGCATCACTTCGGCCGAAGACAAAAGCGAAGACGGCGAGCTTCTGCTTTCTCACCTTCTGGAACTGATGATCCCACCTCCCAAATTTTGCACCTGTGAGCTCGCCTAGGAAAGTTTCAGCTGTTTCTAGCGATTGGGAATTCGTTGCTTCTTCCATTTCCATTTCCCGGGCTTCGGAGAATTTCCCCATTTTGATGATATAAAAGAGCGAAAGTCGGGAAATGGGGTCGGATCCGAATTCACCATCGCCGTCTTCCAATGGGAAGCGAAGCCGAGATCGTGAAGATGAGGTCTACCTCGACAATCTTCACTCTCACAAGCGTTATCTGAGCGAGGTATCGTTCCCCTCTTTCTTCTCCAAAACCCCGAAGTTTGGAGCTGTTTATTGTTTTCCCGCAATGCCCGTTTTCGTGTACGGAAGAATCTTTTGCCTGGTTTTGGTTTCAGTGTTGAGGAACTTAGTTTTTGTGAGTTCAATTTGGGCAGATGATGGCGTCTAGCTTGAATGGATTGACGGTCGGGGACTCACTGACTGATAATCTTATGGACTCTCCAGGGAGGTCTGAAAGCCCTTATTACTTTAGGTGAGCTCTCTCTATTGTTATGCCATTCCTCTACTGTTTTGTTGGCGTGAGCCAGAGTTCCACATTCATGGAATCATGGTTCATTCTACTGTTAAAAGAATCCCTAAACTTGATGGGCTGAGTAACGAATCTGGTAGACAATTTCTCTGAATGTGAACTTTCGCCCGTGGAGTGGTTGCAATGTTTTATCACGGTTGGATTTCGAGTATTGATCCAAGATCTGTTGGGTCTCAGCTTTTGAGGAGTAACCTTCCATCATTATATATGTGAACGGTGGACTGCGGATAAGAGCTGCCAGTGGAGCAATATACATGGGTTGGAGATTAGTTTCATATTGTGGTGATTTTGATGTGGTAGTGTATATGCACATCCTTGGCCAGCGTAAGTTCAGGTCGCCTCTGGAAACTCGTTGATCTTTAGTTTGCTCATTCTGAAGCAGTTTGACATGCCGATGAAGGTTGAGGCGACAGTAGGGAACTTTCATACGATTCTCGTAGTTGCTCACTCAGACTACGCAGTATCTCATTTCACAGCGTCGTGTTGGTATGTCTTGTAAGTTAAGCACCATGACAAAACTAAGTGCTAGTTGCCAAGTCCACGTGAACACAAACAGGCTTCCCTTGCTCCGCCTTCCCATTTTGTAGTTCATCTGTATTGTTACACCAGCACTGCTTTGAGTGTTTGATTATTTTCTCTGGATTGCAAACTAGGTGTCTGTGATCCATTGTTCCAAGTGCTCAGTACTTCTTGGGTGGTAGCCGCTATGTTTTGATGTCTTCTGTATAGCAATAGGTGTCTTTTCCCTCGACCATTTTCATGCGGAACTCAGCAGTCACTTTCAACTGAAAACGGACATACTTTGCAACTGAAGCCCACCAGTATGGTGATCTACTTTGTGTTTCTGATACTTCAGATAAATGTTCGCATTCACCTGTTACATAACTTACATTACAGGGAAAGGTCATCATGCACTCAGCTTTACCGCATTTTATCTTCTGAGCATCTCTCACCCCCTATCGAACATGTTTGCTTTCCATGGCTATATGAATGATCTGTTTTTTTTCTTCTTCTTTTTCTTCTGGTAATATACTTGTTCTAAAGTAGACTTTCATATCCTGGTAGTGTGCAGTTTGTCTGGGGATTCTTCAGCGTTTCTCTCAAAATTCATTGTTTCAGGGACGAAATGCCATTGCAGCAGTACTCCCCAATGTCAGAAGATTCGGACGATTACAGATTCTGCAGTGAGACGACTTCAGCAAACAACGCTTGCAGCTCATCCCAGCCTGAAAGCATTCCAACCAGTCCAGTATCTCCATATCGATACCAAAGAGGTTTCTACTGTGCTGCTTCTCCCACACACACCTGCATAGCGAGCACCCAGCTGCGGCAGCCGCGAGGTTCAGACTCCGAGGGCCGTTTCCCATCCTCCCCAAGCGACATTTGTCACTCGGCTGACTTGAGGAGGGCTGCCCTGCTGCGGTCGGTGCAGATGAGAACGCAACCACCTGGACCATCATCCGACGAACTGCCGTTCGCGTCAGGACAAGAGCTTCACGCCCCTAACATAGAGACCGAGGAGAGGCCATGTTCTTACATGAAGCCCATGGTTGAAGACGAGAGGGAATATCATATCGAGGATTGTTCTCCCATGAAAATCTCGGCACCTGAGATTCGTAGCGAGTCTGAATCACGTGCTGATGATGAAGTGAAAGCAGACGTGCCTAGATGCTAACTTGTTCTTTAGGTTCTGTCAATGGCGATGGATTCAGCCAAATCCTAGGCTTTCCGATTGTCTGTGTATGTAACTTAGAGCTTTTTACAACGCGAGTTCCTAAGCAAACAGAGCTGAAATCATAAACAGAGCTTTTCTGCAACGTAATGTGTAAGAGAACAAAAGCAACTTCATAGAAAGAAAAGAAGGGCAAGAGGCAATGAAAAAAGTATACGTCAGTGGAGCACTCGCCACTGGCAGAAAGCTCCTATTATAAGACGGTATTTCATCCTCAAAATTCCGGCTGAAATATATGAAGAAAAGAAAGCTACAATACAGGAGAAACTGTAACTCAATGTATCTGAACACTCCAAAGAAAAAACAAGGGCTCTCTAAGTTCACATGCTAGATTAAGTCGAGACCTACAGTACTTTGCTTTCACCACGACCTCATCTATTATCGTATCAAGTGTCTTAAAGACTGCAGGGTAAACCCGGAATCAGTCGAGCTACGAATTTGCAAATCTTCTGAGGTGTGAAATACAAAGGGAACCCACTAGATCAAGCAAATGCTACGAGGATGTTCTTCTTGAGGGTGAACTCATCAGCTTTAGTTGGGCTAATTGACTGCAGCAACCACAAAAAAGATAAGGTGGGGCACATTAGTTCATCGGTTTCATGTTAACAGACAATGACAATCTATGAAGTCGACAAATCAAGTAAAATACCTTTTCAAGCATCCGCTGCAGCCTCTCAATTTCTTTCTTTGGATATTCAGCACCTTTCTCCATACTGTTCTTAGCAGCTTTCAGGTAAATTTTCCCATATCTAATATGAAAAATGATTGTCATAAAAAATTATTCACCCAGATAAGTTAGTCACTGAGTAAAGCCGAAACATTTGGCAAATGTAAGAAATTCCAGCTGAGAATACTACAAATGCATGGGTACCTTGCAGGCGAACCGTTTAGTTTGGCAACTTCTTCTTCAAGTCGGGAATAGATTGCTTTCTTCTCGTCACCACCAGCAGCAATAAATTCTTTCACCAAGGCATCCAGACTTTCAACTATACCAGCCTATCAAACAAATGCAAATAACTGATCAGTTAGCCAGCTAGAGAGAGCAATATAATCAAATTAGTCAATCCCTGATAATAACTAACTTTGGAGGTAAGTTGCCCATTTGCATCACGACTGGTACCACACTTTTCATTGATGAAAGTAACAAAGTCCTCCAAGTCTCTTCCGCCATCATAATCTTCTCCGGCCTTATTTCCCTTCGGGAAGAATTTCAATGTAGGGTACCCACTTACTCCATACCTGCAGATAAGCGAAGGATGTGCTGTTAAATTCATATGCTATTGATATGAAGAGCAGCTGTCACACAATCATTAATAATGCTCTTACTTCTCAGCATAATCCTTGTACTTGTCAGCATCAAGATTGGCAATCACAACGTCACCCTCCGATTTGAAAGCAGTTGCTACTTTTTCATAGGTCTGCCACAATAAAACAATCAAGGAAGGCAGGTGAGTACCCGTACTAGAAATGAATCACAACTGAATCCTTCTCATCATCTGCGATGGTAGTTATGTATGCCCAGGAATGCATTTATTTATAATGGAACTAAGTGAAGAAATTGAAGGCACGTACAGGAGCAAGATTCTTGCAGTGACCACACCTAACAGAGGCAACAGTCAGAAACAGAACGTAAGAAATGGAACGGAACGGAATCGAATCGAAGGAAATGAGGAATTATAAGCTGGAGTCGGTTATTCAAGCCAAAAACTATGAGTGAAGAGTATTGATTCACAAATGTTTACCAAGGAGCATAAAACTCAACCAAGACATCTTTAGATTCATCCAAGACAATCTCATCAAAGTTCTCTGTTGATAATACCGCCACATTAGATGGGGGAATAGCTAGCTTCACATTGGTTCCTGTAGAAGAAAAAAAATGTACTCCATCACGTTTTGTATAACTGTTAAACAATGCACACTTTAAAAGAAAACAGACAATACCATGGCGGAAAGGAACATCTAAACTTCAAGAATCACAATAAGATATACAACCCAAAAGGAAACTAGAGTTCCAGAGCCAACCCTGGGACATTCTGAGTGCCTATAGTACCACGGATAGCGAAGATGGAAAAACAAGAGCACATATCTCATTATCAAAGCGCGATTTCGACTACATTAATCAATTACCCTTAAAGCTGCGCTGAAAATAATTAATAAAGGAAAAGAGACCACTTTCAAATGCGCTTAACCACAGACCAAACAACAAATAACAGAGGACTAACAAAAGCACAAACAAAAAAGTTATGATGCAAAATTCCTAAAATCGTCATATCTTCTCTTCTTCCAAATTCCCATGTCAACAGATCACAGTAGATATCAGATAGGTCTAGAAGAGAAACTAAAAAGAATATTCAGCACGAGTTCACAAGAATGATGATTACCTCCTTCAGAATTCACATACTCAGCAAGGGCTTCAGCAGTACGCGGTCCTTCATACCTGGGTAAACAAAATTAGACATTGTACAGCGTGATGAAGCACAGAGAGGAAAATCAACATTGCAGTTTACAGACATTTTAGGCAAGGCAAAGAGTTAAAAATGATCCTCACTTTTTGGGTTCCAGAGACCCTTTGGGGAACCATTGGAGAGTTGGGTATCCAGAAACCCCATACTTGGAACAGAGACTCTTGTGTTCATCACAGTCCACCTTAGGCACAACAAATCACAAACTCTTTTAAGTAACCAACACTCACACCGATCCAAAAGTACAAATGATAGTAGAAACAGTGCAAAACCTTGGCGATCAAAACAGACTTCGCCTTCTTAAAGCTCGCTCCAAGCTTCTCATACTCGGGAGCAAGTTTTTTACAGTGGCCACACCTGCCACGATAAGTAAATCAAAACACTCATTAGTCGATCTCGACAACTTAAATTCTGAAAATCATCCGCAAAGGAAATCACCACTTAAATAAGCATTCGCAGAGAAATTCATAAACGAATAACACATTTCTGTTTCATCTAATACGATCGCTACTTCGCATCCTTCTCCTCTCATCGCGACACTACAATCCACCGCCCGCCTCACCATACACAGCAAACATTGGTTTCATAGATTCAGCCTCATAACTGATCCACCATCAAAACCTCGAGCAAAAACCAGCGCTAACATCGAACAGATCAAAGATAAACTACCAGCATGCCAAAATCTCAATCGGTTAGAAATCCGATCATTCCCTATTCCTACGGAATCCTAGATCGCACCAAGACCTTGAACCTAAAGAGTCCGAGAACAAGTGATTGGTACTAACCAGGGAGCGTAGAACTCGACCAGAGCGCCTTTGTCCTGGCCGACTTCCTTCTCGAAGTTGTCTTCGCTTAACACGAGGACGTCGTCCGCCACAGCTGATACAGCCAGCAAGGTCAACGTCGCCACTGCCAACCAGATCTGTCGAGTGTAACCCTCCATTTTTCTCTCCGTGAGTTACCTAATTCCCTTCTGTCGAGCTTTGAATCAGCGAGGGAGAGAATGGAAGGGAAGAGGACGGGGAAGTGTCTTATAGCTGAAGGGATAGCAAAGAAGAGAGAGTCGGCCGAAACTTCGCTTAGCTCCGCGTCTGGTTTGCTTACGTGGCGCACTATGAATCGTTCGATTCCATCATTGACTGGTTGCTGTTGAGATCGGACGTCGATGATTGGCGCCAGCGTGGCGTCGTCCGTGCTGTAGAAATTCGATGACGGGCTTTTCGTGACGTGGCGTGCTACTACAGGCGGGTTGTCATTGTTTGTTGCTTATGGGGTTCTGCCGTTTATGCATAACCTTCCTCTCGCATAAGCGGCGTGGCTTTCTAGAGTTTTCCACCTTAAATTAATTGCATCGTTAATTGCATTGTTGATATGTCTCTCATAAGCATATCATACCAAGTCAGAAGATCCGATAAACATTTAATTTTTTTTATTTTTTTATTTTTTGGTTTAATTAAGGTATTAGATGATTTTTTTTTAATTTATAATAATTTACAATTAGCGAATGTGTGGAATTGTGAATTATTTTAAATATTTTATGCTGACTTGGTAGTGACATGGCGCGTTGACTAACGGTCAACGCGTTTGACCGTCCAAGTTAACGGTCAAAAGTCGAATATGACCAAATTGTTTATTTTGATGTATAGTTCGGGCCAGGATGTTATAGATCGAAAAGATTGGCTAGGATGTTTATTTTGGTCAAAGTTCAGGTCATACGAAAATATTAACCCAAAAATTTAATATCAATTTTGGTCACTCGAATTACTGAAACATGCCACATTTTAGTCACTCTCTCGCTAGCCTCCGTCTAACTCTAGTCACTCGAATTACTGAAACATGTCATATTTAGTCACTCTCCCGTTAATGGACTTGGACGGAAACTAACGGGAGAGTGACTAAATGTGACCTGTTCCACTAATCTGAGTGACCAAAATTGATATTAAATTTTTCTAGTGAATAAACATGACACGATTTAGTAATCTCGGTGACCAAATGTGGCATTTACCCCTAAAGATGAGTAGGGATGGCAATGGGTCGGGTCAGAGACGGATAGTGCATATCTGTTACCCTACCCAAAGTCGTTCGGGTTTTACCCATACCCACATGTGAAACGGGTAGAAAATCAAAACCATGTCCATACCCGTTCGGGTTTTGGGTATCCACGGTTATCCGTGGATAGTAATTTCTCTTCCTAACTCCAACCAATATGTTAAAATTCATACACATTCTCACATTACGTAAGAGGAAAAGTACGACAATAATTCACTAGAATGAAGAAAATAATTAAAATAACACAACTTCATGAAAATATTATACTTTTATGCTAAATATAAAATATATTAGAGAAAAATAATGATTATTTCTAGACAAAATACATATGCATGTGTATAATCGGGTGGGTTCGGGTTGGATAATGAGAAACTCATGTCCACCCATTACCCGCAATATTCGGATTCGGGTTTTATCCGTACCCAGTAAATGTCTTTCGGGTTCGGGTTTTATCCTGCCCGATTAGGTCGGATTCGGGCGGATATCCACAGTTACAGATATTTTTGCCCATGAACCTTAGCCTCACGTGCCACTTTGTGATAGCGGGACCTACTAAATCTGGCAGCCACCTGCAATCAATTTGATGCAAACGGGGCTTCGCTCTAAGCAGCCTCATACCTTCGGGAACACCAACGCGCCTCGCTTGGATCGAACCTGGGATCTGCAACTCCAAAACCTTCACTGTCGCGGCAGCTCACCGTTAGACTATCTTACCTTTTGATAAAAATAAATAAAAATCAATTAAGAATAATAAAAGAGTGATTAAATATTGGTTATTGTTATAACCCAATATCTTATGATTTAATTAAAATTGCCATATAAATATAAGTCATGCACCTGAACTTTGCCGTCTGAGTCTGAGAGGCATTTCTGACCCAAAATAACCTCAACGGAACCTGGTGACCGGATTCCATTGTTACATAACTGAAAGTGGCGCGAAATATGAAAGCTTCAACGTTGAAAAGAGAAAATATGTAAAATTGTTTATCTTCTTTTCAGAAAGAAACAACAATCCAGGTGTGTGTTTACCGATTTTACCTTTCCCAATCGCCAAGAAAGAAGAAGAGATAGAAACCAGAGAGGGAATAGTTGGGGCGGAAAATAGCCAAAAAAAATCACAGAAATGCGTGCAGCTGAAGCTGCTCCGCTCTTTCTCGCGTCCCCGGGAAATCATCCGCATTCTTCCGATCGCCGCCGGACGACGTAGAGAAAGCCCAGCCACGCCTCCTTGGAGAATATCGCAATGCAAAGCTCTTGATCTCCATTCACAATCTGTTCTGGCTTTGCCATATTCTCCAATTTATAAAGCACGCCTCAAGGTTCCGTTCAAGGTGAACTGTCCCCTCTTCTGCTTTAACCCTAGATCCGAATTGATTTGGGACCTTGTTTTCTTGTTATCTGTTTCAACCCTAGATCCTAAAATGCTGGAACCTTGTTTTCTCGTCGCCTGTGTTATTTGTCTTCGATAGAATTGATTTTGGGCTTTTGCCTTCTTTTCATGGATCAGGCTTTTTCGGGGGCGGCCATGGATGGCGAAGGAGAGATATAGGCAGAGCATTGTTTGGCCTGAGAGATATGAGACAGCACAAAACCCAGTACGCTAAACAGGATAATAAGCGTCTCCCTCGCTTTGGTACAAGTAATGAGTTCGAGCTCAAAGATTATTGCTCTGAAGTTTTCAGGTTGTTTCCTAATTCTCCTTGCTTTTTCGTTTTGATTGTTATTCGTTATTTGATCAGCCCGATTTCTTGGCTGCTGATTGAACGAAGAACAATAACTTGTATGTAGAGTCTGATATCCAATTCTTGTTTTCATGAACGTGGGCAGACGCATACAGGATCTGAAAAATGTGGACAATTATGAATACATGCAATCTGTTTTCACGGATCAGACGTTGAAGGAGATCATTTCATCGAAGAAAACTGGTTGCTTGGGTCCTCTGCCAAGGGATGACCGTTTTTTCATAAAGACCTTGCGGAAATCTGAGGTTAAGGTATGAGATATTAACTGCAGAAACTCATTTTCTGCAGTGCTTCTTGATTCGTTAGCTTTATGGTCACTGATATTGATTGTTTTCTTTGTTGTTTCTTGTCGAAGGCAATCATTCAAATGCTCCCTAGCTACTACTTCCATCTGAAAAGGAACCCAGCTTCCTTATTAAGCGCGTTGTATGGTGTTCATGTTGTGAAACCAATTGCAGGTGGTAGCAAGGTAAAAGAGTAATCAAGTTGATTCGTGCATATGTTGATTCCTTCTTCCCTTTCCCCGCCATAAGATGCTCTAACTAAAGATGGCCATTTCTATAGGTATACTTTGGCGTATTGCAGAATATCATCCCATCCAACGTCAACATGTATAGAGTGTATGATCTCAAGGGCTCATCAAGAGGCCGACCTGTCAAAAAGACTAGACTTTATGGGAATGTTATCTACAAGGATCCAGATTTTGACTTCAGTTTCTACTTGGATCCATACGTCCATGAAAGACTCTTATCGTAAGTCCATATCTAGTATTATGTTACAAAGCGACAAACCTAAACCATTTGTGAGTATTGATTGAATGAGACCTAGCCTCCTAGCCTGGTTCTTCAGTTCCCACTTTACCTTGGTGCGGCCTTTCTATGCCATGAATAGTGATAGTTACGGTGATAAGAAAGCAATTGATCTCTCGTTTGTTGTTTGTCTAGGCAAATCAAGAGTGACTGTGAGTTTCTTGAGACAGAGGGTGTAATGGATTACAGTCTTTGTCTTGGAGTTCCGCTGAAAGACTCTTGCCAGGGTAATTTCTTCTTCAGCCTAATGCAATTTTTTCTTATCATCCTGGAAAGCATAGAGAGTGCTGCTGTTAGAGAGCAGCACCAGTCATGTAGCCCTTTGATCTAACAATGCAATGACAAATTGACAGGTACCATACATTGTGGTAGCCTGCCCTACAAGAAACCTGCCTCGAATTGCTCCTCTCCTACGCATTCGTTGGATGGCAAATCTGTGGTTTCGACTGACGGTCTAAGTTCCAACGGTGACAGCCTGGAGGATTATGAACTTAATTTTGCAGACTTTCAAGTGGACATGCCGGAGAGGTAATGAAATGATCTTGGTTATTACCCTCCGCGCCCGAGGCATGCACAAGGTATATAATAGTACTAATCATGTGTTATTTTCATTGACGCCGATCTAGGCAAGAGATCAAACTGGGTACAGGGATGTCAGCACGCCCAGTTCATTCGACACCGGAACATGAAGGGCTTCTGGATCCAGGTCACTGTGAGGTGGTACTCTACTTCGCCATTGTGGATATATTTCAGAACTACGGCATGGTGAAGCATATCGAGCACGGTTTCAAGTCGATATGGAAAGATTCGCAGTCCATGTCCGCTGTGAATCCTAGGAACTATACATCTCGCTTTCAGGAATTCCTGTTCCGAATATTTCGAGTGCAACAGTATCAAGAAACATGAAGCAAGCAGGCATACTAATTTTTTTTTATTGCCGCCAATTGTATATGTGGATGAATGTGTATTATATAATGTGTTGTGATCATCGACGTTAATATGTCATGGCTGGCTGGATGGCTTGTTTGTAGTTAGAGAACCAGCCTTTGGTCGTCTCGTAGCCGTTTCAATACTCTTAGAGGAGAGGGCATTTTCATTAGCTTTCTAGAGTTGGAAAAAAATTATATAGACGGAGAAGCAGAGACGATGAGAAATCGTTGAAAAAACGTTGGTTTTGATTTGTCTGGGCTCCCTACTTTTTTGTCACTTTGTTGGATCCTTGAATCCTTTTTCTCATTTTTTTTTTTGGGGGGTATGTGCATGATAACACCTAAGTGTTATTTACCTCCTATTTGTTAGGTGTTTGAATGTCATGATCATCATACTTCGATTATTTTGGGTTGATTTCATGCTATACTTGCTTCATATCCTAAGATTTAGCACAACTCGTGGCCAACTTCACAACCAATGTTCAGGTCATGACTTTCCATTTTACGATCATGAACTCCACTTCAGAACAAGAAACGCGATCAACAATGAGCCCAATAGGTCTCACGGTTCGACTCGCGGGCACAACAAGCCAGACCGCGAGATAGAGGCCCTGGCCCGAGAAATGTTTGTGGGTGTGAACTTGATGATTCTGTCTGTGAACCTACCCACGGCCTCGCTAACCGATCGACGATGAGTATAAGATCTGAAATATCATATATAAACACCATGCAATCATAAAATATGACAAAAGTAGGGTGGTTTCGTTATGAAAAGTGCTATGGTGACTTGCAATTTACATCGATTTGGAGAAAATGGTCTACCTCTTTCGTAAAGGGGTCGGCCACTTTCCAAAAAAAAAAAACGGTCTATCGCTTCAGGCAAGCGGTCTAACTAATGATACACTTACTTTCAACTTACACCCGCTTGTTGGAAGAGGCAGGCACATGTGACCTAAATACGATGGTTGTAGCACACATATGCCTAAGTAATGGGGATAAGAAGTGTATGATTTAAGTGTTATCTTGCTTAGTGCACATGTCTGAAGTTTACCATTTAAGGTATGTGGCTAAGGGTATTGAGTTGTGAGGCTACAACAAAAATATTAGAGATTCGTTGCAGAAATCCTACTTAGTTTCAATTCCTTTATCGAAGTTGCATTTTTTACTTACATAAAGCCGAAGGTTGTACCCAAAAAAAACATAAGTAGGAGCCAATGATTTAAGCGAGCAATAAACCCTTCTTTGATGAAAATTTTAACAGAAGGGTATGTTGATAATTTTTTCAAATTTGAGGTAAAAAACAATAGAGGAGAATGTATGATGAACATGTATAGTAGAGGGACATATTATACCTATAACTTTTTCAGAAATTATTGTTTGAGTAATGCTTTAAATTATAAAAAAAAATTCGTATATGTCTTCACTTTCTCACGACATGTATTAAAAGAACAAGTAGCAAAATCATTATTTCATAGATGCATATCACAAGGGGTGCTCTTTTTGTCATTAACTAAAGTTTGGAGGTGTTTTTGTGCCATTACATTTCTAATTGATTTTCTTATGACAATTCAACCCAATTTTAACCCAAATTAGTGGGTATTCGACCTAATTCGATCCGGTTAAACGAGTTGAAGCCGGTGCGGAAGAATTTTGGGTCGACACCTAGTTTTACTCAAATAAATAAATGATAAATGGAACTCATACCGCCAACCAATTGGATAGAAAAAGAACTGCAGCCAATAGTCCACTCATGTGAGTTGTGAAATAGAAAGGTAATACTTAATAGTCTGGACCTGCGGGTACACAGTACACTCCTGCCACCATCCCACTTCACTTCCTGTCCTCCATTCCCATTTCCAAGCAATGCTAATTCCTTAACCCACCAAAAAAAGAACAAAGCCTCGCGATCATAAGGGAGTTTGACCGATAAAAATTCAGTCTCTCGCTCTATCAGTTAAATTCATCATCCCTCTGCTTCTGGCTCGCCCTGCTGTCGAAAGCATTTCAAAACAGAACCAAAAAGAAGAACATAGCTGCTGTTCTTGATGGGGAAGAAGGGAGGCACCACCACTTCCTCCTGGTTGACTGCGGTGAAAAGGGCTTTCAGATCTCCCACTAAGGAATCTAACGATAAGCTAACCAGCCGGAGAAGAGGCGAACACCGTGACCAAGACGTCTATGATGAAGAAAAGGTCTGTTCTGTTTCCATCTTCTTTCCTTCTTTCTTTTTCGTTTGGATCTTCCATTGGTTTTCAAATGCCTCCCCCCTCATTTCGTGCAGAAACGAGAGAAGCGGAGATGGATATTCAGGAAGCCCACGAGCCAAGAAACTGCACCATCAATCCAACAGAAGCCCACACCTCCATCCGCCGACCACTCCTCTGCCTCAGCAGCTGAGCAGAGGCATGCTGTTGCCCGTCTTGCTAGGCCTAATTACCACGCCAGAGAGCATTATGCTGCCATTGTCATTCAAACCTGTTTTAGAGGATATCTGGTAGGGTAGTTAATAACAACCCCATATTTCCCATTTCCTTTTTTTTCTTCCTGATTTCATCTTCCATGTCGAGCGAAAGTTTCATCATGAGATTGGTGTTGTTGCAAGTGAAGGCGAGGAGGGCATTGAGAGCGCTGAAGGGGCTGGTGAAGTTGCAAGCACTCGTTAGGGGACACAATGTGCGGAAGCAAGCAAAGATGACACTGCGATGCATGCAAGCTCTGGTTCGAGCCCAAGCTCGAATCCTCGATCAACGGAAGATGCAACAGCAGCGGCTTTCCCACAGCCGAAAATCCACTTTCAGAGACGCCACTAGCCTTATCGAATTGCGATACTTGCAAGACCTCTCTGACCGGAAATCCCTGGTACATTACATCACATCTAACACGTCTTCCTCATCGCCATTGTCATTTCCTTTCACGATCTCATCAAAAATTGAATTAAAGCAGCAGTCGAGAGAAAGAAGAAGCAGCAGCATTGCCGGTGATTGGGATGAGCGGCTGCACACGATTGAGGAAGTGAATGCAATGCTTCAGCAGAGGAAAGATGCTGCTTTGAATCCCCAGAGGAACTTGTCTCACCAGGTTCGTTTCCCTTCTGGTTTGTTTACAGATCCAATTCCTGCTATGAAGCTATTTTAATGCCTCGATTGTTGGGGAATTTGGTAGGCGAAGACATGGAGGAATGTTAGGAGTTCATCAGTAGGAAGTGAAGCAGAGCTCGTGGCAACTAAACCATGGAATAGCAGCAGAAGCAGTAGAGGAGCCAGAGCATCAACTGACCATAGAGAACCAATCAAGACCGTAGAAATGGACATGTCATCGCTTACCAGGAGACCGTCGAACCAAACCCACCAAAGATCCAACTCGCCGATCCACCGATCCCACCAAACGCAGCCGTTTCACCATCGAACTCCCGCCGCGAACACGCCATCTCCGTCGCGAACCAGGCCGGTCCAAGTCCGGTCGGCGAGCCCCAGATCGTCGTGCTTGAGAGGAGAAGAAGATTACAGATCAAGCTGCGATTCCTCCCGGACTCCCAGCCTGAGATCCAATTACCGCTACACCGGCGGCAATTTGTTGAACATTCAACGCGGATTGATAAGGAGTTCGAATTCCTCCGCCGTTGTTGGGCCGCTCCCGAATTACATGGCGGCAACGGAATCAGCGAGGGCAAAGAGCGCGCCAAGGCAGAGACCTTCGACGCCGGAGCGGGACGGCGGGTGTGCGAAGAAACGGCTGTCGTTCCCGGTCCCGGATCCTTACGTGACTTCCGGCGGGTTGGGGCAGTGTCCATTGAGAAGCCCGAGCTTTAAGAGCGTGAGTAGCAGCGCGTATCTCGGCGGATCGGAGCAGCAATCGAACTACTCGTCTTGCTATTCGCAGAGTGTGATTGGGTGCGGCGGCGGCGGCGGCGAGGTTTCCCCTTGGTCCGCAGGCAATTTCAGGCGGTGGTTAGGGTGACGTAGTGGATTGACCTGGGTCGGTTCACGGAATGCCCGTTGGAGAATTAACACGTTTACTTTCATTTCTGTTTTGTTTCCTAGATGTTGAAAACAAGCGAAAACAACATTTTTTCGTTTCCGAAAATAGTAGGAAGTTGCCAATTTCTATTTTCATAGTTGGAAATGAATAGAAAACAGAATGAAAAGTAAACAAGTTTTTTTGTTTCGGTTGCCAATTTATGACATGAAAACAATAAACAGGAAACGAAAATGGAAGTGAACAGGGTTATTTTCGATTTTTGTTTGGGAATATTTGTTTGCAATTAGCATGTAACCTGAACGTTGTGGATTGGGCATAAATTTTAAATACATTATACATGTCAATAGCATATATCCAAAATTTATTTGTGATTTCCTTGACTATTAGGCTTCCAACTTTTTTGGGTTATAGTCTATTTTTTATACAAATCTTTTTTGAATTATTTTTTATTAGCCAAACTTATCGAAATACGAAGAATTAGCCAAATGTTAATTTTTAGTTAGCAATTTCGTTAGTAATATTAACTTAGAATATGATACTGACTTGGAAGAGACATATGAAGGTCATCATTCCAAAATTTTAGTATTTTAACTAAGAAAAGAGTTACAAAATTATTAATGATAACGTAAAAATGACTAATATTTTGATGCATTGTGAAAGGTTTGGTTAATTAATAGCATTTTAATAGGTTTGGATTATATAAAAGAATCTGAAAAAGGTTTGGATAAAAAATAGACATTACCCAACTTTTTTTAAAGGGTGACAAAATGTGATATATAGAATTACAAAAAAGTTTTATATTTGATCACTAAAAGTATTTTATTTTATTTGTGATCACTAGAATTAGTTAAATATTTTAAATTGTGGCGAATCTAATATGAAAAAGGGGGAAACCTTGCCGCTCTAGTGATAACACAGATATAGGCATCAAAACATAAAGCAATAATGTATACACAGCGCATAAGAACCACAAGCATCAACACAAGCATAATATGAAATTGTAGCATCAATATAAGATAAACGAGTTCACATTCTCACTCTTACAATATATTTCAAACTAGCTAAACATATAAGAGAATGAGGGTACCACCATTGATGATGAAGGCATCTCCTAAGTTGCACATTCTCTTACAAATGCTAAGCTCTCACTCTAGCAGGGGGTTTACAGGCGTTTTGAGTGAATTTGTGCAGGCTACTAAACTAATGAGTCTAGTCCTCTATTTATAGTGGTGGAACTCATCCAAGACCCTCTTAAACCTACAAGGACAAGGTTTCTTTAACTTGGGACCGAAGCAAGGCTTAAATATCTTCCATTTTGGGCTTGAGCCTATGAGCGGCGGTTGGCACCGATGCCACTTTTCTTCTTGGGCTGGACTTATTTTCCCACAAGAAACCTCTCATGAAGATTCTTCGCGTTTTGTCTAGGTTTGATTGAGCGGCGGTTGGACCCGTTGCTGGGCCATCGTTGGTTCTTGCTTCCGCTTGGGCCGATTCTTCATCCATTGGGCTTCTCTTGGTATCTACTTGTGGTTACTAGTAGTCTTCTCCGTCAATGATCTCGTCTTTATAATGAAAGCTCCATATTCTTATCTTCATAACCTTTTTGGTCCTACAGAGTTATATAATGCTTGATCCAAATCCTCCTAAGTTGTCTTGTACCTTGAAAACCATCTAAAACATATCAAGAAGGCATCAAAGAGTACAAAACACATCCTAGGTCAATTAATTGTTCATTGATCAAATAGTTATGATTTGGATATGAACTATAAGATAAAGTACTAAATATGCATTGATAGAAGGGGAAAAAGTATGAGATATGTGAGTGATAAACATTATAAATAGAGTGTCATCAACGACAGTTGCAGCAATAGCATTTGCATCGATGGTGGCGGAGGAAGGAGGAAACCACTAGTGGCGGTCCATGACAGAGACATATAGATCGAAAATGGGGATGAAGCGAAGCTGGGTGATTGAAAACTGTAAAAGGGTTAGCAGGTGATAGATGTTGGAATGTTGATCGCTACGTGTCCTCCAACTCAACATAGTGATTCCTAATCAGCATTACTAAGAGAGTTGTTAACGTTCATAGATTTAACTAATATTTTAGAATAAAAGAAAAGTTAGGCAAATAAATAGTACTGTATCCACAGAATTGCTAATCCATTACAGGAGTAAATTGATCTTATTAGCTGCACTCATACGCTAGCAGAGGTCTGTTGATTTGAGAAAGAAAAAGCAGCGGCACTGCAGCTTTCCTTGGCCTTTATAAACGCTGCTTTATCCCCATTCCCATGTGAGTGCGTGAGCTTGAGAGAGACATGAAAAAGAGGGTTTGCAGCTTTGCATCAATTATGAGTCTGCAGCACATGTGATGATCTCTCTCCCCCTACGTCTTATCATCCTTCCCTGAAATCAATAATTTCGATCATTGAGAATGGCAAGTGTTTATCCATCTTCTTGTCATCTACAGTATACTTCTCTCAGCTTTAACAAATGATCTTGTCATCTACAGTGTTCTTCTCTCAGCTTTCACTTTCACTACTTAAAATGATGAAATGTTTGGAATCGTAATCAAAATGGCTCTTGATCTTAAATCTCATTATAATGATCTTATTAAATACAAACACAGTCCAACTCTTTCCATTTCAAAAAACAAAATACAAGTAGACCAAACAAAATAGCACACACAGAAACATCCTTCATTGGCGACCTTATCGTTGGAGCTTGGTGAGGACACCCAAGGAGATCTACCAATGTCATAGGTTTTTCTTGATGTTAGGTTACAATCCAAGTACCACATCCTTATACAAGGGAAGGAACATTTGTATATTATTGTCCATCTAGTCCAACTAGTACGAGACCTTTTGGGGAGGACACCCAAGAGTAAAATCATGCGGGTTTGGCTCAAAGCGGACAATATTGTACTAATTGAGCACCCCGATTCGACACTTGATGATGGGGATCAATCAAGAAAAATGATAGAGAAAGTCACCCACGATTAGATACGAATTGCAACAATGGCCATAGGAGAAACTCATATACCCCAAATCGCGAGGTAGCTTGATAATGCTTAAATTATACTATATTTTTGCTTAGCCACATTCATTATGGATATGCTCCATAAACATTTGAATGTGCGTTTTATTGGCATGATTCACATCGTTTCGATATTTCTTTAGCCAGTTTCATTATGGATTTACTTCATAAACATGTGAATGTGCACTTTATATCCTTTAGTAGTATTTTTATACGACTTTCATGCCATATCGAGAACTCGAATACATGCGTATGGGCTATTCAAAATAAGACTAATTCAAAAAACTCCTAATCGAAGAACAACCAACCAACCCAAACCGTGTATGATTTTTACCCTTTCCTACACCCGTCATTCAGACCAGAGTGTGTTACATCCGATATGCGGTTGCAACCGAATTGAGTATACGATCTAGCTTTGGATCTGACCGGAAACGAAGATTGAATAACAACCCATTAATAATAACTGTTTTGGGCACGAGACAAACGCTTTTTTGGTTTGTTATGACTAGATGCGCATTTGCGTGATTGAACGATGGATGTGGCAACATATCAACCAACCAACCCAAACCGTGTATGATTTTTACCCTTTCCTACACCCGTCATTCAGACCAGAGTGTGTTACATCCGATATGCGGTTGCAACCGAATTGAGTATACGATCTAGCTTTGGATCTGACCGGAAACGAAGATTGAATAACAACCCATTAATAATAACTGTTTTGGGCACGAGACAAACGCTTTTTTCGTTCGTTATGACTAGATGCGCACTTGCGTGATTGAACGATGGATGTGGCAATTTTCGTGATATGATCAAAAAGATTAAAGCATTCCATCTCTCTCAGTCTGGTTAAGTAATAGATCATCCACCTTAAGGAAAATTCGTGGATGGACCGTCCTCATAATCTCCACCCCAAATGACCTATGAGATCATCCGAAGGACGCCTTTGGGACCATAGAACCCTGCTCAATAAGTGATTCAGGAGCCACCACTATAACCGAACATGAGAGAGCAAGATGCTGCATTTCCTTCTCAGAATACACAGCAACAGGCGCACAGCACAGCAAACAGAGTTCGCAATGGAACGGAACCAAATATTTACACCACACCACAGACAAATTAAGTCATAAACTTATTTGTTTGACCCGGATTAGTACCGGGGGATTTGTGTGGAACCTTGATCCGGACTCCATCGTCTGATCTCCTCGGGAGTGGAAGAATCCTGTGGAGAGTCGGGGGTGGCCCCCGGGATCTACACTCCGACGGTCAAGTTAGAATAGGATATATGATAGAGTGTAGAGAGAAATGTAGAGAGAGATAAGGTTTAGAGAAAGAACCATAAGTGGTCCAGTGAGGGAAGGGAGAGAAGAAGTCCCTTTGCTTGGAGGGTCTGGCCTCCTTATATAGGAGTCGGAGGCATCCTGTGGACGCCTCCCGTTGTCATGGACGCCTCCCGTCGATGGACGCCTTCCGGTGAATGGACGCCTCCTGGTGGTGGATGCCCTCGGGTAGGCTGGACGCCTTCCGGTGAATGGACGCCTCCCGGTGGTGGACGCCTCCCGGTGGTGGACGCCCCCGGGTAGGCTGGACGCCTCCCGGTGTACTGGACCCTAGAATGGGCTTGGGCCCAAGGTGAGACGCTTTGTGGTGGGCTTGGGCCCGTATTAGGCGGGTTAATACTAGACCCAACATTTGCCTCTTTGCTTCTTGTATTCTGTAAGAATGGAAGGAGTAAAATAATGCGTTAAGGTGTATTAACTTGCCTTACTTGTGAGTCCGCACGATGAGGTTTTGCCCCTTGTGCGACCATCGCTCGGTGATGGATGCCCCTGGTGATGGACGCCTCCCGGTGGATGAGACGCCTCCTGGTGATGGACGCCTCCGGGTGACAGGATGCCTCTTGGTGATGGACGCCCCCGAGTGGACTGGACTTTTGCGAGTCCAAACGATGCGGTTTGCCCCTTGTGCGGCCATCATCTTTGCTTCTTTGTTTAGTATTCGATGTCTTGAGTTAGAGCTCTCAAGTCGTTTGAGATTTCCCCACTAGCCCATTGCGGAGCGTGCTAATATGTAGGCCGTAACTGTGAGCTGTATGCGTTAAGCTGTTGGACCGCGAGATGGGCATGAGCTTGTGTGCATGTTAAGCGTGAGTTGTTGGCTGAATATTAGACGTTAGCTATGTGCTAGGGAGGGCGGCCCCAACGACTTGAGAGTTTTAACTCAAGGCGACGTTTGTGTTGCGAAGATGCCACACCTGCTGGGAGGCGGGATCGTATTAGCTACACCGATGGCGCGCCTACTGGGAGGCGGTTTCGGGCTTCTACGTAGAGAGGAAGCATCGCTCAGAAAGCGGGATGCAGTTTTATAATCTGCGAAAGATGTGAGTGACTAGTTCCCGATATACTTAGAGTTTAAATATGAGCATAGAATTTAGTGAGAAATATCATAGTATGATATTAGTGGGGTCTTCGTGGCATAGTATTTGAGTATATCTTAGAAGGAAGTACTTAGCTTGGGAGAAGTTAAATGGCGGTTAAGTATTGACCGCTGCATGTTTGATCAATGTTGTGACCATGCAGCCTACTGGTTTAAGCGTCAGCTCGCAGCTGGTAGGTCCTTGGTTCAAATCTTGCTGCAGGAGCCTACCCATTCATTTTAAATAAAGCGTGGGCCTTGATGCGAAACGGGCTTGGTTGAAGAATTGATGGGCTGAATGGAGGCGGTTTGATCATTCGTGGGCCGCGTTGCGGACAGACGCTATTGGGTTTCGGTGACGTTTCCTCCGATGGGCTGAATGGAGGCGGTTTGATCATTCGTGGGCCGCGTTGCGGACAGACGCTATTGGGTTTCGGTGACGTTTCCTCCTGAAACACTGGACCAAGTGCGGGCTCGATGTGAGGCGGGTTGACTTCGCGGGCTCTACTTTAAATGCGATCCTGCTGATGTGAAGCGACCGTAAGTTGGAGGCGTATGCTGAAGGCGGGCTTAATTGAGGCCCGATGCTCGGTTGCGCGGTCTTCGGACGCGGAGGCCCCATTGGTGGGCTCAAAATACGAAGCAGGACCAAACACGTTGTGGGTTGGAGGCGGGCCCAACATGAGTTGTGCGGTTGCATGGTTGGAGGGCCGAATGTAGGTTTGCGTCGGGCTTGTCTGGTAGACGTGATGCGGGCTAATTGTTGAGAGCGGGCTGAGGCAGTTGGTGGTGGCTCGCTCGGAGTCAACGCATCGATATTCCCACTCTCGGTCTTGGTAAGTGTGTTGTCAAGTCTGACAGAGAGAGTGAGTGACGTTGAGGTAGCTTTCTCCTCCACTTTCTTGATTTGTGGAGCTGTGTACAGCAGAAAACAGATCTGCTTTTTTTTTTCCCCTTCTTCTTCTCTTAGAGGTTGGAGAAACGATGATGATGTTGACTGCGACAGGCCTCTCTTTGTCCGGTTGGAGCGCCGGCGGTGCTGACAACTCCGGTGATCGGAGTCCGTTTTTTTTTTCTGCTTTGAAGATTGGCGAATCTGGCCTGAATCTTCTAGGCGCAGCCCTCGCGTGTAGTTGGTGAAGTGAGACTGATTTCTTTCAATCCTCTGATGGGATTTTGCGGTCAGAGCCGTCGGTGGTAATTAGTGGAGAAAGAATCGATTTCCTCTCCTCCTTCAGATACCAAACGAGAAGAGTATCAAATCAGGCCCCACGGTGGGCGCCAAAATGTTTGACCCGGATTAGTACCGGGGATTTGTGTGGAACCTTGATCCGGACTCCCTCGTCCGATCTCCTCGGGAGTGGAAGAATCCTGTGGAGAGTCGGGGGTGGCCCCCGGGATCTACACTCCGACGGTCAAGTTAGAATAGGATATATGATAGAGTGTAGAGAGAGATAAGGTTTAGAGAAAGAACCATAAGTGGTCCAGTGAGGGAAGGGAGAGAAGAAGTCCCTTTGCTTGGAGGGTCTGGCCTCCTTATATAGGAGTCGGAGACATCCTGTGGACGCCTCCCGTTGTCATGGACGCCTCTCGTCGATGGACGCCTTCCGGTGAATGGACGCCTCCCGGTGGTGGACGCCCTCGGGTAGGCTGGACGCCTTCCGGTGAATGGACGCCTCCCGGTGGTGGACGCCCCCGAGTAGGCTGGACGCCTCCCGGTGTACTGGACCCTAGAATGAGGTTGGGCCCAAGGTGAGACGCTTTGTGGTGGGCTTGGGCCCGTATTAGGCGGGTTAATACTAGACCCAACATTATTGTTCTGTTTGTGTTGTGCCCTTCAATAACAAGAGCGAAGCAAGAAAGAAGGCAAAATTACTTCTCTCAAAACTTGTTCCAAGTCCCTTCTTTCATCCTCCTTTCCTTTCCCGCCTCCACCACCATAAGACGCAAGGATAGTTATATCTCTAGGCTGCGGAGCAAATGGAAAATAAAAGGAAAGAGGGGGGGTGCTGGCTTTCGTTATTCCATCGGGTCACTGAAGCAGAGCCATCTAACTACATCAAGTCTTTCATTCCCTGAAATCCATCCTAACAAACATAAACTCCCGAAGTCCTTTTCCACTACTAACTAGTATGGCCGGTATCTTCTGCCACCACCACGACTGCCATCATCGTCGTTACCCCCACCACGTGACGGTCCACTTGCACCACTGTTCCCCCGATCACCTCTCCGAGGTGGCCACGGTGGCTGTGGCACTTGCATTCCCGGCTGCTGACTGCACAACCAACCACACAACAACTAATGTTCAGACAGATATCCATCGCATGTGCACAACCTACGAAATAGAATAACAATCGACTAGGCAAGCACGACTTACAGAACGTAACCAATTCGACCATCGGGGAGTAACATAGGCACCATTTGCATCCCAGTAGGCATTGGACCTCTGCCGTATATAACAGGCTGTCAAAAGAAGAAAACATAATATTTTTAATTTCCCCAGTAAATAAAAGAAGACGCCGGCCAAACAAGATAAACTTGAGAGCAAATTTCTAACTACCTGTTGAATACTGGGGGCTGCACCATATCCAGTACCACCCATGGACCCATAAGGATTCCCAGCAAATGCACCATAAGATGCAGATGGAACATGGGTTGGAGGAAGACCAGCACCATACATATATGCTCCATCAGATCTTTTATCAGCCTGAGGCTTAGCTAGGACAACCTCCAATGCTTGGCCTGCAAATCATCAGAATTCATCCGTACATATCAGTTTTAAATAACTAATAGTACTCCTGTTTGTAGCATCACTTGACATCAAACTACTCAAAGTTCACCATTTTCCCCCTCATCTGAGGACAAAGAATAAGCAGGGAGACCATAAATTCATATAAATTCTTCATATGTTTCAGCAAAGTGTAAATGCTATTGATCATCAGGTCTTTAATGTTTAGAGACACTTATGCCTTTAAACTTTAAACAAATGCAGCCAAGATTTTTCAATATCAAACACCTGATGATCAATATAATGTGCTATGTGAAGGAAAAGAAGATTCGAGAAACCAGGACTGCATCTTCCACCCACATTTGCCAGCTTACTTGAATTATTTACTTGATCGTCCTTTAGCATGTATTAGCAAAAAGGTTTAGAGTCAAAATCAATGCTGATGATAACAGGCTACAGCAGTTTGTAGTCTTGTCAATTTAGTTCCTCTCAAGATTTCCCCAGCAGGATAACTGCATCACACGTTTACCCGAAGTTCCTCACCAAAAAGGGTCATATAAGTGTAGTAACACAGTTCAGGCAAGAGAATTACCATCAATTTCATACTTCTCTGTGTCTTTGACTGCTTTCAATGCACTGGACCTTTCAGCAAAGTGGATGAAGCCAAAATCTCGCTTTCCAGCTTTCCCAGGCGGCATAACAACTTTCGTCACTTCTCCATGTCGCATGAATATTTCCTTCAGTTTCTCAGTGGTAGTATTTTCAGGAATGTTCTTCACATAGAGGGCCTTAACCTACCATAAGATACGTATAAGCTAGAGCTAGAATAATGCAAGTTTCAAGATATTGACTACTACATAAAATATTTCTCAGGAATCAAAGGACTAATAAAGTAAAATCTGTAGGAAGCAAATGCACTGTTGGCGGTCCTGAAAGGTGGATGATAACGAGTTCAGCAAAACAAAAACGGCTTTAACAAGAGTAAACAGTCTCTAATGTGGAAGCTCAATCCTACCAACAGTAGCGCCTTGCTTTCAGCCCACAATTAAAAGCCAAGACTTTTATTTAATGATCCAGTTCCCAAAATGAAATATACCATGTTAGATGCAAAGCTTAAGGCTGAACTTAAAGAGACTTATAAGAGGGTCATCTCTTCAAATGGGAGCAGTTGGTGCCATTAGGAAGTCTTAAACGCAAAGAACATAATATCTTCCGTCATTAACAAATCAGTTACATAAGAGGCTCAAATATGCATGCTGTCTGTTAGGGTTATATTATTGGACAAGCGGAATCCATAGCATTCAAAGAACTCTATTGCAGTACCTGGGAAGCAGCAGCAGATTGATCAGGATTGCCCTTTGGATCAGCCCAGCTAACAGTAGGGGTATTCCCATCAAGCTTGAAATCCGGGCTTAACATTTTTTGCCTTGAATAATCAGCACATGCATTGTTAAAGTATAATATAAAAGCAAATCCACGATTACGACTAGGATTTTGAGGATCCTGCAATCCGATAAAGGAAGTTGCATTAGTAATGAATTAGATATCATACTCAAATATAGTCCGAGCAGAAGGATTTGTGAACCTGAAAGCTTACCTTTATGAGTTCAATGGTTTCCACACCAGGGCCAACTTCCTCAATTACTTTCCTAAACTGCTCCTCTGTTAAGATCTTGGGGATATTTCCAATAAATAGCCTATTTTTGGTTTCAGATAGAGAGCACCTTAAGGTTTTCCCCTGCAAAAGTCGCATATACAATGTAGCATGAAACATGTGTATGGTCTACAAAAGAATCAACAGGCAGAAACAATTCACAATTACCCTGAATTCTTTATTATGTAACTCATCAATAGCCTTCTGGGCCACCTCCTTTGATCTGAAAGATACAAAGGCAAAACCCTTGCTCTCGCCAGTATCTTTATCCTTCACCAACCTTATCTGCAAAATAATTGACATGTCAATTGAAATAAGGATGAAATGAAACAGCAATTTAGCAACTTACAGGAAGACACCAGAATAGCTATGACCTCAAAAGTTTCACCAACTGGTTCACAAAGCTCCTGCAAATCGTCTTCTACCAAGTCCTTTGGAAGCCCTCCGATGAAAACTTGAGAACCATGGGGAGGAAGAGCAAGAAGTTGAGCATGCTTCTCAAGTTCCTCATTGTTGATTGAGGAGGTTTGCTTCTCTTCCTCTTGCTCTTCCTCTGCCACAGGTTCAGCATCACGACCATCAACTTCTTCATCCTCATCATCATCCTGTGGCTGCTCTTTACGGCTAGCCTCATCCTTTGAATCCTCCTCATCATCCTCGTCAACGTTGTCGTTGTCATTAGCATGGGCATTTGCAGGTTCATCTTCCCCATCTTCTAGATGATCTTCAGCATCATCATCCATCTCTTCCATGTAGTTTTCTTCTTCAAAATCAACTCGCTCATCAACTTCAGTGCCTTCTCTCATGTTCAAGCCTCACGTCTTATCGTCCAACCACCACTGCAGTTCAATGTCCTCGAGATTAATTGCTTTCTCATTAACCAATAGCTTGTAAGTGGCACATAGGGAAGCAGGTATAAATGGATATCAAGGACAGAACGACCCATAAGCATTATAGTTCATAGAATGTAAAATAAAACCCACTCGACAGGCCTTGTAAGGTATAGAACAAAAGTGGGCTGATCCCAGATAGAACCTAAAGGAACCGACTTTCCCCTGCTTAAGTTCAATCCATCTACGAGGGAGCAGGAACGAGACAAGCCAAAGTGAATATTATACGAGTTGCATGCACAGGGAAGCAGGTGGCAAACATCAGACACTCGCATCGACCATCGAGAAATAGCCCGGAGATTCCCAAAATCCATTAAAGTTACAGAAAAACAGCTAAGGTCTCGAAGGGTGACGGATTATAAACCCATAAGCGAGCTTCAACTTCGCCGAAGCCTAGCCAGAATAACAAATGAAACCCACCACTGAGCAAAACCCAAGTCATCCAAGGGAAGACGGTCTTGTTTACTCAATCCAACACAACCCAGAAATAACCGTTCAATTCAGAAACCCAACGAAGATAAATCTAATGGAACTACGGAATCAAAAAGAATCCCAGGAACCCTAAGTTTCAAAAAAAATACTTACAATAAGAAGATCGCACACGAACGGAGTGGAAACTGCTTGGAAACGATCCATTGATACAACAGTTGCAGAGCTTTAAAGAGGTTTTGCTTTTTTATTGTTTTGGTGACAACTTTGGGGGAAAGTTGCGAGAATCAAAGGAGCATAATATTAAGTGAAACGAATTGGGGCAGCGTACCAGTGAGTGTTTTTGGGGGTGAATTGGGATTTTGATGGGAAGGGGCTGAGGATTTGCTTTCGCTCTGTGAACTGACTTTTCTTTAGTTTTCTGGTTCGCTTTCTTCTTCGTTGAATCTGCTCTCAAGTGCTGAACGCTTCGGTACCCTTCACCTCTCGAGGAGTGGATTCGGGAAACAAAATTTAGCTCCTCATGCCGCATATAGATGTGGTTTAGTATCATTTCCGATTTTTTGTGGGTAATTATCATTAAACGTCACAAAACTATTCCCTTTGTACGAAAAGATCACCAATATTTAATTTTGTACATTTTAATAACATATGTTTGGATTAATAATAAAAAGGTAATTCTTGATAGGGAGACTACATTCTAGTAACATATGTTCGGATTAATAACAAAAAGATAATTCATAATAGGGAGACTACATTTTAGTAACATATGTTCGGATTAATAACAAAAAGATTATTCCTGATAAGGAGACACTACAATTTGGCATAGGCAGCAACCACTTTCTCTACCATTGCTTTATTGTAGCTTATAGTTGCTACCACTTTCTCTACCATTGCTTTATTGTAGCTTATAGTTGCTCAGTTTTAGCATTCTTATTTACCCACTTCCCTTGACAATAGCTACAATCGTTTGTTCACAATCTGTATAAATGTAAAGCTTCAATAACCGAATATATTGGATTCTCAACACATTTACATGGTATTAGAGTCTTCTGCGACCGAGAGGTCTTGTATTTGAATTTTGATGATCTCCATTTGTGAAACACATTGTATTCTTGTATTCACACTTATGCAAACGAAGCCCCTATGAGTTGATTGACTTTCATTTGACGAGAGGTGTGTTAGTGACTAGCTTTCATAGAGTATATTGATAGTCTAGCATGAACTTTATTTTCTAAAAATGAATTAACATGTAATTCACCGACTGAAGATCATATAATCCTATGTATATTTTCAAAAGATGAGATTTTGAAAATAAAATGCGAGAATGAGATGGTTACGCAAAAATGACTCAAATACACATTTCTTCCACCTTAGTATTATCCGATGGCTCGAACACACTTCTTCCACCGTAACTATTATCCAACGCTCAAGGCACGATAAGAATACGAGCCATCGAAATATTTTGTCTAGCAGTACACGATATTTCCAAGCATTTTTTCCACCTCCAATGGATCCCCCATTCAACCTTTGTTGGACAGATCAGGAATCACATGACAATCATTGAGGATACCGCAGTTAACTTGGAATGGTAAAAGAACATAAAATGCTATTAATTCAATCATAAAGCTAATGATACAACATGAACACCCGAATAGCCCAACTGATACGACCCGCCCGCCAGAACACAAATTACCCATCAACTGCAAGTTTGGCCCGCCATCCGCCAGAAACAGGTGGCAGAGAGCTTTACTTCAACCCTTCAATGGTTTGATCAGATTTCCACACCACATCTTTTAGTCCTGACGAGAAACTCTTGTAGAACTGTGCAGCAAACATATGAAGAGCATGCACCTTTAGTTATTACTCTGCTTGCCAGAAACTCGAGGAAGAAACATATGATTTGGTAGTTGTCCCGGATGACAGAAGATGTATATGTTTCGACGTACCTTGTGAAATTCTAGTGTATCACCACCGAGTTTGCGAAGCTCCACCATGTGTAACGAGGGAGCCACCTCAAAGACCTAGAACGCAAGAATTGATTCACAAGCCTTAAGAACACATATGCACTGATAAGCTGCTATCTCATTACCAAAAGATTACTCATTACCTCAGTAGCCATGGAGAGTTGACCCTTCCTTCCACTTCGTTCGCCTTTCAGTTTCATCTGTAATTGAGAATTCAAACACACAAAAGTTTGAGATGGGTAAGCAAGAGAAGACTCCAGAGCTAGATGTGCCAGTCCACCAATTCCTCACCTTGTACTTTTTCTTGTCCACGTTAAATCCCAGCGGCTTTGCAGCTTCCTCAATTCTGGACATCAATTCATTCGCGGGACTATTGGAAGCAAAACAAGTCTCTCGCTTGACTGCTTGCTTCTCGAACAACTTATCGAGACTGAAGCTTTGTGTCCTCGAGATTAGCTCGAAAGCATTCATAGACTCCGGTTTCTCCTTCCTTTCTGTTACAAGACGATCCTGCAGAAATAAACAACTTTGTCTGAGAGCTCTCTTGTGATTCTTACCATTTCAACTAAAGCAGGTTTTCATTTGCTTCTTCGTTAAATGCAGAGACCACAGCTACATATGGTATTGCGAGACTGGAACATTTTACATGTCACCAAATGTTCTTTTCGAACTCGAGCACATGTCCATTTTGCGAGAGAGCGAGGAAAAGGAGGGGAGAAGCAGACTACTGACCTTAGAGTTGTTAAAAACAGCATCTACATCATCTAGATTAGCATCCTCGTCCTGCTCAAAACGTGGTGGCTTGAACCCTTTCTTGAACCATTCATCTTCTAAGATTTCAGGAATGGAGATTCGCTGCAGCAAAGGATAAACCATAATTTGCTCGCATGACTTCACAACATAAATTCAGCATTTCAGTTCACTAGTTCGATTGACCTTGGATCAAGGAGCTTACAGTAAGTGGGTTTGGATCAAGAATACGCTTTATGAGTTTCTTTGCGCCAGATGAAAACCATGACGGGAATGTGAAATCAGCATTGCAGATCTGAAAGTAGTTCTAGTATTATGCACCGATATGTTATGAAAATACAATGAAATGCGCCGAGGAATGTGATCATTCTTTCTCACCTTTTGATATAAAGCCATAAGATTTGACTCATCGAAAGGCAAGTACCCTGCCATAAGCACGAACAGGATGACCCCGCATGACCAAACGTCAGATGCCGCACCATCGTAGCCTTTGTCTTTGAGAACCTCAGGAGCAACATAATTTGGAGTTCCACATGCTGTGTGAAGGAGCCCATCCCCCTGAAATAAGAAAAACGTACGAGTGTTGTGTAGAGATGAGGCAAAATAACAAGAGGTACAAGCACTTCAACGGCAATAATTGCAAGAAACGGAGACTTTAGAGACCATGTATTGAATGAAAAAGAAAAACAGTTACATTTAAGGCACCATCAGCCAGTGCAGAGGGAAATGTGAACTTGAAAATTGTAGGTCACAAGGAGAAAAATGTATTACTTACCCGTATTTGTGGTGGCGCAAATGCACTCAACCCAAAATCAGAAACTTTAAGAACACCAAAGCTATCAAGAAGAAGGTTTTCAGGCTGAAAAAAAAAAAGAGAGGTAGAATACCTGTTACTGATAAAAACATAGAATCACAAAGAAGCGGGACCTTGCAGCGATTGCAGAGGACAAGAAACTTGCAAACCTTTAAGTCTCTGTGATAGACTCCTCTACTATGGCAAAAGTCCACAGCATTAATGATTTGCTGGAAATACTTCCTAGCTTCATCCTCTTTAAGCCTTCCATGCTTGGCCTGTGAATGATCAAACAGCCAATATAAGCATCAAATAAACACGAAGGAGCGTTTCAGATGAACAACTGACTAAAACATAAAGCTCGAAAGCTAAACATCCTTACAATTTTGTCAAACAACTCTCCCCCATCGACAAACTCAAGAACAATGTAAATCTTCGACCTGCTTGCCATAACCTACAGCACAACAAAATATGAAAATTTAGAACTATCCTAGGCCGGCTTCAGCATTTCATAAGACAGTCTTTGACATGAATGAGTAGCAAAAGGGAGATACAATAAGTATCCGTAACTGATACACAACAAAAACCAATGATCATTATCATAAAACAGACTTCATACCTCGAATATTTTGACCACGTTTGGATGTTTGATCAGCTTCATTGTTGATATTTCCCTTTTTAACTGCCCAAGTAACATATATGCACGTTAAACAATCAAATGCCATGAAAGATTATCACTTCACACCCTACAAATTCATGAACTAGACCTCCTGCCCATAATTTCAAAGTTCTAACAAGTAAATATCAGCAGCAACAGCATTTCCCCCCCGACCCACCAAAGCATTACTTGTATTCTACATTGAAATTCGGCTTCACATAGTAAAGGTAGAAAATGGTCCACCATGGGAAAGTAAGAAAATCTAAAGATGCTTAGACTTTTGGAACAGAGAGAAGTGCCAATAGTTGGGAACCTAAATACAGTAACTAATCTAATCTATTAGGTCCACATCACAGCATAATCTACTACTAATTGCATAGTTCAGTGACCACTTGTCACTCACCCATTGGCAACTGCCAATTTGCCATTAACCCATTTGTTAATCCTACATATAACAATTACTTAATCCCTGAAGACCAGTTCAACCACCCTATATTCCATCCGCTAAACATACTCAATTGCATCACCAATTCACTATTCTATTAATTTCGTATATGAATACCCACATCATCAATTTACGTTAAAAATTGAGAGAAGCTGTAGCCCCAATCTGAATTAGATTTAGCTTCACTACTGAAGGCTCTAGTGTCCTGAACGAATGACATGACTTGTTTGTATACCTGCTCGACCATCTTGTGACGGAGGACTTGCTCCCGATCGAGGATCTTGATGGCGACGCTGTCGCCGGTTTCGACATTCTTGGCGAACTTGACTTTCGCAAAGCTGCCTTCCCCTACGGTTCTGCCCAGCTCGTACTTCCCAACCCTCGTCCTAGTAGCTGGAACCTTGATGCTCATTCTCTTACCAGAATTCCCCCTCCCGGTTCCGGCAACCCAAATCACTACTCTGCCGGCAGATCGTGCTGGTTCGTTACCCTGCCGCCGAGTGAATTATTGCTGTTCGAATGGTGGGGAAGATGAAGGGCGTAGGAGGAGCGATCAGAGAAGGACTGTTCGATTGATGGACTCTGATTTTTTGCGGGATTTTGTAGATAAACTCGAGCAAAGAAAAAAAAAAGGAGGAGATGTTTTCGGACAGGTATGGCAATGGACGCATGTGGCGGGCGGTATGGTATGCTGTGGCGGGTCCATTTTTGTAGAATGATTCATTTCATTATTATCCTCTTCATTCCGTGTTTCCGTGTCTGAGAATTGGTTTGGATTTTGGAAGCTTTCGGGGAAGCAAATTCGAGTTGGAATTAACCATGACCAGAGGGAAAAAAAATGAAATGAAGTCTAATGAAGTCCAAGTCTATAAACTAGGCGCTCATCCATACAAATCCAGTTAGGGACTAATTACTAATTAGGGTCCTAAGTCCTAATAACACACCCACTTCGTTGGACATCCTTACAAGTCATCCAACGGTCCAAAATGAAGCTAAGTGGGGAGGGTAGAATCCGACGGTCCAGGATGATACAAAGGGGTCGTTCGTTTAAAGTGGGGAAAGGTGTCAGTTTGGTTACGCGCTGCTCTGTCTGGTTAGTGCCCAGTTTTTCGGCCGTCAAAAAATTTTCGCACCAAAGTTAATCTGTCAATAATTTCACCAAGGATTTGGGGGTCATTTGATTCGGAGGGAATTAGATTGAGTATCAAAACTCTAACTCAGTCTATAGCATCACTTTATCCCTTCAACTGAGACCATTCTCTACTCGTGCATGCGCCTCTTACAACAGAGATTTAACTAGCTAATGCGTGCTTTTGCTTCATACCACTACCTAATTAATAAAGAACAATGAAGCTAGGTTAGCACATGATTAAGTATGAGCCTCTATGAGCCATAATCGATGGTCTATAGCATCGATGATCTAACAATCAAGCATCAATACTACCTGAGGTATAGATGGTTGATTATTCCCTCTATACTCATATAGCATCAATGGGGATCATTATATGGTAATTTCTTAACAACCAAAAAGATATTAAGCGCAACCCTGATCATAGCATGAGGGTGGTATGTCGACCGGGTGGTATGTTGATCATCCCCACCACATCATTGGGGGTGGCGTGTTGATCACCCTCACCACTACATCATGTGGGAGGTATGTTGACATACCATTGGGGTTGCTCCAACACTTAAATAAATTTTTGGAACAGATGGCTAGGGAGTGGCGTGCATGATGGCATAGGGTGGCCCAAAAATCCAATCCACGCGGCCCATCTGAATTGATCTTAATTATTATAATTAAGTTGATTTTATAAAGTCATGTAATCTCTTGTATTTAACCGATGTGGTATAAGGTTTAATTTTGGTGTAAACACATGGTATACTCATTCAGATTTGAACTAGACTAATCTACGACAAGTTCAGAATATCTAACGGTCGACGCTTTATTATGAGACATTTTCATACTCGATTGCATGCGACAACTACAATAGCTAACCTATATATAGGATAAAACGTGGGTCGAAACCCTTCTCGAGATCGAAGTTTCAATACTCAACTAGGACAATGATAACCAAAGAGAACTATAACAAAGACTAGGCTACTTATGAACTAAGTAATTAATACCTCAAAGCATGAAATTAGCTCCGCAGATATACATTGTAGAATCGAATTAGTTAATAAGACGACAAGAATCTGCTTTTGTTCTATAACATATTGTTGTATTAAATAAATGTTAGTAATTACAATTTTAAATCTACCATTAGGTTATGTCACCTTTGGTGCTATATAAGCTAATACTAGGAGTTAAAAACGTGCTTGGCATCAAATTTTTAGGGTTTTTTTATTGAAAGTTAACCTTTAGGTAGCTTTTGTCCATTAAGGCATATAGATCTGTTCCTTTCCCGGCTGCAAATATTTTATGACTGAATACTAGGGAGCAGCTGCAGCTAAAAATAAAATTAAAAACACAAAAGTGAAAACAATGAGCAATCATATCTAATTTAATAATTGATAAGCATATTAGAAGAATAAATAAATAAATAGATCACTTCACTATCTTTTGGATAGTGATGAAAACATTAAATTTTTGCATTTAACATATCATATTATGCTGATGATGATCAATTACCTCCGAAATATTATATTCTATTGCCTCTTGTGGTCTATTATATTATTCAATTTGCATCTCCCGTGGATCATGATTTTGTTTCGAATTTTTCTTCGGTGGGGTCTTACAAGGAAAGGATCCACTGCAACAATGCATTATATATAACTGTAGTACGATGTTATTTTTTATTTAATACGGAAGGATAACACCAATAACTTAAGTCTCAGTAAGCATGCATAATATAACTTTTTTCTTAATCAATTTAACTATCTATTTCTCTTTTGATTTAAGTTGTATTTTTTTCCATAACAAATTAAATTAATTATACTTTTCAAAATGATATTCACTTTAATATATTGTGCAATTAAAAATTCGAGATATATATTACCAATAATACCATGTGGCAATAGATCACGATGACGCTGCACGTTTATTTTGCATCCCTTCCTTAGCTGACAACGACTACAAGTATCATGAAGCATACCAAAAAAGTGAAAAACACATATCAGAAACACAACAAACGACAACATCATCCTTGTCATACCATGATCTTATCACTATGGTAAGACCGACAACATCATAATATCACTGTCATATCATAATATTGATAATATCATGTTGTGATAGTGTCAAAATAAAGTTTTTAAAAAAATGACAATGGTGAAATGGAGATCATCTTGTAGAGCATAAAAATTCTTGTTTTTTTACGCAACAAAATGTGAGATTCGACATAAAATGAATCATGAGTTGAAAATTCATAAGCGATCCACACCAATTTCAATTATTTGCTCAGTTTTCTTCCAAAACTCATACTTTTCCTTTTTTTTCCCACAATACTTTCCCTTTTTACTCATATACAAAGATGGCATTTAGTTCACACTCTTTAACCACATGTAATTTTGTAATATAGGTTATATATTGGAACCTGTCCCTTGGCAATATTGTTACTTCAAAGTCACTGTCTTGCTATTTACTACATACGACTTTGATCATGACTCATAAAAATAATATACAATTAAAATTATATTTAACTTAATCCTACATTATTAAGAATCAACTGTATATACCACCTGCTTCACATTATCAACCTTATTATTTAATTTATTGACATATATGCACAGAGTTCAACGACAATAATATAGCAGGGGAAGGATCTAATCGTAATCCAGCTAGCAATCGTACGGCTACAAAAAGAAAGATTTATTACCTCTTGATCATAATATTAATCTTACAACAAACAAACGAACGAACGAACATTAATTAATATGCTAATCAAGTACTAGCTATAATTATAAACATAACTTTTACCAAAAAAAAAATATATAATTATAAACATAACAAATGATAAGAATATATATAGTTCCACGCAAAGTAATTAATATTCAGCTAATATTCATTTTTTAGTTTATAGCTCTAATCTGGCCACAATCGCGGACTTGAGCCGGTTCTCGGTCCGTAACCCTTCGGGGACCCGAACCACCGCGTCCTGCAGCATCAGCTCGTTGACACACGACATGCTGGCGTGGTGCACCTGCAGATCCACGTCACGCAGCGCGCTCATCAGCCTCGCCCCCGGGTGGCCCGCATTCTCCGACTGGATCCGGATCATCGCATCGGTCCCCACGATCTTCACCTCCACTTCCAGGTGGGGACAGATCGCCGTCGTCGCTGCAGCGACGACGATGGGCGCATCCACGGCACCACCATCCACGGAGGTGGTGGTGCTGTGGTTGTCCGCGGTGCTGTTGTTGTCCGCGGACTCCAACTTGACCCGCTTCGCTGGAGGCGGCGGAGCCAGCACCTCCAGCTCCTCGATCCGAGCCTTCAGCTCCTTGATGTACGAAACGGCGTCGGATAGGAGGGACGCCTTGTCCATCCTGGACACGTTGGGGACCACCGCCCGCAGCGCGTAGAACCTGTGGTTCAGCTTTTCCCGCCTCTGACGCTCGGCCTCCACGTGGTTTAACGGCGTCTCCCTCCCCAAACCGGGCTTCCTCCCTCTCTTCTTCGGTACCCGCTTCACCTTCCCGTTACCGTTATTAACGGCGACGGACGGACAGTCCGAGTCCGAATGCTCCGAGTCCATATAATGACCCGCCAATTTGTTATTGTTGTTGCTCCGCGAGTACTGATCTTTCTCCTTCTCCTCCATCTGCCGCCGCCGCTTCCGATCGTCGTCGTTGTTGTCGTCGTCGTAATCGTCCTCCTGGATCCCGGCTATGATCCCGATGTCGGCGAACGAGATGTTCATGTCGAGGAACGGGGGCATCGGATGGGTCGGATTCTTCGACGACCCGGTGGTACTGTTATCCGACCCGAACAGGGACTTGACCTGCTGGACGAGCCCCCAATTCTCCTTGACGACGTCGCAGGAGGCGAGCTCGATGACTCCCCCCTGGGCCGGGATGCAGACGAGGGTCCGGACGCCGTGCAATTGGGCCTCCTTGGCCCGATCGCAGTTGTGGTACTGCAGCTCGTGGGCCCCGGAGAGCCACGTCAGGGATCCGGTGGTGAGGGATTTCCCGGGGACGCCGTCCCCGGCCGCGAAGGAGCGGGTGAGGGACATGACGTAGAACCACTCGGCGTCGGTGACGTCGTTGTCGAAGCTGCCGCCGCCGCCGGTGTCGGCGGCGGCGGAGAGAGGGGAAGGGTGTTTGTTGTGGTGGGACCAGGAGGTGAGTTTTGGGGGAGCAGAGTGGGTGGCGCCCTGGAAGTGGCCGTCGGCCCAGGAGAGGAAGATCCGGCCAGATTCGATGTCGTTGGAGGCCTGCCAGAAGATGGCGTAGGCCCACCAGTCAGGGATTTGGCTCTGGAGCAGGTACTGGAGGCGCTGCTGGAGGGTTGCCGGTGGCGGCGGGCCGGGAGCGGAGGATGACGAGGAGGGTGAGATCATGAGTTCTTCCATCACTTGCTGATTAACAAAGAAGATTTGTTTTCTTTTTTTGTTGGGGGAGCAAGTGAAAGAAGGGTGCTGGCTGGGGATCTTATAAGTGGGCAGAGAAGAGAAGGGAGTGATAGTTGGTGGTGGTGGCGCGTGGGGGCCACTGTCGCTCATAAATGAGAAATAGTAAAGGAGGTGAAAGGAAGGGAAACGTTAACATCGGACTCCACCAGCACGTGATTGTAAGAAAATAGAGAGAGAGATGGCAACTGCAGCATGCCTCCACGGTAACTAGGGGGTGATAAATGGTTAGAAAATTATAAGTTATATCGATGATCAAATTGATATATATCCAAGGTTTACCTTATTTATAATTATAGGTGAATCACTATATATGTGCTTGACCGGTGTTATGGGACAATCCAAGTACCACATCGGTTATACAAGAGAAGGAACCCTTGTATATTAGTGTCCACCAATCTAATTAGTACGAGGCCTTTTGGGGAGGAAACCCAAGAGTAAAACCGTGCGGGTTCGGCCCAAAGCGGACAATATCGTACTAATGGGCTGCCCAGTTATGACAAGTGGTATCAGAGCCTGGTTCGGCAGACCCGGGGCGGTGGACGTCAGTTCGGAGGTCCGCTCGCGTCTGGGAAAATCCTTGTACCGAGAAGCCCATCGATACAAGGTGTCTGGCGGATCAAGATAATCGCTGAGGTGAGGACACGATGTTCGTGGTCCTTGGTTTGAGGGGAGGATTGTTATGGGACAATCCAAGTACCACATCGGTTATACAAGGGAAGGAACCCTTGTATATTAGTGTCCACCAATCGCATTAGTATGAGGCCTTTTGGGGAGGACACCCAAGAGTAAAACCGTGCGGGCTCGGTACAAAGCGGACAATATCGTACTAATGGGCTGCCCAGTTATGACAACCGGGATCAATTATAATGTCGGAAAATAAGAATTGCGATTTCATCAACCGTTGGAAGGTCATAAGTTGTACATGGTATTTCATTTGTTTTTTTTAATACATCTAAATGTTTAAGCAAAATATTGCAAAGCATATTGCATATAACATTTTTTTTCCCGACTAGGTGACAAACGATTCCAGTGTAGAATTCAATTATCATATGTCATGATTGAATGAAGTCGACTTTCAACCTAATTATCCATTTGATCAATGTAGAAAATCCTTGTACCGAGAAGCCCATCGATACAAGGTGTCTGGCGGATCAAGATAATCGCTGAGGTGAGGACACGATGTTCGTGGTCCTTGGCTTGAGGGGAGGATTGTTATGGGACAATCCAAGTACCACATCGGTTATACAAGGGAAGGAACCCTTGTATATTAGTGTCCACCAATCGCATTAGTACGAGGCCTTTTGGGGAGGACACCCAAGAGTAAAACCGTGCGGGCTCGGTCCAAAGCGGACAATATCGTACTAATGGGCTGCCCAGTTATGACAACCGGGATCAATTATAATGTCGGAAAATAAGAATTGCGATTTCATCAACCGTTGGAAGGTCATATTCATGATTATCTTATCTTCGACTTACGAAAAGTTTTCAACCAGCTCGTAAGTTGTACATGGTATTTCATTTGTTTTTTTTAATACATCTAAATGTTTAAGCAAAATATTGCAAAGCATATTGCATATAACATTTTTTTCCCGACTAGGTGACAAACGATTCCAGTGTAGAATTCAATTATCATATGTCATGATTGAATGAAGTCGACTTTCAACCTAATTATCCATTTGATCAATGTAGAAAATCCTTGTACCGAGAAGCCCATCGATACAAGGTGTCTGGCGGATCAAGATAATCGCTGAGGTGAGGACACGATGTTCGTGGTCCTTGGCTTGAGGGGAGGATTGTTATGGGACAATCCAAGTACCACATCGGTTATACAAGGGAAGGAACCCTTGTATATTAGTGTCCACCAATCGCATTAGTACGAGGCCTTTTGGGGAGGACACCCAAGAGTAAAACCGTGCGGGCTCTGTCCAAAGCGGACAATATCGTACTAATGGGCTGCCCAGTTATGACAACCGGGATCAATTATAATGTCGGAAAATAAGAATTGTGATTTCATCAACCGTTGGAAGGTCATATTCATGATTATCTTATCTTCGACTTACGAAAAGTTTTCAACCAGCTCGTAAGTTGTACATGGTATTTCATTTGTTTTTTTTAATACATCTAAATGTTTAAGCAAAATATTGCAAAGCATATTGCATATAACATTTTTTTTCCCGACTAGGTGACAAACTATTCCAGTGTAGAATTCAATTATCATATGTCATGATTGAATGAAGTCGACTTTCAACCTAATTATCCATTTGATCAATGTATAATACAACAAACTGAGAATTTGTATGTTTCCAATGTAGTTGATTGTCCAATCGATGATGAATTCATCCCCAAATTAAAAGTAAACATAACTTGTAATCACCGTTCAAACTTTAACAATCTTACTACCATAGGATTAAACTCAAAGATACCATTACATATCGTAATACACTCTAAAAAATGCTTTGTAATTTCACTATTCCACTCTAATAACATCTTAAGGAATTAATGAGTATGTCGAGTGGCCGAGAGTGAAACTTTCCTTTGTTTACAACAAATTGAAGCTTTCGGAGTGGTATAATTCTTTGTTTGGATGTACATTTCATTTTTTACATAACAACAACACATCAATGTCATTCACTTGATGGAGGTCCAAGATTGACAGATAGACATGTTTGGTAACTAAGCACCGAAGTGCAAAAATTTGTGACCGTTTATACTAAGTACAATTTGCACAAGTGTGGTGAGGTCACGATCACTTTAGAGGACGTTGTGACACTGTCTGGTCTAGCGATCGACGATGATGCTGTCATAATAGACATACCAGATGAGAAGTGGTCGGATATCTGTGTGAGACTGTTAGAACGGGTTCCTGATGATCTTTCCGACCGTTTTGTATAAAGTACAAAGATTTGTGACCGTTTATACTAATTACCTTAAGTATGATAGCACCATTATTGATAGCTATAAAGCTTGCCTGCTTGCCAAGGACTATACTCAAGCAGAGTACTAGTGGACAACCAGATTTATCTGCTTTATTATTTTATTTGAGATTAATCTAGTTCTTTGTTTTATTTTACACAATTGATTGTACCCACTCATCTAGTCTCTTTCTAAAATTTATCGACATTCGAGGTAATTTGGTTATACCTTCCTTACTCCTTTGTTTAGTCAATGAGGACATTGTCCATTTTAAAGTATGGGCTGAGGAAAGGGATTAGAAGAAGCTTTTCTGGTCACATAAGAGCTACATCCAGAGATATTGTCCAGGTTTGGCATGTCTTCAGAAAAATCCTCAGATACTCCATGTGTTTCAACAAAACAACTATCTCAGAGTATACACCACAATTTAAACCTGCGAAGGAGTACATGTCTAAAGTCCCGTACTGTAGTGCAATAGGTAGTTTGATGTACGCTATGGGCTTCACTAGGCTCGATCTTGCACATGTTGTTAAGTGTTGTCAACATGTTCATGGTGAAACCTGGGAAGGACCATTGGCAGGCTGTGAAGAGGATTTTCCATTACCTAAAGGGTATGAAGGATCTGGGAATAAGTTTTGGAAGCGATACATAGTGCTTAGTTGCAGGATATTCAGATTATGATTATGCTGGAGATGTTAACACCATGAAATCTATGGATGGTTATGTATTCACTCTTGGAGGTTCTGTAGTTAGTTGAAAGCCGATTCTACATATATGGTTACTTTGTCTACCACAGAGGTGGAGTACATGGCACTAGCAAAAGCTACATGGTAGGAAATATGGTTGAATGGGATGGTTAGTGATCAGGGTCTATATCATGATAAAGCAGTGTTGTATAGTGACAATTTGTGTGCAATATGCTTGGTCAAAGATCAAGTCCATCATGAGAAGGCTAAGCACATCGATGTGAGGTTTTATTTTTGAGAACAGATAAGATGATTAAGGAGATGAAAGTGGGGATCACGAAAAATCCTGTTGACATGTTCATGAAGCCGGTTCCACATTGCAAGTTCCAACATTGCTTGGACTTGCTAAATGTCCTAAGTGGATGAATCCACACTAAGGGCACTGAGGCAAATGAGAGAGAATGACCAGATTACATAAGAGATTCAGGTGGAGGATTCAAGTCAAGGTGAAGATTTTTTAATATGACTTGAACTGGATGATCTGGCGTCCACTGGAAGTCATGGGAAAGTTTGCTCTCTCACGCTCGTTGCCTTTTTCTTGTTATTGTCGATTGCCTCAATCCATGCGCGTCACACATCATGTGGCTGCGATATGTGACAAGGTTGACTGAAATCAGGGAAGACATTATGATAGATTTCAAGAGGAGGGTTGACAAAGAATCTATGTAGCGGAGGGAAGAAATGCTAGAAAAGCACCCGATATTTAGGAGGCTCAAGTTGTCTTTCGGTATTCAACATGAATAAGAAGCTCTACAAGGAACGCACCTTTGAGTTTCTTCTAGCCTTCCAATAGCAAGAAGTACTACAAGGGACTCCTTGATTGTGGACATTTAGACTCTTAAGTTAAGTATGATTAAAAAAATCTAAATTCAGTTTCTTTTTGAAAATATAATACACTTAAAGGTGTGGTGTAGCAGTTGCTCTAGGATAGGGTGTTGGTTATGCATAAATGCATAAATAGATCTAGGCCTTTGGTTTTAAATGAGATCAGATTTAAGAGATGATAATGAAATCTTTTTATTTTCACAATTTTAATTGGCTTTTATTTTCTTTGTTTTTAACTTGGATCTGAAAAAAAATTCAAAAATGGAACGGGTTCGTTGTAATCTACAAAATTATATCAATTTTTAATATATTTTAAGAAAAAAATTAATACACACATACCACTCGTCACCATCCTGGTACCATTTGTAATCACTTGGTACCACCTTCGCTTTTAACTCGAATTAAAAAAAAATTGTAAATAATTAACGAGTTCATCATGATCTATTATATCTACAAATTTCATTATTTCTTTTTCAAGAACAAATATACCACCCTGGTATAGAGTGGTAACTAGTAACTACGATGATGAAAGGCGGTTAATATATTCCTACCATCTTGCATGCAACTATTCTACAATATGCTATGTTCATAACACCATGATACACTTCCATACCACGTGGTATAATCTTATGTACTACCAAGCATTACCACATGGTATGTACGATTAATATATTCCTATAATCAATATGCAACTATTCTACACTTTGTTATGTTCATACCACTATGATACACTTTCATACCACATGGTATAATCTTATCTACTACCAGTCATTACCACAAGATATGGACTGGTAATACATATCTCAAACTTTTTGGCCCAAAATATACTAGAGTGTATTTCATTTTGAAGAGCACAATTAATCTGATTTATTTATGTAAAAAATGAAAATATGACTTAAAAAGAAAGGTGTGTAGCCCGTTAGAATTCATTGAGGGAAAGTTAGTTACTTTCAATAAGTGATAAGTTTAGGGTTATGCATGATTACTGACCATAAGGCTATTGATCGGATATTCTCCTGTAGCAGTTTTTACTCACGTCTAGCGCAAATGGCCAGCATTAAAGTGAGAGCGGTGTGTGTGAGGGACCCAACTAACATTTGATTAAACCTGACTAGTGATGAAAAAATAACCATACCCATGACTACTCATCTGAATCCAACCTAACCTGGTAGGATAAAACTCAAATTCAAATGATTTTTAATGGGTATGGGAAGAATCCTGTATTTGTTTTAAACTAACTTTCTTCCTTCCAGTAATTTATTGTTGTATTTTTCACTTTCTGCAATGTCAGTATATATATAATTGTTAACATGTTGGTTGAAACAAGAATCTCCGAGCAATGGATCGTGTCACTGTGAGTTCAAAGTTGGAAGCATATATATGTTTGCTAGTGCTTTCATTATTGACGAAATGATTGCTTGTTCGGCCATGGCTAGTTGATTATGTCAAGTTAAAGTACGTTGAGAACATGTATTACCTACATTAGGCGTCGGCTTTCCTACAAGAACTTCAGGGGGAAAATGCAAATGCATATAGCGGGAGATCGAAGAGATGAAAATGAAACGAACGTCACGTTGGATGTTGAATTTATGAGATGGTGGAAGGGAGAAGGACATGGCGTAATGTGGTAGCTGAAGGAAACGGATCGAGGAAGGGGAAAGGTTTTAATATGCGTCAGTTTTGTGGGTACAATGCTGCCGTCCTTTCTCGTGGCGGTATTGTTGGCGGGTGGATCGTAATCGTACGCATATTTGCGTCCTCTTCATGCACATCAATATTTTGCCCAATTGTTTGCATGCACATAGATATTGATATCAATCAATCGTGGATTCTTTTTTTTTTTTCCTTTGTTAAAAGTTAAATAAGCGATAAAAGTACGAATCATCGGTTGGACCGGTAGAACCACTAATTCACTTACAATAGCACAGTTGATCTATGTGCTCTGACGGGTTAGAGATGGACAGAGCGAGCAGTTTTAACGGTTTAACATGAAATCAGGTGAACCACCTCAATTTGATTGATTAACTGGTTCTATAGTTTAAACCATAAAACATTAGGGGAAAAAAAAAATACTTTGAGGGTAAACTAAAGGACCCTCCAACTTTAATTATTAATTTTATTTGTACTTTCTTTTTTTCTTTCTCGACTTTCGAGTCGGTTTTACATGATTCACTACAGATTTTCATTTTAATTACTAACTTAAATTTAATATAAAAAAATTGTAATTTCTTTTATGGAATTCATGGATCACTCCGTAACATCTATAGTGACGAATTAACGAAATAGATCGTACTGGATGTCATGGTCTGTAAGACTGTAACATCTATAGTGACGAATCACGAATTAAAAGAAAATATTACAGACACCGTGACTTCCAATCAATAATAAATAGTATATCTTTTAAGTCATAACAACACCCTACCTTAAGTGGGCCGTCCGGGCGTGTTTAATTTGTTGGAATCGTGTGTAATTTTGGAATCCAGGGATACTATTTAGTATTTACTCTACTGAAAATTATGGAATCTTTGTCATTTTCTCTTTGGGGACCACGAACACGAAGTAGCTGAAGCACATGCAAACTTTTGTTGTCATTGCCAAATACAGTATTAGGGGCTTAAAAACTGTAGTTTATGGAGTTGATTTGTGCTTTTTTGTTGTTGTTGTTCCAAGGATTGTCGGTCGAGGTTCCGAACTTAATTCCGATTTCATTAGAGAGCTTATGAATTGGCAAAGCTTGTTATCAATTACTTGTATGAATCTCTCATTGGCTAAATAAAAACCCATGATAGGAATAATCGAGTCTAGTACTGTAGTTCCTATTGTGCATCACAAGTTAGTTTTCATTTGTGAAAACTATCAATGGTGCTAATATATAGTTTTGTGAGAATTTCGTGCTTGTGCAGTTGGTATATCAATGGGGACAACCATAATATACTATTTCGCCTTTTTTTTTTTATTCTTAACCAAGTTATATACTTTGAAAATATTGTACTTGTACAGTAGTCCTAAACAGTGAAAGTAGTTGCTAGAACTCCAAAATCCATTTGATCTGACCCTAAGTTTTGTCATAGGTTCACAAGTGTGGATCACCTATTTCAAAGGACCTACCTTTGAATTGGCTGTTGGTTAAGTTCATAAGGCGTGTGGTTCAATGGGTGTAGATTTGAACAAAAGAAGCGCTAGTTGGGAGGCTTGCCAGCCCATCGGTTTGCATTTTCTTCCTTTTTCTCTTTGGTTAAGTCGGTTTGTCTTTTGATCATGTCCCAAGGCGTGTTCCAGCTGCTGCTTCGGGTTTAAAGCCGCTGCTACAGATTTTGAGAGGGGAGAGCAAGGTTTTTGGCCAAAAACACCCAAGGGGCATTCCAAAGAGAGGGAAATCGATCTAGAGCTGGGTGGACACAAAATTGGAGGTTTACATCTCCATTGGAGCTCAAGGAACAAGTCTTGGCATGAAGATTGAAGATTTAGAGCTTTATATAGTATTCTCTGGCCTCTTTATGGAATAGTTCTCATTCACTTAGGTTTTGATGAACTCTAGCCATGTTTGGCTTGATTGAATGATTGTATGAGTACACTATCTTGATATCCGTGAGTTCATATCCAATCTATGCTTGATTTCATTATTCAAGTATGCTTTAGTCAATATTATTGATTCTATAAGAGGGAATACCTTATCACGTCAATTGAGCAACATGGACTGCTGGAAGTAGGGGATCGATAACACGAGAGTGAGTCGATTCAATGTTGTATATTGTGTGGAAACTCACAAAAGACGGAATCTAGTGTAGAACGCCTTGGTCGTGTTAGATAAGGATATGTCCCTCAATCGAATGATCAAGAGGGTCTTGATTGCTTTAGTCGAGATTCAAAGTCTAGTCAGGGATTCTTCGCATTATGAATGAAGAGTGAATCAAGATAGAGAATCATCAATCATTGATCCGGTTAGTCTATTCTTAGTTTAGTTTGTTAGCGTAGTTGTAGTTCTTTTATATGAATGTGATTTGCTGAATAATAAAACGAAGCTAAGTAATGTAATATATATATATATACCCGTGAATTCGATATTTTAGTGAGTCGGGGCCCCTTTTAGGTAAATTAATTGGAATTAATTAACAACGCATATGCCCAAATATCCATTTCTTCTAATCAGTCGTTGCTAGGAATCAGGAGCGCACAGACCAGTCGCATCAACATGCATGCCTGTTGTTTAGTATATCACAGTGAGATGGGTTAATGGCCGCTAAGGAAGATTCACCATGAACTATTCCAACTGAAACCCTATATTGACACGAAAGGCCTGATGCGTATAGGATCACCATTTACGTAAACCTATTTGACAGTAAGACACCAGTACTTATGTCTCCTGCTTCTGCTTACAAAAACCATACATAGTTCTTCATCAGCAACAGTAGTTACGTTACAGTTGGTAGTTAGGTTTGGTTTTGTGGTGCTGTTGGATCTGTAAGGAGGTTGCCCTTTTCGCTCCAACTGGAATGATGGAAACTGAAAGAAGGGTGGGTTGGTGGCTTCATTTATCGGAAAACGGCTTGCGGCTCTGTAGGCCAACACACACACACACAATAATTGTAAACCTGGACCTGCGATCCCTGTCCTGCAGGCTGCAGTGGACAGTGGTCCTAGAAACCTGTCCATCATCAGATTTAGACCCTACTCACAGTGTCCTTTCACGTTGATATGTTGTCATTTAATCGTTTTTTGTCCTGTGTCTCTTTGTCGAGTTGTCCCGTTAAATAGGTTTGGCGGTTCTCAAGATCGGGGGATCATCTGGCGGCACGGCACGTTGATTCTGTCGCACGTGTTCTACTTATTTCTTTTCCCGTATTGAATCAAATAGGAGATCAAAAAAATTAGCAAACCCTTTCCCAAAGTGATTAGTTTGTTGACACATTAAACAAAGTTGATCGGTACAAAATCATGTATATACTCAACAGCCATGATACAACCAAATCAAAATCTGTGAGTCACCGGGGCTTCCATCGTCGGCTTTCCCTGTCATCCAGTCATCAATTTTCTTGAACTTCTGACACCGGGCGCAAACGTTGTCGCCCAAAAATTTGGATGCATGGGTCATTATCCGTGAAAAATCACATTATATATTAAGTCGTTATTGCGTATTCTATAATAAAACATTATCTTTTTCTTGTCTCATAACTTTAATGGTGATAGATTCTATTAAATTAAAATATTTTTTTATGAATTTTACTTAATTTAAAACATAAATTCGATTATTTTAAAATATGATAACTATCAATAAAATACTTTTTGTTCACGAATGGGATAATTGGTGTTAGATTATGCACTAAACTGCGTTTAATAGCTACCAATTTTCTTGATTTGTAGTATTAATATTGAATAGTTGTATGCAAACTTTTATTACTCATATTATCTCATTATTTAAAAAAATTTGACCCATCAAAATCGCCAAGCCCATCCACCATCTGCTGTCACCCACCCAAATCGATACAGATAGGTGGGTGTGGGTCATTATTTCATCACCCACCATAACAATGGGTGGGTCCGATCCTATACATTGCCCATCCCTACCCACCTCATTTATCACCGAGCGATCATATAGAGGTCTTGAGTGGTGATCCAAGATGTTTTCGTCTTGACGATTAATCTTATCCCTCATTGTCTCACTGGCTCACCTTGACCCCTATTATTTTGAATTCATATATAGTATTTAGCAAGGTTCTGAAAAGCGTGCCTAGGCACTCGCATAGGCACAAATCAGAAGGAAAACTGCTCGCCTTGGCTAAAAGTAGCCGACAAGGCGTTATGATCAAATTGTGGCATCGTCGGTGCCTAGTCAGCATTGAGTTGTGCCTCGAAATGATGTCACACTGTCTTTTTTTACCTTATGATATGCTTCTAGGTTATAGAAAAATCAAGATCGTCTTCCTTTTTCATTCTTTGCTCCCAAGTGTTCCTAGCCTCTAGGGTAGAGTTAGAGATGACGATCTTTACAGTAGTTGCTTCTTTCTTTTTAGTGCTTCTTATCTCTCAGTTTGTTTAGTTATTTCCAACTTCTTTTTCCTTTCTAATTTCGCCACACTATGTTTTATACTTTACCATGTGTTGTTGATGAAGGTTCAGAAATGAGAGGTGGATGCGATAATATTGGTCATACATTTTTATTCTAGACAAGTGTGAGATATTTTGCTACATTTACATCTAACGCTTAGGCATGCCTAAGCATGCTAGGCGCTAGGCAGAGCCTTAACGCTCATCTTACACCCAACGTTTTATTGAACCTTGGTATTAGAATTTTCCTTGATTTGGTACAGCTCGCGCGATCCACACTAAAATAATGCTTACCCCAAGATTTCCAGCCAACTGTAGCATCTTAACACATTTCGTGGAGAACCGGCTAGCTCTAGGTTCGAGTGGCAGTTTACCCCTCACCACAACTCATATGTTGATTCTTTAACATCATTCGGTTCGAACCCTACTTAGTTTCACCCAGTTTCAAGTCCATAAGCAGTGACAATTTCCCTATGAAGACTCACTTTCACTACGAATTTGGTGGGTTCCCTCAACCAAGCCACTGCCTATGAGTTGCTGACTTATTCTTCAACAACCACGTGTCTCCTCCCCTTGCTTGGAATCCTATGGTTTCATGTTATATTTCACACCCCGCTGGGGTGGTTTTTTCACCCTTTCCTCACGATACTACTTCAGTCTCGGTCACCTAGGAGTATTTAGCCTTGCAAGGAGGTCTTGATGATTCACATGGGATTCCATGTGCCCATGCTACTCACATCAAAGCGTAAGTCAGTGATGCTTTTGGATACTAGACTTTTTCCATCTAGGGTGCAGTACTCCACCGCTTCGTCTAGCAACACGACGCTTGTATTTCTCTCTCACAAACTCGTTTTCATGGTTTAGGTTGCTCCCATTTTGCTCGCCGCTACTACGAGAATCGTTTTTCCTTTCTTTTCCTCTAGTTACTAACATGTTTTAGTTTGCTGATAATCCCCTAATTGGGTAGCTTCGATCAGAGAAAACGCAGCAACGAATTCAATCAAGGATTGAATTTAATTCAAAGAAGAACTCAAAAACAGAGTTTTGAGTTCGAGTTGGGATGTTGATTTTCGTGCGACCTTCTCGTAGGGAAAGAGACTCGAAAACTTAGGGTAGATGCTTGTCCACGAACAATGGGGATAACTGAACAATACAAGCTCAAGATAATTCCTAGAATCAGCTAGGAAGATCTCCAAATTCACAAGACAAAGCCTATGAACTTAAACTCTCGGTTTGTTATTCAATTGATCAAAAACTGACAATTACAACGAGTCAAAACAACTTGAATTGGCCTAGCTAATCCTGGAAATTCTTAAGGATATTTCAATTACAATCTACTACGAAAAGGAATCCAAAACCAACACAAAAACGAATTAAAACACAAACAGTCTACTAATCCTAATCCGACTAGGATTCAGATTGCTTATTCTCTAAGGCAGAAAACGTAGCTCGAACCGATCTTTGGACTCTTCGTTCAAGCTCTTCCAATCTTTATGCCAGTCAACCAATGCTTCGTCGTTGTACTAGAAGATGCATACTATCGTGTGGTATCCTTCTTGAAGCTTGACTCTCCGTCTTCTGTCCGGAATAGAGCTTCAAAGTACCCCTCCTGAACACTGCCTCTGCCTTAGCCAAATTCAGGCAGAATTATGGTTCTGACAAGGCTGTTTGAGAAGCTTTTAAAACGATCCTCCTGGCCTTTCCTTGAACAACCAAGCACTCCAGCTTGTAGTGGGTAACACTAGGTTCAAAACAAACCCTCAAACGTTCATTTCAATCGAGCCAATAACAAGTTGCACTCGTCCAAAGTTGGCTACCTAAAACTGTAAAAATACTTTGCCAAAAATTAGTGTTCTTCAATGTACTTAGCTTGCCTTCGTGATCAATCAATTCCAACAAGGTTAATGGCCAATTTGAGATCATATCATTTGCCATGTCCTCTCTTATTTGTCTATGGATTCAGCAACAGTTTGAAAGGTTGACATATTCGAGAATCTCTGGATTTCCACCTATTTTCAACTCCCTCTAAGCATTTCATCATTTACTATGACCTTTCTTGTCTCTGGATGGCTAGGTATCCACCGTAAGCCTTTCTTCGTTTGAACTTTCCTACCAAATGTAAGAATCTTATCAACTTCCATGAATTATATAAGTCACAATCAAATTGTTGAATTGAAAAAATTGGATAACTTCATATAAATTTATACCGGCTAAGTTCACTATTTAGAGTAATAGGAATCGAATCGCAGACATCCACCACAAGTAAAAAACTACCTCTCGGGGGGGGGGGGGGGGGGGGGGGGGGGGGGGCCGACTAATTCTACCATAGAAGCCAACAATATACAATAACTTAACACTACCCCCCCCCCCCCTCCCGCGGGAACACAACTTTCATCGTACTGTGCTCTCCAAAGAGAAAATCTTATCAAAAGATGTTAAGTTTGAATCCCCTTATAAGTATGGATTATTGTGGTTACGGAGGATCCATCTACAGGAAAACCAGGAATGGAGAGCTTCCCCCGTCCCCTTTTTCCGTATCTCTCTTTGGTTTTAAGAATACTAGTTTTAAGAATGAGTAATTGCCCTTTTCCGACCTATATTGTGTTGGAAATTTGGTTGAACCGGACTAACCAAGTCAAACCGGTTTTGGGTTGGACCGACCGACCGGTTTGGGATTAGACCGACCGAACCAATATTCTAATTCCGTGAAGGGACACATCCCTTGGCCTAGTGGAGGTTGCATTATTTTATGGATAAGGATAACCTTATGGATAAAGGCAACCCTTCATATGGATAAGGATAACCTTTCATATGGATAGAGGCAACCTTTCATATGGATAAAGGCAACCTTTCATGAAACAATGCATGGATTCGGCCCCTATAAATATAAGGGTGGGGTGGATGGTGCCACATACCATCAAACAGATTCTTCTTCTTTCTTCCAAAAATTTCTAAGTATGCTTTAGTGTTCTTGAGCCTGGAACCTAAAGTGGTGATAGTTTTATCCTCGGGAGAAATTTCCTGCAACCCTAGGCTTGTTGAGGGTGGAAATATTCTTTTCGGAAAGTGAACTTTGTTCACGACTCTATCACAATCCTCGTCACCCGGTCTCGGGCTATCGTACGTATACCCTCGCCCCTAAAAGTCCCAACAATCGAAAAGAATATTTTTCCGGTACGAGGCTCGAACTGCTATTTACAAGAAACTGGTTCCGGTCTATGGAATTATGAGAATGTTTGATGATGGGTTTTTCATCGATGGCAGTAGAAGATGGGTTTTCTTCGTACTTGTCTCATTGTGTATTCCATATCCGGAAGGTAACTTGGAAGAGGGATGATTCGAAGATGAGGAAGAAGGAGAATGATTCGTAAAATGGAGAAATAGAAGAATGAAAATTGCCTTTGGGTTGGTTACATACTCAATGGTTAATTAGTCTAATTCTCTATTCGACATTTACGAAGTTCTAGATAAACTTGGATTTTTCTAGGGGTTTGGTGGTGTGATTTTGTCTAGTGGTTTATGTTATTTTAAACCAAGGAGACAAAATTGTATATACAATGTTTGATGATTCTGGTAATAGAGTCGTTGTGTTTGTATGTAGATGACATATTTATCTTTGTGACCAATCAAAGATAAGTGATTTTGTCAAGTGGTTTATGTTATTTTAAACCAAGGAGACAAAATGTATACACAATTTAAGACGATTCTGGTAATGTAGTCACCGTATATTTGTATGTATATGGCATGCTTATCTTTGGAACCAATAAAAGATAAGTGAACTTTGATAAAAAGTTGTTATTTAAATTCTCCATGTAGAAAATGGGGGAGGTAAATGTGATTCTGTCTATTGAATCAAGCGGTACGACAAAGAAGTTCCTTCTCTCAATTTTTCTGCATGAGAAGGTACTTGCAAAAATTCCATAGTAGGAATTCTCGTGAGTTAAAGACCCCAATGGATCCAAGTATGGAACTTATGGTTAATACTGGAAATCAGTTTTACAACTGGAGTATTCCATGTCAAATTGGGGGCTCGATGTATGCATGACTTGCATGATGCTAGATATCGCATATGCAATAGAACAATTAAGTTGGTACGTGATGAATCCTAGTTCTCATGATTTGAAATGAAATGAGGCGTGTACTAGGATATGTCAAAGGCACACTGTATTGACTTATAGTGGCTTTCCATTAATTTTGGAAGGATTTGTTGATGTTAGTTGGATTTCTCATGTTAAAGGTGATTCTTCAACATTGAGATGGGTCCTCTTGCTTGGGAGAGGTGCCATATTTTGGGCCTCTAGAAAGAAAACTTGCATCACTCAGTTTCACTATGGAATCAAAGTTTGTGTGGTCTTGGTTTTTCTTAGAGAAGAGACATAATTGTTGAGAGGTTTGGTTTATGATATATATTTATGGCCTAAACCAATCTCACCTATTACTATCTTTTGTGATAGTAATGCTAATTTGGCTAAGGCATATAGTCAAGTGAAAATGACAAGTACGGTCATGTGAGAGTATGGCACGGTAAAAGCTGTGAACTGATCATTCATAGTGTTGTGTCTAGACAGTATGACCAAACTCGAATTAATTTGGTTGATAGTGGTTAACTAGTGACTTGGTGATCAAGTCTGTGAAAGGGATGGATTAAAGTCCATATAATTTCTGGTAATGGGACACCCAATTCCCCTCTAATACAACGTTAGAGGCTGAATTCAATGTGGAAAGCTTATTATCATAAATTGAAGCACAAAATTTGTCATCCCGAGGTATGTGCTTGTTATCTGCATGAGAAAAGAGGATGAAGTTCAAAACTTCTTAATTGAATCTTTGACAAAGTGTATTATGCGGGTACACGAATAAAAGGTTCAACCTACATAAGCATGAAGTGTAGCCGCTTCAAGAAACCCGGACTTTGGTTTCGTGTGCGTTTATGAGAAGGATTGGACACATGGCGGATAATAGTGTCAAGACACTTAGAAGTTTTGAAAACTTAAGTGTATATTATCTTCGAATATTCATATGAGTCAATGGGTTCAATCGTTACCGACACCCTTTGTATTCGAGTATTCGTCAAGTGTAATATACTAAGGTGAAAATTCAATCGTCACGACATTTTCATTTATGCTTAAGTTTTGTTGGAAGAATGTTGTGATTTTAGTGAATTCTAATAATACACTAAAATGGGGGAGGAATGTTGGAAATTTGGTTGAACCGGACTAACCAAGTCAAACCGGTTTTGGATTGGACCGACCGACCGGTTTGGGATTAGACCGACCGAACCAATATTCTAATTCCGTGAAGGGACACATCCCTTGGCCTAGTAGAGGTTGCATTATTTTATGGATAAGGATAACCTTATGGATAAAGGCAACCCTTCATATGGATAAGGATAACCTTTCATATGGATAGAGGCAACCTTTCATATGGATAAAGGCAACCTTTCATGAAACAATGCATGGATTCGGCCCCTATAAATATAAGGGTGGGGTGGATGGTGCCACATACCATCAAACAGATTCTTCTTCTTTCTTCCAAAAATTTCTAAGTATGCTTTAGTGTTCTTGAGCCTGGAACCTAAAGTGGTGATAGTTTTATCCTCGGGAGAAATTTCCTGCAACCCTAGGCTTGTTGAGGGTGGAAATATTCTTTTCGGAAAGTGAACTTTGTTCACGACTCTATCACAATCCTCGTCACCCGGTCTCGGGCTATCGTACGTATACCCTCGTCCCTAAAAGTCCCAACATATTGTCCCACTTGAGATTGGACATCTAATGTGTTCCACTTATTTATTGAACAAGGTTCTATGATCGGTTCGTGATTCCTAGATGTCGAAGGCGTTATCAAGGTGATCTTGTAGTTCATAAGGGGGTGGAGGCGATTGGGTTGGTAGTCCATTGATTTTCCTTCCTTTTGCCACATTTTGCTATATGGTTGAAGGGAAACTTGATCCTCTTCCCCAGGGATCCCAAATGAGGGACTCTAGGAGAGCTGCTGACTCCAACTATCGTCCATGTACGATCCAGACTAGACCTGACCAACTGCACATCCTACCTCCTCTGCGTTCTTAACAACCCATCTTCGTCTCAATATAGTCTTTCAATATAAATATAATGTTTCAATACGCTTCCCCATTACTGAGAAAAAGTGAGTCACTTATTCAGGTAGAAGAGACTACCATTACCACCTGGACAATTATACATCCTAACTGTAATCGTAACAACTCAATTGTAAGAGCAGATTTTAGTTATTGCTTAGTCGATAATCCTCGCTGAAAACTATGTTGGGAAGTTTTGAGCTAAATAAAGGAAGTCGTTTATTTTTACGTTCCACGAAAACCGATCTTATTTTGATAATAGTAGGGTGACAAAAGAAAATTATATTGGTGGATTCATGGATTGGATCAATTAAATTCATAAATCCAAGTGGCATCGAAACATTGAACCAATATATAAACTTTGAAAATTTTAGATACTAAAATGTCATAATAATAAAAATTTAGGTACCAAAACGTCTTAATAAAAGATTGGCTTGGCTACTGCTTGAAAGAGCATTCAACATCATCCGTATAAGAAAGCGTTAACTCCACAATAAACATCAACCGGTTAGTTTTTCATTGCAACATTACCAAGCATTTGTTCCAAGATCTCACCACACTCAAAAACTCGAAACTCCGCAAACTCTTCACTGCATCAAAGACAAACAGACTGACAGAATTATTACCCATCATTCTGGCTAGAGCTTCAGCTAAAGCCTAACCAAATACCAACTATATTCTTTTTTAACCTGACAACACAAGAAGTATGAACATACACATCCGAAAACAAGCTAGGAGCAACTTTTCACAAGGGAAAGCAATGGAGATACAACTCTGCAGTTCAGCAACGTAGAGGGACGATTAGAGCCAGGGCCACCAAGCAGTAAATGATATATATACAGATCAAGCCCAAGCTTCTCTTCTGTCACCGCCACTGCTACTTAGAAAGCCACCAATATCCTGCATTTTCTTCGCCGGCTTGTTGAACTGAAAAATGGGGTGCCTACATAACCTTCTCATCCCTTTGCTCAAACTTCGCTGGTCCCTGTTCTCGTACCCTTCTTTACATCCGTTTTCAAAGCTGTCCATTCCGCACAAAGTTGGGCTGCTGATGGAAATGGACTCTGATTCTTGGTCTCCACCGATTCCCCCTCCACACCTTTTGGTGTCTGGTCTACTTGTAGTGTTGGACCCTGAGATGTTAGTGGTGAAAGCCATATCGAGCGGAAATACATTGCATGGCTTTATAAAAGATTCTTGACTAATCGACTGGTGGGTTTCATCAGATGGGGAATCTGGGTGTGTTGATTGCCTAGTGGCATTTGAAGTTGATTCCTCTCGTTCGCGGAGGGTTTTCATGATCAGCGTCTTGAGCAAGTTCATCACTTGTACGGCATGAATCAATGCAGTCAATGGATCAGCCATCTATATCGCACCAAAGAGCAAAATCTTAGTTAACAGTCAGGAAGGAAGATTCAACAATTAGATCATCATCCTGCCTAAAGTAGAAGAAGCCTTCAATACACATTGGAAGAAACAAGCTTGACAAACCTGCGTCATGTTAGGTGCAAATACCATAGCAACATTCCGCGCATTCATTTTGTTATACTGCTCATGCTCCACGACATCTGCCATCAGATTGATGGCCCAATCGAGAAGCGCTGCTTCGGTCGGAGGAAGCTGCTTCACAAGCTGAGTGCAGTCATCTTCTGTGTTGCAGTGCATCACTTGCTCTGGCGTTAGGCAATCCAGCACTCCTGAAGGTAGTTCTCTGAACCATGCCTGCAGAGGTATCATAGGAAAAAGGAGCAGTTTACAAAATTCAGAATCAGAACGATGGATTTAAAAGGGATATATCAGAGCAAACGGAACTTCGACCACAGACCTTAATCAGACCTGCCAGACAATGGACATCGATAGCGCGTGGAATGACACCTCTGTTAAGCTGCTCTCTAACATACTCCTCTTGACTATTCTCGGCATTGATTCGAAATATTCCTTCAGCCTATGACAACATGGCTCAAATGCACATTCCATCAGCATCCTTTATCAGCCAGATAGCAGGTCATACTCCAGCCACAGAGTTCACAATGACATCATAAAACCACTCACCTTAAGGCCTCCTTCTACATACAAACGCCTCTGCATCATGAGAAGTATCGTCGGCACGCTGTTCCCTCTGTCGTCGTAAGAGCACTGCATTGACTCCGCAGACACACCAAACACATTCGCACTGAGCAGAACCCAAGAAAGTACATCAGCAGGACCATCAACCAGGTAAGCAAATTCATACTGAAAATTGACGACGGGAAGGTAAATCTCGACACATTCAGTCATTCAAATCCCGAGACTAATTACTCATTACTGCCATAGTCTGAGATCTCGCCCTAGATTAAACCTATGCAATGAGCCTGAGGACTCAGCAGCCAGCAGCAGAATAACACTACTGCAGAAACCGGAATTACGGACCACAATCGAACATGCACCACACCAGCTTAATCGAAAACTGACCTGGCGCTGGGGACTTTCCGGGGAAGCTCGGGCTCGAGCTCCCGGGGCAAGCCGAGGAATCCATTGAAGCGGTCGAAGGTCACGTGGGACACGTGCCTGACCTCCGTAGGCCAGCTAATGTCCATGGAGGAGGAGGAAGATGCTTCATCGTCTCTCTCCATCACGCTGCACGTGACGAGCGACCTCCGCAGCGCTGTCACCAGCACATCCAGAACAGCGAACTGATTCCCCCCTCCGCCGCCGCCTCGATCCGCCGCCGTCCGCCCGCCGTACCTCGATGCCGGACTGATGAACGGAGTGGAAATCGCGGTGGGGCTCCTGGAACCATCGATGAATTCCTCGTCGCCTTCCTCCTCTTCGCCGGCATCGTTTCGGGCGTCGGAGCCGCCGCGGCGGCGGCGGGAGAAGAAGGTGGGAGCGGCGTTGGAGGAGTTCAATTCGGTGATGCCGACTAGGCCGCAGGATTTAGATCGAAATAACCGAGTCATTATCTATAACCGCGGGAGGAGAATTCTCTTGTGTTTTTTTTTTTTAACTCTGGTTTTTCACCGGTAGCTGTTTCTCATTTAGTGATGAAAAGGAATGATGGCGATAGCCGATATGGGAGAGACTGAGAATTGAGTGGGAGGATTAAAAATGGCGGGGAATTAGTCCTTTTTTTTTATTATTAGTTGATAAGGTAGGAGAGGGAGTGGGTTGCTTGAGGAGGAGGATGCGGTAGGGAGGTGATAGGGACATTTTGGCTTTACTTTCTTTTGTTATTTCTTTTCGTTTTTTTTCGCTTTGCTTACTTCACATGCCTTGTTTTTTAAGAATGGTGCTAACATTTTGATAACTTTTTTTTTATATATATTTAAAGGGTTGATTAAAAGTCACAACTAAGGGTTATTTTTTTAAATAAAGAGATGCTTGTTTATTTTAAAATTATAAGGGGGAACACAACATGTGTTATTGATTGTCCATTTATTATGTGTTACGTCTTTAGCCTACATGTAACTAACATCCCGAATACTTTCCCGGCGAAAATATTGATTGTTCACTTTGGGCCTCGATCCACAAGATTTTTGACTTTGGGTTGCAATTCATTGTGACTTTCCATAAGGTCGCCCATCCTTGTTGTAGTCCACACTGAGCATGTTTAACTTCGGAAGTTCTCACAAGAACTCCTCCATTTCATCCCAAAACGCGTCTTGTCAGTTAAGGCCGGTTTCCTACTTATGAACCATGGATCTCTCCTGTGCTTTGTCGATGTGGGATTTGCCTAAGGTGGCAAACCTCAACGAGGGCGTTGGGTTCCCCCCGAGTCGACAAAGCACGGTAGAGATCCATAGTTCTTAAGTAAGAAACCGACCGTAACTGATAAGACGCGTTTTGGGGTGAAATGGAGGAGTTTTTGTGAGAACTTCCGAAGTTAAACATGCTCAGTGTGGACTACAACAAGGATGGGTGACCTTATGGAAAGTCACCATGAATTGCACCTCAAGTCAAAAACCGTGAGGAGGCCCAAAGTGAACAATATCTTCGTCGGGATAATGTTCGAGATGTTACACTACAAGTATTATGAAGCATATACAAAAACAGACCAAAAATACAACAAACTATAGCACAAATAAAATAAAGAATGCGGAGTTATAAAATCTTTAGGGATTAGGTATTAAGGTAGTATCAGATTCATTAGTATTCATAGCTATAAAATATGCAGGAAATGATTTATCTGTTGGTAATTGTCAAAAACATATTGATATTCTATGTTTGATGTGATTATTTCATTTAAGATATGTAATGCTTGTTTTAAAGCTAATTGTTTATTGAATGGTTGCATAGCTATTACAATGTTGTGTTAGAGTTTTTTGATGTGTTTCAAGTGAAGAAAATGAGAAAATGGTAGCACGGACAGATTGCAATAACACAAAAAAAAAATGGAAAAAGAAGATTGGGCTTTACAGGTCTGTTTATGGAAGCAAGCAACTTGGCCACTTGGTATGGGCCGGTGCTCGACGACCCCTCACCTTCCTTTGGGCCCCGAGCGAAGGAGCGGCTCAATGAGAGAGTTGGGACCGAGTCCATTGTCGTATTGTCAAAGTAGAAGATGGAGATTTGTGAAGGGCAATTTTCAGGATTTACTTGGACCAAGTCCACTGTCCTTTAGTGGAAGGAAATTGGAGCTGGAAATTTCTTGGGCCGGCCCAGCTTCTTGTCCGCCTGGGACATTGATGGAATTGGAGCTGGGAAAAGATTCCTTTGGGAGGAATAAAAGGACTTGGACTGGAATTAATTCCAGAATTCTTTGGGGGCAAAAATTGGAGAGCAGCAGCGCGAATTGGAGACTTGGGCCGGGATCGTGGAAGCGGTTCGAGATAGATAGAAGAGCATCGTTGGAAGCGCGAACTTGTCACAAACTAAACACCAATTTTTAGGGAAACACTATAGGTTGTAGTTATTTCTATACTTGATGGATTGATTCATATTTTTTCCTTCCAATTTATAGCGCATGAAATTGTTTAATGTTTTGTGTTGATTGGCCACCAATACATAGATTCGTAGTTAATAGGTTATTAGCGACAGTCAAATCCTAATATCTGAACATATTTCATGTGACATAGTAACTTATCGAAGCAACAGTGGATTAAATAAGGTGTTATGGGATCTTGAATGAGATATCGATCTTCGGGCTAAATTATTAACTCACTAAGCTACGACAGTAGGATTTGATTTAACTATTTAGTACATAGTGATTACCGATAGGGATAGCTAACACAATAGTGATATTTTGACTATAGATATATGAGTTAAACAGATTAGAAAAGTGAATTAATTTGATATTTTAGATAGTTAATACCGGTGTTTATCGTATAGCTTTCTCCATTGAATTTATCCCGACCATTAATTTGCTTGTTTTGTTTAATTATTTTCACCTATAATTTGTTCCATAAAATTGATAGATCATAAGGTTCTACCACTCCCTAAAAGATAATACCTGAATTTTTGGTTTACTACGTGATAAGAATTAGGCATATACGCTTTTGCTTATCATCTGCGAGCTGGATTTTCATGCTAAGTGGGTGAAGACTTCCTAGATTTAGTTTCTTAAACACACAATATTAGCACCATAATGGATTAGTAATCAATAAACTTTAGAATTGCCAATAGTACAAGGTAATGCTAGCACCATAACAATGACAATAGCGCATTTCTGCGGTATTCATCAATAACCCAACCCATTAAATTTTACTCAAATAACTTATACAAATACTTAATCCAGACGACGCTGAAGTATTACTTACTAGGTTGGCCTAATATTCCATGGTTTAGTGTAATATGCTGTTCGTTATTCGGCTATGTCTTTATTTGATGTAATTTGAGGTTAGGTCGGAAAACAACCTATATTGCAACAATGATCGAAGGAGACTCTATTTGAACAATCAACATTTTAACCATGAACCGTGCCTATTCAATGCGATTTCGATTTAACCACAAAAGTGCAACCATTTTTCCACCCAAAGCAGTTAAAATTGGGATTTTACCTAAAATCGAAAACTGAGGTAAAATCGGAATCGTAAAATCGAATCGTAGAATCCTAAGATTTTAAGTACCATATATAAATTAACATATAATAATATTAATAAGGTAAATAATTAATAACACAAAGCCTTATAACATTTAAAGTGATAATTTTCAAGATTAATGTTCCAAAATTATCATTTTAATTGTTATTTAATACGCAACTCAAAATAATTTATGAGGAAGGGATAGAGCTCATGGGGTTTGACTCTTATTTTTCATGTTGTGTCTAGGTAGTTTAACTCAAAGTAGTATTCCGACATCGTCTACTAAGCATGATTTAAAACTAAGAATAACTGAAATCCAATAAAATAATTAATGCCATTGGTTTGGTACAAATATATTCATTAATCAAATAATTTGTTAATAATGATGTTAATTCTTACGCACTTACAATATTCTGAGAATTGTTTTACCGATGAGTTAAACAAGGAGAAGGGAAAGGGGTTGACCGAACCATAATTAATTTTTTTCTTCTTTTCAAATGTTCTTTTAATAGAAAAAATATATGAGAAGATCCCCGTCATTGCTCTTTCCGTCGAAACAGTTATGTTTCTTTTGATTTGGTTCAAGGTTTCAAGCTCTCTATTTTGATCACATAAGCTCAAAATCCGATTTTGGTACGATCTTACGATTTTAACGATTTTAATCCCGATTTTGAACGATTTTAAGGTCCACAGATTTTATAGTAAAATCAGGATCGAAATCCCTAAATAAAATCCTAAAATCCTACGATTTTATGATTAAAATCCTGATTTTGACTGCATTGTTCCCACCCCTAATTTCATCCTCTAATTTCGATTTAATCGTAGATATCCGCCCGAATCTGACCTAATAAGGTAGGGTAAAACCTGAATCCAAATGATTTTTAGTGGCTACGGGTAAACCCCAAAACCAAAAATTACGTGTAATTGGTGGACATGGTTTTCTCACTATCCAATTCAAACTCGCCCGATTATACACATGCGTATGTATTTTGTGGAAATAATAATTATTTTTCTCTATATATTAAGCATATAAATATAATATTTTCATGAAATTGTATTGTTTTAATTATTTTTTTATTTCATTCCAGTGAACTATTGTCGTACTTTTCCTCTTATGTAACGTGAGAATACGTGTGAATGTTAACATATTAGTTCGAGTTACAGACACAAATTAGTATCCATAGATAACAGTGGATACCCAATCGGGTATGAACATGATTTTTATTTTCTACCCGTTTCTATGTAATTATGGGTATGAGTAAAATCCGAACTACTTAAAATATGGTAACGAATATGCAATCCAACTCGACTCGTTGCCATCTCTAATTAGTAGTTATGCACTCTTGCTTTCCTCTTCCAAACCGCCACGTAGGACAGAGCGCTGTGAGCCATATAAAGCAACAGCCAGCTCCTTTCCCGTAGCTCGCAACCGGTGGATTCAACCGGTCCTTCCAGATAATCCACGTCACGCCCACCACAGGACCCCACCATGCGACCAACCTAGGTGCTCTTTTACAACCTTATCCCCACCCTCAAAGGACGCTTGTGGCGGAGAATAGCGGAGAGCATGTCCAAAAGCGACATTTCTGACAAAAAAGTGCAAAGGTGGGCGTCAAGTCCATCCAGCCAATAAATTTCAGCCACATGGCTTCATCTCCCTCCTCCCGAGTTTGCCCTCGGCTCCAATCGCAGCCTCAAATATTAATTTCGATTTGTTTATTAAATACGAGAAAACAAAATTAAAAATAAAAAGAAATCCGCTGGGAAATTATAGTGGCTGAGATTTCTCCAAGCGCTTCCCCAACTGTGTTCGTTTCTGGTGTTTTAGGTCTCACCGAAACTCGCTATCACTTCTTCCTTCTTCTTCTTCCTGTTCTATATGTTTCGTTTTTACTCCCTCTTTTTCTTTCTTTCCTTCATCTCCTCTGCCGAATCCCCAGTTCTATCTTCCGGAACGAACTCGTGATTTTGCGAGGTTCCCGATCTGCCATTGTCGGTAGAGGATGAGTTTACCGGCGGAACTCCGGTGACATCTAGCCCTTGCTTGATCGGTTACTTTCACATGGATTTCCTACGAGGTACTTCGATTTATTCTTCTCGCAGCTTCTTTTTTGGTTTTCTAGCTGTTCGACTCTCTGTTTGGTTGCCGAGAAATGTTTTAAAAGAAAACTCCGATTGGAATTCTTACTCTGCTCAACTTCACTATCCTCGCTTGTTTTTGGTGATTGCCTGCAATCAAGGAGTTAGGATCTGAGAACTGGTGAATGGTGGATTGAACTGGATACTGAATTGCTGACTACTGATTCGAGTTTCTCTTCTGTTTGTTTTGTTTGTTTGTTCTCTTGTTTCTTGTTTCCATGTTCTAAAGGATTTGCAGTTCACGCGTCCAATTTGGTGAGGATTCTGAATAAAGGAGTTTACATTTAAGTTCAGAATGGGAGGAGCGTCTCTCTATCTGTTACTGGTGGATTCTTTTGGATTTTTACTATTTGTTTGCAGTAAAAAAAATACACTATCTGTACTGTATCTTTGACCTTCAAGTATGTAGACAAGTGGTGTTCTTAGTCGTTCTGACACAATTGAGACGGAACTCTATACGATTTCCTGCTCCTTCTTTCTATCCTTTTGCAGTAGTGTGCTATTCTCAGATTTTCTCTATTCCAGAAACAACGGCTTTAGTTTCAGTTTTCCAAGTTGCCAGAGATGAGGGGAAGTTGCTCTTCAGTCGGCTGCTCGTTCGAAAGGATTTGAAGCGGCAACAGCTGCTGAAGATCCGGAAATGGACACATACTCGTCTGGTGAAGACTTGGTTATTAAGGTCAGCTTGTTGGCTTCTTTCTCTGATGGCCTTACCTGTGTTTTCGTTGCTTTCATTGGTTTCCTCATATTGTGAGCTAAAATAGTGAAGCAAGTGTCTGGTTACTGAGTTACGGATTGTGTGAAATGATAGGCGAGGAAACCTTATACGATTACCAAGCAACGGGAGCGATGGACTGAAGAGGAGCATAATAGGTTCCTAGAGGCTCTGAAGCTCTATGGTCGAGCTTGGCAGCGAATAGAAGGTTGTAGTTTCTATTCATTCACAGGCTTCAACTATTGTTTTCCAAAGAGAATTTGCGAATTTTCAGTCCTTTTAGATACTCATCAGCAGTGAGGCCGATCAGTTTCATTTTGGTAGAAAATTTATCCAACTTATGTAAGTTATGATGAGGATGTTACTACTTAAAGTCGACCTTATTCCTTTCTCAAGCTGGCTATTCTTGTTGAACTGTTGCATTTGTCCTTGGCGTGTTTCTGTTGTTGGTGCACAGAACATATAGGTACAAAGACTGCTGTGCAGATTAGAAGTCATGCACAGAAGTTCTTCTCAAAGGTCAGTGTCTCCTTTATGTTGTTATAAGTTTCTGTCAGTCTATTGTCACACACCCATAGCCTGAAGTGGATTTTTTCAGTAAAACGTTATCACTTGTTTTTATAGCAGAACTGTGCTAAAGAACCATTTTCTTTGACTTAGTTGAAGTCAGACTGTCAAACTTGGAGGATAGAATTGAAAATGCTTGGGAGTTGCCAGGGTCATCTTTAAATCTATTTTCTCTAAGATAAGTTAGATGAAAATGTTTATTGTTTTGTTTGGGAGTGGAAACCAGTTACCTTGTACTAGCCATGTCAAAGCCTTTAAAACCATAGTCTCTTTGACTTATCGAAATATATAAACTAGTATTACGGTGTTATCCCTATATACTCGGGTGAACAAAAAGATGTTTGTTAATACCAGTGTGCCCTCTGCTACTAAGGTTGCTTTGTATAGCAGGATGTTTAGTGCTTTTCTTTGAATACTTTTTAGCATTTTGTTGTTGTGTTATGATGAAGTGTTCAGCTGCTCTTTTATTATGAGTCAGGCATTAAAAAATTGAAACTTAGCAATGCACTATTTGGAGACATAATAGAGAGCTGTATGTGATTGTAATAGTAATTTCTTACACTGGTCTAATAGTCATTCTAGTAAACAACTGTTGAGAGCTTTTGCAGCCAATGTATCAGAGTAACAACCTTAAGAATGTTTCTCCAACATGACTTACTGGTCACTGTAGGGATAGAACTGAAAGTTTATTTGTTTAAATGTGTGCTGTGTGCGTCCTACAAGATGGATACATAGTTTCTCAACATGGTCATTCATGAATATCCCATAAAAGTTAGCAAGTCTCGTGCTATATCCTTGCTTAGCTCTTTTAATCTGTTTTCTGCTACTTTTTTGACAATGGTGATGCAAATTGGGACAAGTGGTCCAGAAATAGCAAAGTGATTAGCTCTTTACTCTTCAGCTTAACTGAAGAATAATGTTTCTTGGAAGTAAAGCAGAAGGGGGCTGGTTTGGTTGAGTAAGGAGTCACTGCTCCTTTGCTCTACCAAACCAGCCCCTTTTCTGTTTTAGTATAGTGGAGGAAGTCCTTGTTATAACAACTACAAATTTGGTCTTTCGGTCATGTTAGAAGTCATCGAGTTCCTTGAGAAAAAAGTAAAGCCATCAAATTCTCTTTCACGTGTAACCTAACTAGGGAAACTGTGTTTCTTTTGTATGAGCAGCTCAATAATTTTGAGATTTTGCGAGGAATAGTTTCTGGGATAATAGAAGGATCATTAAACACTTTACATTACTTGGTATCAACATGCTGTTACATAGACAATCATCGAAGTAACAAGTCTTTTTAAACACTTTGTTTTAATATCTCATCTTCTATAACTGTAATCACAATATCAGTGTCATATTTGAAACTTTCATCACTGCCCTTGGCACTAGAATGTGATGATAACTCATTATTTGATCCGTAAATGGTATATATTACCGTTTACGATAGCGTCTGTTCAGTTGCTCTAGATCTAAAAAAGATGTCCTTTAATTGTGTGAAGTTTATTTTATCATCAATTCTTTTATTTACTCTGCCATTCGTGGGCATGCAGTGACAAGTTTTGGGATTTTTTGTTTTGTTTCTAATCTGCAAACCGAAAGGAAAATTTTCTCTGCAGTTGGAGAAGGAAGCTGTAGCGAAAGGTGTTCCAGTGGGAAAGGCTATTGATATCGACATTCCACCTCCACGACCGAAAAGGAAGCCGAGTAATCCTTATCCTCGTAAAACAGGGGTTAGTCCCATCACGTCTCATGCTGGAGCAAAGGATGGAAACCTTTCAACTTCACTTCCTTGCAGCCAGCAAGTGCTAGACCTCGAGAAAGAACCACCTCCTGAGGTGATTTATTATTCTCTTCCTTTTCTCAAAATATATTGGCCTTCATGTTATTGATGTTTTGTATGCACCTCTATCATTATCCAGAAACCTAGTGGCGATGAGAACTCTACTGGTGCAAAAGAAAACCATGACGAAAGTTGCTCAGAACTCTTCAATTGCAGTTCCTCCGCTTCATCACTGAAGAAAACTTCCACAACACCACCGGAATTGCTTAGGAGGATACCATCCTCCTTTAGGGAGTTCGTGCCTTGCTTGAAAGATGCAGCAGCAACTCAGGATGCAACAAATGAATCGCACTCTCATATCACCACTGAACATCCTGATGGAAATCGCAAGTGGAATGATTATAAGAATAACAGGCCAGAGCTCAATCTGAAAGTTCCTGACAATGGCAGTAGCAGTAAGCTCCTTCAGCTCGGGAACTCCTGCCTCCATTTGCACGAGGAGTCACTGCAAGACAAGAAAGCTGATGATGACAACAATGCCAATGTGGTGCCACCAGAGGATAAGATGCTTCAGCAGAACTATCCTCGGCACGTTCCAGTGCACATTCTTGATGGGAGGAGATTGGGAACATGTCATGACTCAATGGCCACCACTGTAGGAGAAAGTAGTCAGGCACAATCTAATGTATACTCGCTTCCAACTCCATCTGCAGCTGGAGTCCAGAACAACAGGCCGCCAACATCTTCGTCACATCAATCATTTCCATCTTTCCCCTTCACACCAAATCCTCTCCAAGATCAGCAAGATGACTACAGATCCTTTCTCCAGATCTCTTCGGCCTTTTCAAGTCTCATCGTGTCTACTCTGCTACAGAACCCTGCTGCCCATGCCGCAGCAAGCTTTGCTGCCTCATTTTGGCCGTATGCAAATGTTGAAAATGGGGCAGATTCATCCAGACAGGTGGTAAACTCTGCTCCTAGTATGGCAGCCATTGCTGGAGCTACAGTGGCAGCGGCAACTGCCTGGTGGGCTGCTCATGGACTGCTTCCCTTGTGTGCTCCTCCTCCTCCTCCTCCTCCAATGCATGGTGCATCCTTTGCTTGCCCTCCGCCAGCTGCAATTCCATCACCTCATAACAGTCCACTTAAAATGGTGAGCAAGGAAGGCACTCCTCCCCAATATTCACATTCAGAGACTGCAATGCTTGCTCAGAACTCAACCTCCAAATCACATGACATGTCTTCGTCTGACAAGAGAGAAGAGAATAACGGAGGCTCAAACCCGAATGCTGCTGTGCAGCAAGTTGCTGGTCACAAGATGAACTCGACGGCACCAGAGGTAAATAATGATTCTAGCGAACCAAAGAACAGGAAACAAGTCGATCGTTCCTCGTGCGGTTCAAACACAGCCTCCAGCAGTGAAGTGGAGACAGACGCGTTAGAGAAGAATGAGAAAGATGATGACAAGGAAGAGCCGATGAAAGAAGGCGCTGATGCAAACAACCCTCCAGCATCGACAACTGATTCTGGCTGTCGTCGAAGTAGGAGCAACACAAGCACAAGTGGCGATTCGTGGAAGTCTGTTTCGGAAGAGGTAGTAATCTAATAACATCTCTCTATCCTTTCATTGCTTCCAATGATTGATTTAGACGACAAAAAAACAGAGCTGTTAGAAGGTATATGCATCTGGCTCACGTCCCTCTCTTACATTTCCAATATGTCTCAGGGACGTCTCGCCTTCCAAGCACTATTCTCAAGACAAGTGCTTCCACAGAGCTTCTCGCCCCCACCAGATGGCGAAGTAGAGATGCAAAACGCGGAGCATAGAAATGTAGAGGTAATGGTATTGGATCTCAACAGGTGCCATCCCAGGGAGGAGCAGAATGCCATCTCTCCTACTCATGGGGAGGAATGCTCATTACCAACTATAGGAATTGTCGCGAATGAAAAGCTCAAGCCTCGTCGAACCGGGTTCAAGCCCTACAAAAGATGTTCCGTCGAGGCCAGGGAAAACAGGCTGACAACCAGTTGCGGCGGAGGCCAAGGGGAAGAGAAGGAGTCGAAGCGGATATGCTTGGGGCTGGAAGGGGAAGCTTCCATCTGAGATGAAAATGCTCCTAAAAAACAGCGGAAACCTCTGTTTTAGGCAGAGCATGTTACATCTCATTTTTATCTCCTTCCTCTTTTATCATTTCTGTTACAAGTTTAAGAGTCCCCTTCCTTGCACGAGACCTTTTTCGTGTGTTAATGTGTGTGTGTACCATATCCATCTCTGCTACATTTGACGCTTATTGTTTCAATGTTCCCTCAAAACCGCATGAAACTGTGACTGCCATCAGCTAAAGCCTAAGTACTTCCTCTTTTGAATTATTTCTACACTTAGAAAGTTCACTATAGACATGTTTGACATATTTTCCTGCGCCTCTTAACCTCTATTTTTGGATTGTGCACTTACTGCAAAAATATTCTTCGTATAAAACCCGGAACGTCCTGTGTAAAATGCACGATACCCCAAGTTTCGCCATAGCAGCTTGCCAACAAATCTGTCAAAAAACAAAGGTTGCCAAAATAACCAATATCCCACAGTTGCATATTCAAAGAGGCTACCAATGTACCATCGTCTATCAGCAGAATCAATAAGAAACCGCTTTCATTTACATCGTTGCATTCAAGGATTGCAGCTTTTCCACTCCCATAGTCTTTTTACACTATATAGTATATACACATGTAAGGAATATTTCATTCAATTGGCTCAGCTCGTTACTGTCCTTTTCGAGTATCTACTGGCTGACGTGCAAATTTCAACAATTGCATGCTGCTGCATATTGCTTTTCCATTCCCAGATTGGCTGCCAATTGGTGAGTTTTTACGCGGCAACCGAAAGGAAGCTAGGCCGGATGTACTATAGAGAGTGATGGGGTGGATTAATTCTTTCTTTGAATTCAAGGCTGTGGCATGCGGAGCTGAGAGATCAGAAACTTGGACTGGTGTGACTGTAAGTTGACTATGTAGCATCGAATTCGCTGCTTGTTAGCAGGAGTTAGAATAAACGGAGGGTTGAGTGCAAGAGAAGTCGCTTCTCCCACGATGAAGGACAACAGTAGCAACGCTTTGGAGTACGAGACAGCTGCATTGTCCTTGTTGTCCATGTATTCGTCCACCTGAAGATGAAGAAAACACAGTGGTATTTTTAACATAATGCAACAATGTCAAAGAGAAGCGCAGCAGTGAGAGAAGAGAAGACGGTCACTTACAGCACCGGCTGTCCCTAGAGCTAGGGCCTTCTGGAATATAATTTCCATTGCATCTGGCATCTCTGCTGCAGCTGCAAAAGTAATACACGATAGATATTGGTAACAGAGCGTAAAAGTAAGTGCAGAAAACATACTGGTGTGTTTGTTTTGGTTCAAAGGTAACTTCTACTTTTCAAAGAGCTGGTCTACAGTTAAAAACAACATAGTTCTTCAACCTAAAATTCATTTCATACTCTGCCCCTTGTAAAAACCCAACCCAAGATATATGCATACTGAAACTTAAAATATTACACTTTTTTTTTTTTTAAAAGACACTCATCATTATATCATTCAACGAAACTGATGAATTGACGAACCATCAACGTCTTTGAGGTGCCCTGACAATTTCTCCGCATTATCAAGAGCAGAAACAAACCCTTCTTGTGCCCATTTGCAGGCAGAGGAAGGCTTGTCAAATTCAATTTTATCTGCCGCACAGAACACGGGGTCATCATCAATCGGTGTAGGCAGAACATCTGAGATTTCAGGTAAGTCATTTCCAGGAGTTGTAGTGAGCCAGGTGCCACAAATCTCAACTGCTTTCTTCCAGCAAGCCAAAACTACCAGTTCAACTGAAAATGCTTCCAGAAATTGTCCTGCCTTGTACTGCAAACAATAAAAATCTGAAATCATCACAAACTAAAACTCCTTTTGAATGTATTCCAAGATTCATGTTCCTGCCTGCTTCAACATAAGCTGCATTTTGCCACAAGGGATATGAATCCTATCAAGTGCTTGCTAACAGATCATCCATTCAACACAACCCGAAATTCTATAGCACTCATTGTTTGTATTTGGCTATTTGCCAACTACCCATTATTGAAGAATCCCGAACAGAAAGTTGTTTAAATAGATCACATCCTAGGAAATGCAACAAGCTGTGTATAAAGAATGTTAGCTAGTTGTACCTGAAGAATGCTAGACATCCTAGGGAGAAGACAACAAAATTTACTACAATGTAGACCATACTAGGTACAGTCTCACTTTGCTTTCGACAACATCGCCTACTCGTCAAAGACAACAGCTTTCAAATTTCTCTAAGCATTTTTTGCTATGTCAAGTCCTCTATACTGTTAGCATTTCACCTCATCATCTACTAACACAACAGCCCAGCTCTGTTAGAACTCAAATGACTTGGACAACTCATCAGAGTGTCAACAGAGTAGAACATTGCTCATGTATCAAAAACATCTAACTCCCATCGGATCTAACCTTTGGGTAACCTACAAAAAAGGGGAAATAATGTACTTAGCTGATGTGAAAGAACTCACTTTTTCACTAACTACTTCTGATACTGCCTGGAGATACTGTCGTAATACGAGGAGCCTAGTTGATGGATGTAATATGGATAACCCTTGAAGTTCCCTACATGTACTGAAATTGCATGTTGTAGCTAATGGTTCTGATCCTTCGACTCCCTGCTCCAAGGAATGAGCAGGATCAACCTCTTCTGCAAGCATGACACTTGCTGTATTTTCCACTTTGACCTCAGTGGGTCCACATACAGAAACTCTGTTATTGGAGCTTTCTTGCAATGACGTCTCGAAGTAACACGTGATGTTCTCCTTTGAAGTGAAATGGCAATTAACAAGAACATAATCCTTCTCAATGGACTGCATACAGCCAGCAACTAGAAGATAATAAGAAAACAATCAGTCCTGGTTAAGAAGCCCAAGCTTAGGTTACAGGAAAAAAGGGGTGACAGGACTATGACCATGAAGTTAGTCTAGGCCTATTAGACATTGAACTAATTTTAAAGTATAAAAGAGTTGAATGATGAACAACTACCTTGAGTCTGATCCACTGTCAAATTGTTGCCAAAAATGGGTTTCCCCATCTCATCACTGGCAATATTTTCCAGAGACCGAAACATGCTTGCATGGCTGGATGTACCACCATCAGCTTTACCATGTTGTATTTTGTGGTCAGGGGCAGATGGAACTGCTAAGTTCAGATTGTTCTCACCAGAGCAATTAAGACACTGTGAATGCAACTGCAAGCTCTTGTCACAGGAAGAATGAGACTGCTCAACTACTTGTTTTGGTAGGGAAACTAGAGAACATTGCTCTGTCTCCACAGTCAGCCTACATCATTTTGAATGAAACAAATAAAGATAAACGCAGAAAAGGGACCAAACAACGTAGGTTACTACTTAGTAAATGAACATTGAAGGATCAACTTGAAACTGTTACCTAGGTTCCACTAAGAATTTATGATTGAAGAACTCCAGGAAGGTTAGCCGTTCAACTGCAAAAGCAAAGTTAGTCTCCTGGTCAGCTATGTAGCACAGATGCCAAGCAACACTACCTACCCAATCACGAGCAGCATACAGTTCCATAGTTTTGAAAGCTACAAGCAGGTACGTTGCACACACAGGGATACAGGTACCTGGGTTCTTGCGTAAAAGGCTTCTGCACAGGTCTACACAGTTTGGATGCAGCTTCTCCAAAGCACCCTCTGGAAACTGCAGCTCAGTTGACATCAAAATATTCTGAAAGAGCTGCATGCATGAGAGAACAAAGTAAATATTACAGCCTGTCATATTTAAGAATCCAAATGTTTAACTCTGTCAAATTCAGGCTGCATTGGTAACTTCTTTGTCACCAATTCTTCCACTGAAGTTCTTAATATAGAAACCTGAAATTGACTATTCCCCTGAAATGGCGGCCTGCCTGTCACCAGCTGGAATAGAATTGCACCGACACTCCATAAATCAGCCTGCATGTCCAAAGAAACTACGTGAGAAATGCTACTACTGGAAAATCTACAGTAATAACTTCCCTACTCCTTCAAGCATTACATAGTTGATTACCTTGGCATCATACTTTTTGTTCTGAATAATCTCTGGGGCCATGTACAGAGGAGATCCACAAAGTGTCTTAGCCAATTCGTTGTGTGTCAAGGACCTGGTAGATAAATGCATCGAGAAAATGACATAAAGCAGAGCCACAGATGAAGTCAATATTACATAAATTTCTTATTTACTATTTAGAGTTTAGCCAGATGGGGAGTGGGAAGCGATATAAAAGCCATACATAGTTGCTAGAAAAGTTATTCGTAGTTAGGCTGCTGGTAAGAAGTTAGTATATGACAGCTTCAGGTTTTGTAACCAAACAAAAACTGCAATAACGCACCACATGTAAAAATTAAGTACATCAAAATCTTGTTGTTATAGAGTTGTCCCTTTCCTACATGGTGGTTGACTTTTCATTAGCTAAGCTGCCAAAGTACATGTCAGTGATTAACAGGCAAAAACAGTTCCAGGTAATGAGGAGTGCTTCTTGTGACAGGAGCCATCAGGAACCTAAATTACAACACTCATGGTGGCTCACCTGAGAACTAGTGATTATGCGTGCAAGATGATCTTTGATGGAACATTTGTAGGCAGCCTAAATGATATGGGCTGTCTTGAGCTTGGTTCTGTATGTTAATGATATAATGATCTTTCCAGTTTGCAATGTCAGTCATGGATGAGAACACAGCACTTTTCCTAAATAAGAAAAAGCATCATCGTACACCACGGAGAGATGATTGATCACATCAATCACCAAATCTGTGCTTAGCACACTTGGCAGACAAAAAGAAATAACACCGGATGCAAAATTGATTAAACTAACAAGGAGATTCTCACCTAGCAAAACCAAAATCTCCTATCTTCAACAGTGGAGTTTCCTCATGTGATGACAAAAGCAGGTTCTGCAAATATAGTAGTTTACCAATTCATCAAAATCCACCACAAGTAACTAAGGGGAAAACAAAATCACTCACAAGTTCAGAAACCAGAGACTGTCACAAAAATCCTGGCTTTTGGTTCAAACCTGTGGTTTCAAGTCCCTGTGAATGAGATGCTTCTCTTGTAGTACTTGCAATCCTGCAGCTGCACAAAAAAATCCAGCGACCCGTATTGTCAATCAGTAGAAAGATGCAGTCTTAAACCCAGAAGGCGGCCATTAGAGAAATCCCAAAACTATGAACAGCCATGAACCCACAGCAAACTTGAAAACTAACGATGCAGAATAAGAAGAAGAAAAATACCCAATTGCCTCATAAAGTGCCTGGCAACAAGCTCTGGAACTTTCCCATGGCGCTGAATGTACGCCGCCAGATCACCTCCGTCGCAGTACTCCAATATCAAATATATCCTATCAGCAGTCTATCCGTCCAAAGGAACTTTTCAGTTGCAAAACCACCGACATCCATGGTAAAGCAATAGAATAGTGACGATGGAATGTTTTCTTTTTGGTTACCTCGAAAGCCTCGTAAAGCCGAATGATGTTAGGGTGATGAATGGTACTGAGAATGGAAATCTCCTTGCGCAAATTGGCGCTAACTTTTGGGCTGAGCAGTTTCTTATCGATCTCCTTCACGGCGACTTCCAGACCCGAGACTCGGTGGCTGGCCCGCCAAACCACGGCGAAGGAGCCCGACCCGAGTCTGGGTCCGATTACGTAATCGCCAATCCGTTGACGATCCATCATCACCACCGCCGACGCGACTCAGTGGAGGAGTCAATGACGATGCCAAAAAAAAAACTGGGGTTTCAGACGGTTTTAGTTTTCCCTTCTTCGTGAATGGACAAAAATAAAAGTCCCCAAGGGTATCATCGCCACCGTCATCTTGTTTGCTTGCTGTCTGTCAGTTGAGTTTGTAGCTGCTGGAATTAGCAGAAGAAAACCAATTTTTTGCAGTGTTTGTTTCTCGAGAAAAGAGAGGTAACGAAGCGGATGTGACGACGAATTTGCAGTTGGAGTTTGGAAAGACGATGGTGTGTTGGTTTTCAACTTCTCTTCAATTTAGAGATCAAGCCCTCTATATTTGCAGGTCAGATCAGGTCCTTAAGGCCTAATCCTTAAGGAAGATCTTAAACCATCTCTAGCCAATAGGAGAAGGAGAGAGAAAAACATTAGTAATAATTAGCTAACTACCTAAAAGGGTAAGACTGGAATATAATAGAAACTTAATTGATTAATAATTAAAAAGGAAAATGGTAGAAATCACTCCTCTGATGCCTCACTATTGAAAATTCATATCGGGAAAAATGGCCTCCTCCGAACCCTAAAATCGTTTCCCTCGAAGCCACGGCTGCAAACCCATCGCCGGCTAACCGTCGCGTTCCGGGTGCAATCCCAGTGTCGGTGCCACAACAGCACGGCTGCGTCACGTCATCATCAAGTCTGTGTCACGTCGTCGTCAAGTCACAGGTGCATCCGTTTTGGTTTCCTCGTCTGCAATCTCGTCATCATCAAGTCGTTGTTCCATCTGCAAACCCTCCGTCATGGCTTCCTGGTCGCTGTCGTTTCTCCCATCTCGACCATCTTCTGGTCAGATTCCCGTCGACGTCGTCACTAGCTTCCCGTGCTCGGCGTGATGGGTGATGATGATAATAACGTTGCTTGTAATGTTAATAACGTAAGGATAAAGATAAAAAACGAATGTTAATAATGTAAGTTAGAATGACAACAAAATGTTAATAACTTTGGTAAAAATGATAATAATGTATCTTAAAATGTTAATAACGTAGAATAAAATGGAAATAATTTGTAATGTTAATAATGTAGTTTAATACATGTTGAAAGTGTAACTATAATTTGTTAAATTGTTAATAATGTGGGTTAATATGATAATAACGTAGGTTAAAATGTTAATAACGCAAGGGAAAAGATAGGTAACGAATGTTAAAAATGTTAGTAATGTGAGTTAGAGTGAGAACCAAATGTTAATAACGTTAACTAAAATGATAATAACGTAGCTTAAAATGTTAATAATGTAGGTTAAAATGAAAGAGCTCTTTTTTATTACGTGGGTTAAAATGTTAATAACATGGGCCAGAATGATAATAACTCAGTTTAAATTGTTAATAATGTAAGTTATAATGAAACCATCTTTATATAACGACAGTTAAAATGTTAATAATATAGCTTTATATTATTGAAAGTATAACTAATAATTTGTTAAAATGTTAATAACGGCGGCAACGACGGTGGAGAACTGGACCAAGGGTGGCTGGAACTCGCCGTTGGTGGACTGGGCCGACGACGGCGGAGAACACTGGCGGGAGCTACTTCACCGGCCATAGATCACAGCGGGAGGGGAGCTGAATCGACAGCGGCAACGGAAGAATGGCGAGCGATGTTGCTGGACTAGAACGACGACCGCAACGGGAGATATATACGTTAGAAGGGCTACGTTTTTTAATTTAATTGCAATTTCCTTAATAACCCTAACAACTATTTAACTAATAACTCCCCTTAACTACCTAAAATTAAATCAGCCAATCACAACGCTTTAAGATCCTCTTTAAAAAAGAGGGTTTAAGGACCTGAACTTAGGCCCTATATTTGGACGGGTGGGTTTAGTCTAAAGTCTAAACGTATAATAATTACTTAATAATTAGACTTATTCAGCTGGAACGCTCAAACATTTTGGTTTAACATATACATGTATACCACTCTGTATGTAGAGAGGGCAATTTTTTTTTTTTTACAAAAATAAAATTAAAGAGTTGCATTTACGATATTGCTGAACTCTAGAAATTCAAAAATCAAAACTTCAATAAGTATTAAGTAAAACTTAAATCAAGAATCGGCGTATAAAATGGCTTATTGTATAGTATATTTTGAGATTCGTCCAAGCAAGGAACAAAATGGCCTCCTCTGCCTCTTCTTGCTTATCGTTTAAGTGTGTGCAGAATGTACTCAGCATAAAGATCCCTGCGTTCAAAGATTGTACAGTGTAATATGTAAACAAAAAAAAAAATAATAATAATAATAAAACCCATTTACAAAAATATTAGCTTTATATTTCAAAGATGGGAAAACTTTACATCGAGTATTGGATGGCTTCAGTAGCACCATCTGAAGGCAAGAACTCATTAACTGCAACTTCCTTGTTCTCATTTTTCTTATCTGCAAAGACATTGTTATGAACGAGAAAAATGGAAGGTCATTTGTAACAATGGTTAATTAGTGTTAAAAGAGAAAGACATACAATCTTCAAAGAAACGACGGATCTCAGAAAGGCGATGAGGAGGCAACTGCTTGATGTCATTGTAATACTTATACTCGGGATCGTCAACACAAACTGCAATGATCTTGTCATCTTTCTCTCCCTGAATCACAAATAAATAAAAAAACAAAACAAAGAACGAACATGCACTGATTATATATTCTTGGACCGTCATAAATCACCAGTTGGTCTCAATAATGCCAAAGAAGCTGTCATAAATCACTAGTTGGTCTCAATAACTCGAGTTATTGGGAGTAGATTATTATATATGGATCTTATACCACACTCTTACACGCCCCCCTCAAACGAAAGCCAACTCACGGGCTTGAAGTTTGCATTGCACCTACCATACCTTGTGCTTTAATCAAGACCACTTGGACAAACATGTTCTCTGATACCATGTTATAAACCATTTGGTCCCGATAATTCGCGAGTTGTTGGGAGAAGACTATATTATGAATTTTTACCACATTCTTTATCGAAAACCGCAGAGTTACTGACTTTTAGAGATAAAAAGAGGATGCATTTACCTGGTCAATCATGGGCATGAGTCCAATGGCTCTGGCTCTTAAAAAGCAGCCCGGGAGAACAGGCTCCTGCAGATTCACCAACTTAGTGTGTTAGCAATTTCACATACCAAAATGGAAGAAGAATTGGAGGAGAGAAATACATAGACAAAAAAAAAAAAAACACTCTACCTGCATGAGAACCAACACATCCAAAGGATCATTGTCTTCGCATAATGTTCGAGGGATGAATCCATAGTTGTGAGGATAAACCACAGACGAGTACAAAATACGATCAACCTGTGAATAGGTTCACAGTTGTACATATCATAAGGAAGCCCTAAGCAATTTAGAAGAATGTTTTCGGTAAAATGAAGTGAATATATCTATGGTGTTTATTACCTTAATCATTCCTGTCTTCTTGTCCAATTCGTATTTGACCTTACTTCCCTTAGTGATCTCAATAACCTATATGAATCCATAACCATGATTTTTGGATGAATAAAGATTTATCCTACAAACCATAGATATGGACTAGAGATCATGATCGAGAAGAAAACATACCACGTTGAAAACTTTGGGGGCTTCAGGGCCTGCAGATTTGAACATCACCATTTATAGTTTTATTATGAAAGAACTTAGATTTTTTTTAACAATGAAAAATTAAAGAACATATATGATATCACATAACATCAAATAATTCTATATTTCTAAATGTAAGAGAGATGTATAAGATAATTAACTTTTTACCCAAGAACTCGAGTTATTTGAACCAGTTAATTATGATATGGTAGCATAGTTGGTTTGCAAGTGATGGTGTGTTCGAAGTCCAAGACCACAATATTAACTCGAGTTTTGGTTTATGACACTATACCAAGGGTGGAGCTACCATGAGTCCCAGGGGCACGAATTTCGAAGATCACATGCAAATGCATTAAATTTTTTGAAAATTAGGTATAACTTAATAAATTATTTATAAATAAATAAAGCGTGTTATTATTGTATCCCAATTTTTGAATCTTGGCTCAGTAATAAACATTGTAACATTACCGATCTCTAGATCATGCCATGGGTGAGCCGCAACGGTTCTCTTAGACAAAGATGAAAGGATCCTCTCGTTCAATTTTGGGGTACGCTTCTCACCACCATCGCTTCCATTGTTATCGTTGGTACTCATCTTTGCATCCAAAAAATCAATTGTAATCAAAAGAACAAACACAGTCAAACTTTCTATTCATTCAAAGCACACCGGACAGAACATAAGCATTTGAAAAATGCTCCTCCAAGTTTTCAGAACACTAAAGATAATAATCCGCATGCAACATTATAAAATAACCCAGATTGTGAACTTTCAGAATCAACCGTGACACATTAATGGAAAGATAATTTTTTACACATTTATCACGAACCCAGAAAGAAAGAAAATTGACAGAGAGAGAACATATGACTACCTTCTTTTCGTCTTTCTTTCTGTGTGCAGCTAATTTCCTATCTGATTGATGATCCAAAGAAGATTGGGAAGAGCAACAAATCAATGTTCCTCCTAAAGCGGCCTTTTATTGAATTGAAGGGAATATGTTCGTACCCACAACCACATATATTAGAGGAAAGAGTTTGAAAAGTGTTTGATAAAATGGACGAAAGAGAAAAACAATGTTTGCGAAACACTGCCTCGTGTTTGGATGCAGCGAAATGGTAGTTTGCAGCTGCGGATGACCCTCCACTTTTCTTGTTCAAAATTATTATTATTCATGGTATTCTTGTTTTCCTCTTCCTTTCATTAACATTTCCTTTCATTCAATCAGTCGAAGACCAAATGATGTCCGATAAAAAAAAAAGGTTAAATGATGTGTAGCTTTTATCCGGAAAAAAAAATAGTTATATTGATTTCATGTCAATTGTTAGTCTAAATTAGGAAAATGCAGCAATTAAGAATGATAAAAATAAATAAAATGCCATCCACTCGATTGACTAACACCTGAAGAAGTTGACGCAAAAGACTACATTTCATGTAACTTCAAACTTAGTCAAATGAGACATCGAATGGATCTTGATCGAGAATGAATCAATGGATTATCGAGCTTGTTGATGATGATAGAGAAGATGGATTAAGAATGAACATAAATTAGACAACACAATATTTTGTTAACCAGATTCGTATGTGGTGCAATAGTTTACTTCTTCGCTGAGCGTGACTTTCCCTTGAGACGACCTAGTTACAATCAAGCGATAAGGAACCCAAAGCCATAGGACGGGGAACCAAAAACAAAACAAGCACCAAAAAGGGAACTCAAATGTCATCTTCTTCTTCTTTAAACGGCTAGGATTAGGCATTAGGATAATCGTACCGCTTCTTTTCTTTTCCACCCTTATGGTGGTATAGAAATATATCATATTGTAGATAGCTAGTATACATGATGGTAGGTATGAACTAACCACGATCTATCATCATCATATGGTAGAAGGTGGTATAAATGGTAAAAAAAATCATTTCCTAATATATGTTGAATGAATATCATTTTATAGATCGCAAAAAACTTGTTTCTTTTGTACAAACAATTTGAAAAAATGAGTCAAAACGAAGGAGATAAAGGGTGGTAGCGAGTGGTCGATAATATAAAAAAAAGAAAAAGATAATTGTTGCATAGATACTCCTTCGCTTAGCAAGGGCAAGCATACCCAAGCTGAACTCGTAGTATAGTTGCTCGAGTCGTATTCCACGAGGGTATTTAGGGTTATTGATAATCTTGACTTCGAACTACTATCTAGTCAATTTAAAGGGTTTTGGTTTTGTTTGTCAACTAAAGTGAACTACACAAGAAATAAACAACTAACTAAGGTGAAGACCGCTAGAGAAGAGATGTTGTTTAGGATCGAATCCCTCTGGCAATAAATCAAAATGTGATTGATGCAAACCAAATATGATTCATCATATCTTATAAATTGTCAATAATTTGTTAGTATTCTTTGAATCAATGATCGTGCATCTAAATTCTCTTCCGATATGGTTAAGTGATAGGGTGGTCTCCTCTTCCCAATTAACCACTCATAGCTTTAAAGATTAGATTGTCAATTAAGGGTTTTTATCCAGAGCAAGAGGAATTAAAAACTCAATAGTCATGCAATTGATAATAGCCCATCAATTGATGTGTTTCACCTTAACCTAATTGGATTGCTCCCTCGTAGGTCAACACCAACAAAACCTAAAGCTTGGCCAATACAAGGGATAAACATCAATTAGATATAGAGAATAAGGGTTTGCAATCAAGGTTATATTCGTCTCCTAAACAACTAGAGAAGTTAGGCCATAGAGAGAGTGTGTGTGTGTGTGTGGATAAAGAGAGAAGAACAAGAATCCATGTTTTGCTTGCTAGATTGCCCATTCCAAAAAGTCAGTTAGGCAGCGACGGATTAGAACTTAGCCGCAGCAGATTACAGTGCTGTTCTGCTTTTATTACACAACAATTCTCCATTACCGCCGTATATATGCTGTTGGACATTAGGAGTACCGTCTGTTGAGGAGTTCAAGGAGAAGAACCGCAGCAGAGTCCTTGGCCTTCTTCACACTTGGCATCGGCTCTCCGATGCATTCATCGGTCCACCCTCTGTCATTTGTATTCACTCGAACAGCAAACGTGAACCTCTTTGCATGCGCCGGACCACCCTCACTAACACACCTTCAAAGATTTCATTACGAGAACATTAGTCAAACAGACGATTAACTTCTCAACCACGTCCAATAAATAACGCAGAGGCAATGTGTACCGATAGAATGGCATAGGCCAGTTCCGACGCAGGCAGATGTCGTTCAAGGTCTGTCTTGTGAAAGTATGGTGCCCATTCTTCTTCATCCCCTCCTCGTCTTGATCGACCTTGTCGTCATCAGCGGCAGTTTCCTTCTCCTTGAGAATAGCTAGTGCATTTCTAGCAGCAAGTTTCTGTGCCATCTTCTTTTGAGGATTCTGAGCAACTCCCACCTCGACCCCGTCTATGAAAACTTGGACAGTGGCCACATTGCCAGTTCGAGTGGCTTTGTATTCCAGGCCTTCAGCCTGCTGCTGGCATCGCTCTTGCAGCTCTCTCACTGGATGCATCGGAAGTGTCTCGGGCGTCACCATTGGGTCCAATAAAGGCTGGAAAACCTGAGAGAGAAAATTATCGAAACAAGGAGAGAAAAAATACATAAATCAATCGGATTCTTTACCTTTCGAATCATCAGGCACTAAACAGAAGCAACAAAAGGGAGCAAGTTCCATGAATTAATAAGGGAGCCTAATACTACCTTCCAAACAACTCCAGTGTCCAGTTCGCTGTCGAGGAAGATAGCACCAGCAATTGATTCCACAATATCACCAAGAACTTTTGGAGCTTTGCAGTCTCCCAATCCAAAAGAATTGAACTCCAGCTTCGACACTTCGTTTTGAACTTCCTCTACAAAATCCCGTATCTGAAATGTGAATGATTTCCCAAAACATCATCAAGATTGCCGAAAGCAGTAACCAGCCCAGTAATGCAATGGTAGATGTGTTTCTAAATACCGAAGTTTTGTTCCAAAATAAAAACAATGCATGCATTTATTTCTTCATGTGACCGCTGAAATTATTCATTCAAATAAATGGTATAGAATCTCACCTTTTAGTTGAGATTATTGAGATTCCTTTTCTTTTACACATTTTTCTTTACCCTGATGTCCCTATCAACTTCCATGTATTTCCATAAAACTCCAATTTCTTTTCTCCAAAAGTGACTTCCTCCACAAAAGTAACTATTTTTTCGAGTTCCAAAATTACAAGCACAATAACCAAACATTGAATCTTAAAATGCACTCATTGAACAGTACATCAATTTACCATATAGGCAGAAAACATTAATTTTAACGATAGTATTAAGGAAAAGAAAGATACCTGCTTTTCTAGTGCACTCGATCCATGACGGAGGTGCACATGGAGCTTACGCTTTACTGCAACACGGGCAAAGTTTTCATTGTTTACAGCAGCAGCACGCAAGTCTGTCAATCGACCTGGAGGTAAATCTGTATATGAGAAGAACAAGTGCCGTGTAATGAGATGATCCAAGACTGCATCACCAACAAACTCCAGCCTTTGGTAGCAGGAAACTCCAGGAGACGGTCTAGAAGCATGAGTTATGGCCTCTACCAATAGGGACCGTTTGCTGAATTTGTGATTCAGAACACCTTCAAGTTTGTCAAAATCAACACTCCTTATAATACTTTCAGGTACTTTAGTTGACTGAATTACCCCATCTGTCTCTTCAAAATCAAACTCTACCTGTATTCCTATCCACTTCATAAGATGGTTTGCTGCAATTTTCCCACCTTCAACATAGTAAACTCCAATTAAAGCCTCTACCACATCTGCCAGTGTTTTACTAGAGAGTACTCGGTAAGAGCTAGAGTCACTCTCAAGCTCCCCATCTTCAAGTTCATCTTCTTCATACTCATCAACAACATGACTGTCTTCTATTACTGGCTTTTTCTCCAACACACCTGATTTCTCCTCGACGAATAAGGACGAGTGTTCATCCTTTGTATCTTCATCAAAGACAGGCAAAACTCCAGGAGCGGCCCACCTAGATGGAGCAAAACGATCGGCTTGGATGTAAGACTGAAGGCCTTTGATCAGTGCATATTGATACAGAACCATGTTGCTGACCATTTTCTGCCTCATTCTTGTAAGTTGGCCCTCATGTTTCTGGGGGTACTTTAGAAAAAGAAATCGACTGACGACCCATTTTAGGTAGGCATCTCCCAAAAGCTCTGCTCTCTCGTAACAGAATGTCTCTTGACATGAAGCAGCAGTCAAAGCTTCCAAGATCTGTAAAATGACAGCATTAGTTCATAGCTAGTCCACAGGATTCAAGATGTACTAATACCAGCCAAACAAACTGCCTCGGGCAAACAAAGATACCTTTGAAGCAGGAATAGGGTACTTAATTATGTGCTTGAGCTGGATAGCAAGGAGCATGCTCTCAACCCTTCTCATAATTGACGGTAGTCTCTGAGCACCCCGAACCAGAGAACCAGGAAGAGGGTGCACTAAACACAGCTCGGGAGGAAGAAACACATAGTATGTTTTGTCATGACACTCCTCTGTTTCACCATCACCAGCTATGTACACAAAGAAACTTGCACATTAGTTCAAGGAACTTCAAATGCGGAAAAATCTTTCTGCCAATAGAAAACACGCTTTTAGAGATATGGAAAGAACATAGATGCATACCTTCAGAGTGTTCAAACCTAGGGGAGAGGAGATTTTTGCAATAGGAAACGCCACGGCCTCTTATCAAAGGTTGACACTTGTACATCAATTCAACTCCATACCTAATAAGAACAAATGGGGCCCAATAGCCTAATGCACCCCTCTGTTGCAAAAGAAGAAGCAACGCTTTCCCCAAAGTCATAAGCTACTGTCAACGTGAAACCAAATTGTGAAATTTCCATAAATTTCACCGAACAGTAGCTACAGACTAGAGAGAAGGGCCCTGCATTCTTCAACAGCAACATGGAGATGCATGAAGGCTATCAAGCTCTCCAAATGCAACCAAGAGATTAGAATATATCACAGAATTTATGATAGGGAACCCAACTCCCTTTTTCTAGAAGCAAAAAGGTCAAGAAACAAAAGAGAAGATAAAACAGGCAAGCAACTAAAGTTCAAAGTGTAGACATACTTTTGTTTGTAATATTCGGCATATGAGCTGTACTCAAGCGGACCGAGATAACCTTCTTTCCTTGGGAATGAATTCTCTGCTGTCATGTCATAGCGTATAGAATCCACAAAAAACCTTTTCCCAGAATGAGCAGCAGTTACTATTCTACCTACCAAATCCTCGGCGTGAAGGCATGAATCAGCCATCATGAGTTTGCTTTTGGATGACCCTACAATTGGTGTTCCTTCCACATCTCGGTTAGGAACCAATCCAGAAGCTTTGACAATGTCAAACTGAGCAACAGCTCCTCTTATGCCATAAGTTGGGTGGGATTTTAGCCCAAAAGCCATGCCATGCCGCAATTTTCCAAATCCATACTCTCTCCTATCTCCACCAAGTGTCCTCTCATTTGTACCAAGATAGACATCAGGGCGAGCTCTTTGAAGGGGATTGCTCCACGCATCCGAATAAGATGTTTCTTTAACCAGATCCCAATCAATTTCAACTACAGGATCTACAGACTTATCGCCAACCACAGGGACAAACAAATATGCTTTTGCAGGATCCCATGGAGTAGTGTTAGGTTCAACATCCACGTCCAATACAATACTCATCAATCTAACATGAAAAGTTTTTAGGGAAGCCAGCTGCAGAAGAATTAATGTCTAGCAGTCAGTAAGAATGAGAGACATGAATTCATCAAAAAAGAAAGAAAGAGAGACATGAAAGGTTGACGAGCTCTATTTGACTAATCAACAACAAACCTCATTTTCATTAATTTCCATTGCTCCCTTGAAGACAAGAGATGCCTTTGTTGTCATGGTTCGAGCGATAAAGAGATCCATCGACATCGATAACACCTATGCAAACAGCTCCATTAGGAACAGAGGAATGCTTATAAACTTTAATCTGAGCTCAGACAAGAGGAAGAAACTGTAAATACCTCTGCATCCAGCTCACTGCCGAAAAGCACGGCGAATTCTGAAACTTGACTTATAAAAGGGTCTTTTGAAGTGCCAATATTAACAGATGAAACAGCATACATGTAAAGCCGAAACAACTTTGAGTCAGCACAAGCATCCTTTCCTGACAAGATCCATTCACCCTGGAAAAGAGCGAAAACCTGTGGATGAGAACATTCCTGCTAGAAAGGCTTACAGCAGGAGACGGTGATACAACAGATGAAACCTCCTTCGCTACTTCAAAGTATCACATATATAAAGGAAGGTAAGAGATAATGTGACAATTTTCCCTGAACCTTACTTCATTGAAAGATTGTATATTCACGAAAAATTAACAAGCAAACCATCAGAATCGCATCAAATGGAAAGAAGAAGAAAAAAACTTGCCTGAAGTATATCAGCAACACCTTCAGGATAAAATTCTCGGTGCCTAGCAGTCCCAGGAAGTGGTTCACTTTCATCGTTATCCTTCTCTCTGTCTTCCCCACTTCCCTTGTCTGGCAAGAGCATATCAGTAAATGCTCCCATCTCATGGAGCTTCTTGCAGGCAGCCAAACACACGGCCTGCACATTTTAAGTTGATAAGGAAGACATTCTTGCAATCTATACAGAATTGAGAGAAGCAAATGTCAGGTAGAATAACATGCCTGTTGTGCAAGGCGCATTGAGCTACAGATGGGTCCCTCAAGCTTCTCGAATGGAGCATTGCAAGGAAGTTGGAGCTTACACGAATATTCAGTAGGACCTCCTGGTTTCTCGTGTCTTTCCATAATAAACTCGGGGCGAAGAATAGAATATCTGGACAACAGATGCATATGAGTAGATCCTACAATGACTAACATTTAACATAACTAGCTCTATTTTAAGATTTCAACAAATAAAAGCACCTGTCACTAGGTAGTTGGGAGCAGTAAAAATGGATAAGTCCAACAGCAGAATTCAAGCTCACAACAGCACCAGTTGAAGGCACCTGGTAAACAGTTCCTGGTACTGGATCTACAGAAATTAATCTTGAAGTATCCTTTATATGACTCAGGTCAGTTCTCTCAATTGCTTCTTTCCTCAAAGTTTCCTCACTATTCCTGGCATTCCTTAAAAATGCTGTATGAGATAGGTTTGCCCTGTAAAACAGTGGAAACTTTAGAGCTACCCAAAGCTATTATGGAGAAAAGAAACTCTGATAATCGACAGAGACCCAAAAGCACTACCTTTCAACCATCAAGATGTAATCTGAACCAGGCTTTCTTGCACGGCCCCTTGACTGAATGTACGCCAGAACAGTTTTTGCAAGATCGAAACGGATTACAACATTGCATTGTCTAATATCAAGTCCTTCCTCAGCAACACTAGTAGCAACCAGCAAAGTCACCTGTAATCATTTGATAAGACATCAAATACCAAACTATCCAGTTAAGTATAAGATAGTCAAAAAGCCAGGTTGCATACACGGCCATCCCGAAATCTTGCGATTGTGTCCTGCATTTGGCTTGTCCGCATCTCTTGACTATTGTTGTGACCAATCAAGCTAGCACATCTGATGAAACTAAGAGAGGGAAGCTCTGCAAAGACCTGCAGGTTTGGCCCAAAAAAATGGCAATATGCTGCGATGAGGAACATGGAATGAAGGGCCAAGCCTTCTGGAATCTTAACAAGACCGCAAATGAAATGCTTCAACCTTGGGAAGAACTAAAGCAGTAACGACCCGCTCAACAAAGATGATTGCGCGGAAATCCTCTGTGTGCTGGTATCCGAGCAGTATCTTTATCAGTGACTGCACTTTCGGGGTCACTTTTCCATCAGCAACTGCAGCTCCAATTACCACATCAACATGCTCTCCACCAGACACAACTACACCACAGCGTTACCAAAGACGTCAATGTTATTATTTCAACAATGTTACTTATCTAAAAGTGCATGCAGTTACTACAGAAAACCATTTCCAATAAAATCTAGTTTGAATGAATATGCAATAAGATGCAAATGGCATATTGCCAGCCACAAATTGCACCCTCTTCAACTTTATTTCTCCTTGAAAAAGAATCTAGTTCTTCCAACAGAAGGCTCAAAACAAAACCCACCATGACTGTCTGGGAGCTCGCCCTCCTCCATTTCTACAGGATTCGTTACAGTTTGAGCATTGGTATTTTCTTTCTCTGGAACTTCTGGAACTTTTCCTACAGCAGCTCCTTCTGCTACTAGGCATTTTAGAAGGGACACAACCTTTTCCAGATAGGATTCTTGAAACTTGACATCAAGCTGGTAGTTTGACCTCTCATCATTTTGCAAAGCCGTCAGAAAGGATAGAGCAACCTGACATCGAAACAGAAGATAGAAAGTTATAGCAACAATTTGTTTCAATGATTAGAGAGAGAAGCATTGAATGGCAAATAACACAGAATACATATTGTTACAATGGAGAGAAGAGAGACACATTAAATAGTAAATCAAAGAAAATACCTTGTAAGCACACCACTGACCAAGTTCACCAAGAGCGTAATTGATTGCCCTCAACTTTTGAATTAAGTTGGCAGCACCATCACTCTCGGTTCTTTCAGAGACACCATAAACCTGCCGTAACTCATCTTTGGCGCCAGCATCCCTTGCTCCCATAAATTGCCACTTACTTTTTCTAGAGCTGGACTGTGCTGCTTCTTCAACAGCAACTTCCAATTGCTTTATTTGTTCATGCAGTGACCATAAGCTCGCAGCTTTGTCATACTCCACTACAACTTCTGAGGGCATTGGGACATGCTTTTCCAGCTCTTTCCGGTCTTTAATTGTACAAACAACAGAATCAAGTTTACTCTCCAGATTACGGATCTTTATTGCACAGTCCACTTGGCTTGAAACACCTGATAGAACACAAACTTGGAAGGTCAGAGATCCTTGTAGTCCAGTAGTTCATGCATACAGCCAGAATTGAAGCTGTACCGAACATCAAAAGAATCAATACCCTTCAAGTTAACAGGAGAAGCAGTCATTCCAAAAATAGATGGCCTCTTCTCCCTTGGAGTTGTATGATAAAATTCTGACATCACAAGCGAATAGGGATGTTTCTTAACAGCATGATGGCATTCATCCAGAATTAGAAGATTTATAGCTTCCATTTTGATTATGCTGTGCCTCAGGATGTTCAGCAGAATCTGAGCTGTCATTACTAAAACCTGCATAAGGAAATACACAGGATTGACTCCATACAGGCATCTATTGATTAACTAGCAGATAATCATATGATGAACTACCTGCTTTGTTTCAAATTCCCGCTGCCATCTTCTAGTGTCCCAGAAGTCTTGACCCATTTCACCACAGTAATGACCAACTTGGAAGCCAGTACGTTCACGAATAACCTCTGCTTGCTGGATATTGAATGTAAAGAAACTTAAACTTGATATTTTGCCTTCCCAGTTATTAAGAACTTGGAGCTTAGAACACTGAATGTACGTACCTGATAAACAAGTGGAACTTTGGGAACCAAAAATACTGCGAGCATTTTCTTGTTCACCCTCTGCAAGTCGCTACATATACTTTTCATGAGCAGTACAGCAATTAGTGTCTTCCCTGCCCCGGTCTCAAGAAAAGCTATAGTGTTTTTCTTCTTGGCTTGTTCAAGAACATCCAACTGGTATTGGCGGGCTTTCTCCTCGGGAACTTTCTCCTCAGGCTCTTCAGATTTCAACTCCCGCTTCTCATCAGACTCCGGCTGGTTTTTACCATTAGCCATTGGCTCACCATTGTGATGATCCACTTCCCAAGTACCTGGCCGGAAAACCATCTCGTTCGATCCCAAACGATCTCTTTCCCAATAACCCCTATGATCAATCTCTCTACACCCCCTTTCTCTACCATCCCTCCTGCCATTACCACCGTATCTATCTTTTCTGCGAATATGATCCCTCCGCTCTATATCATTCCAACCCCGTCCCCTCTTCCTACCTGAACCAGCATCCCTTTCTCTAGAGTCATGCTGCCTATCACCATACTGTCTACTGTATCGGCAGCCATTACTAAACCTAGCCCTCTTCCCACAACTTTGTCCACCGTCATAGCTCCTTGGCCTCACCAATCCATTTTCAGTCGTTCCATTTCTCCCATTAGAGCTCACCAACAAGCTCTCTTCCCTTTTAACCTCTAACATGTTAGGTCCACTATCGAAACGCTCCAACTTGACACCATTGAAATAAAGCTTGTCTCTACCCACCCCATTATGTCTATGAACATTGCCCTCTCCATTACTAAAGCAAGTCGTGGGCCGGCCACAGTTAGGATCAACGGGAAGAGGCAGGCCACTCCCACTCTTAATACAGTCAACGATGTGGTCAATCCCACCAAAGAAATCATTACCAAGATTACTCTCCGGATTATAAGCAAAATCAAGTGGAACCTGAGCGATGGTAGCGTCTAAATCATCAAGAGAGATGTCTTCACAAGCATCCAGCCAGTACGACCCGCCGCTCCCGACCCCATTATTCGCCGAAACCCCATTGTCAGTCTCCATTGAAATTTAAAACCCCGCTGTAATACCCTACAAACTACACCTGAAAAAAAGTTACGGACAAAAAATCCGAAAAAACAGGAACCCAGAAGAAGAGAGGTGAAACAATCGAAGAACAGGAAAGAGGACAAGCAGAGAGAGGGGGGGGGGGGGGGGGGGGGGGGGGGGGGGAAAGAGAGATAAACAAGTGGGTTTTAGTCGGATTCTTCGATTCTGCAGATTGGAGTTGATAGACCGTACGAAGCACGCAATAGTGTAAGTTTGTGAGAGAGGGAGAGATGTTGAGCTTTCTTTCCCTTCTCAAAACCTCTCACTCTCAGCTCCTCCAGAGAGAAGAAAACAAAAACAAGACAAACACTTTTCTGCGTGAGTTGGAATTTGATTCTCCGAGATGGTCTATCAACGCCTGCACTGCTTGCTAATTCTGATCTCTCTCTCTCTCGTCTCCTTTTCCCTCCCCTCGGAAATGTTCCTCTCTATTTCCTTTCTTCTCTTTTTGCCCACGAGTAAGGCAAGAGGTTGAGATTCTTATGCATTCGTAGATCAATTGCATGTTTGGTCACTTGGTTTCTCAATATATTTCACGTTTGCCACTCAAAACAACTTTCATTTTATTCGTTATTCACTTATATATTTTATGTTATTTTTAGTCAATAGCCGTCCAATTTCGTTAAATTTATTATACATTGCAGTCAAATGTGATGTTTGACCGTTAAAAAACTTGCGTGACAATTATTTTTAATAATTATTATTATTTATTTCAAATTTATACTAAAATTTAATAAATGTTTATTTTCATAAATATCGGCGAGCATAACCACGTTGATCCCACTAACTTGTTGAAAGAACGAGATCAAGTTGTAGAGCATGAGCTAGGGGTGCTACCGTCGTTCCACGTGGAGGCTCTACAAAGAGCGGTCGATTTTCTTGGCGACGGCGCTAACTCTTACGAGGTCCTCGAACTTGGCGTCCATATCGTCCGAGCCGCGGATTTTCTGGAGCATTTGATTGCCCTTGCCCTTGCCATGTGATCGAATTCGAGGATGGAGTTGGGAGTGTCCAGGAGGAAAAGCAATCTGACGATGTTCATCAGAGCAAGGACCGCTGCCAAACCTAGAGAGATTCTTCCCCCATTGTCGCCTTTCATTTTGGTCGTCCAGTCGTTGATGAGGTTGCTACGAGGATCTTGATCATGATCATCATTTGGAAGCTGATGTTCATTGCTCCCCTCTATTTCGCAGCGAGCTCTTGGGTCGATCCTTTCTTATTCTTCACTATCGCGAGCGTCCGACAAGGATAAGTTTTTAATACTATTTATTTATATTAATTGATTTTTTTATGAAACTAAATTTTTATTAGAATTAATATGATGTGAAAGAAAAAAAATTATTGTTTTAATTGACACATCAACTTTTTAACGATTAATCATTGCCGTTGATTGCCATGTAGCGCAGATTTAAGGGAATTGGACGACCGGTGACTAAAGATGACATAAAGTATAAAAAGTCAATGGCGAATAAAAAAGGTAAATATTTTGAGTGTCAAACGTGAAACATATTAATAAATCGAGTGATCAAACATGCAATTCGCCCTTAATTATGTATTTTCATTATGAGTGTGGACTATATGTTACACTAATTGGAGGTTAAAGATTCTAAATTTATGTAAAGTAAAAAAGCACCATACTATGCAATTTTTATGCAATTTTTTTAATTTATGAGTTAAAAAAAAGGAGTACCTATCCGATTAATATAAATGAAAAATCAATAAAAGTAATATTTGACCGGTCAAAAGTCTCCTCTCTATCCTCTGATTTCAGTGTTAGTAAAAGAAGAGAAATGGCTGCATAAATTACCATGACCCAACAAGGAGTTACTGTGGATGCTCATAGGCTTATTTGTATGTGGGATGGGGCAGTAAGGCCCGATTCTCATTCGATAGGGGTAATGGTGATCATGACGCATTCTAGGGAAGTCCTCTTTGTCAAGGGATGCTATTCCCGTTGATTGAGGAACCTATGGTCGTGGAATTACTCGTCCTCCGTGAAGCCATTGATTGGTGCTTGGCGCATGGCCACACAGAGATGCGTTTTGAAAGAGACGTCAAAGTGGTCATTGATAAGATTGCTCGAGGTGATGCCAATGATAATCAAGTTGGAGCTGTTCTAGAGAAGGTTTGACAGTGTTTTAAGGATCATAGTGGTTTTAATATTCGGTTTGTAGGTCGTAGGAACAATAGGGTAGCCCATTCAATGGCTCGCAAGGCCCTTTCTTTGTCCCCCGGTTATGAGTCGTCTCTTAGATTATCAGATCTGGCTGAATTCCAGGGTGTAACTATTGTTTTGATTCAATATAATTGAGTATCTTTTGTAAAAAAAAAAGAATCTCTTAATGAATTTTGAGAGATGACAATTTGATTGATGGTTGGAGATTTGAGTTTTTGTAGAATAAGGTGTTATACCCTATCTGTTCTAAAAAAAAAAGAATTGAAGGGTTAGTTGGCAGAAAACCAGTCACCATCGACCTAGTTACAACTCATAGAATATATTAAAAGTAAAAGATTTCGATAATTTCTGGTTGAGTTATTTGAACACAAATAAGAGGTAATCTTAGGGGTCGTTTGGATGGAGTATTTGTATGAGTTATTTGGACACAAATAATTCGTTTGGCAGCGTTTTACTGAAATGAGTTATTTGGATTGCGAGTTTTTTTAAAAAACTCAAAACAAGTTATTTGAAATAACTCATTCCTATGTGTTATTTCGAAATAACTCGTTTTACTACTATGTTTTTACCAAATACCAAATGTCAAATACCACATTTGAATGGTTCATCCAAACGAGATACTTTATTTAAATTACTAATGAAATAGCACTGAAATACCACATGAACAATAAATGTGTTATTTGACTCTACAAATACCACATAAACAACTAACTCATCCAAACGACCCCTTAAAGTGTTTTACTATCTTTATAGAACTAGACTAATGTGACCGTATAAATCATACCTTATTATCGATGGTCCGACCAAAACCTCATACTAGAGACTAGATCGATAAGCGGTACGAACCAAAATTGAACTACATTTTGCCATAAAATAACCTATCACTTACTTTTTCGGTTACAATCATGGTATAAACCGGTTTGATAACCCTTCCCACCCTCAACCTCAATAGACACGCACAGCGCAAGTCGAAGAGGGCAGCCCTCGCCTCGTCGAGAACAGGGAAATAAAATAGCTTTAGAGATAGCGAAGCAATCGGAGAGCTCTGACTCCGCCGCCCGTCGCTTTTGTCTGGTCAGCGTTACTCGTCGGTGTTTGTTCCTTCCGTCTGCACCGTCAGCATTTATCACTCACGGCTACAGCGCTTTCGCGGCGAAGCAGCCCTACTTCTCGACAAACATCCGCGCAATAGATACGATTAGTTCTGCGGGAGCTCTCGGGCGCCATCTCCGCCTCGTGCTGGGTTCGTTGCTGGCTCTGACGTAGTTATCTAGAGAAACCCGGGAGCTGAACGGGAGATTCTGCCGGAGACTCGGGTAAATTGAACACTGCTTGCTGCTTCCAGTTTTTAACTCATCTTCAGCTATCCTTTCTGGCATATACAAACATCATTTTGATTGCTGCTGAATGTGCTTTTGACATGTTATCGATAATGGCAGCAAAATTGTATCGTTTCATTTATATTGTTCTGCCTGTGTTTGCTTATGGGGTCAAAACCCCAATTGCTATCTATTCAAATTGGGGGTCTGTTGCTAATTCGTAGGGTTTCCTTTTATTAAGATTGTAATGGCCAGATAAGCGTGTGATAATCAGTATGTTAATATTGACTGCTGGTTTACTTGTGTTTGCCGTTGTATTGATGAAAAGAGGTTTTGCATCATCACATCACTACAAAATGAGGGACTTGTTTCAAATAGATTTGGTTATTATCATGTTTTCGAATGATACTGGTTTGATGTGGTAAATCATCTACTTGCCTTCTCCATGGTGAGATCTGCAGATGATTTTTGTATAGCAGAAAGTATGATTTTGTATTTTCATTTCCAATTGTCTAATTGGTCTTATAAGAGAATTGGAAGGCCTTGTTTGATTGCTTGTAAACACAGTTGTCGTCTTTGAGATGCCTACCCTTTCCTTGCCATTTTCCATCTTACCACCACATTCCTCCATCAGCATCTAAAACAGCAAGACCAATTACGGATAAACACACTAGGCTTAAAATCTTTCTTCATTACCTTTTAGCTGCTGTGGATTGGGTGTATCCTCGTTTTCTTGATTAGAATCTGTAACTGGGAGCTACTCCATGGATTTCAATCTATGGTGTTGGCAAATAGTTATTTCCTGATGTTGATTGATATTACTCTGTAGATGGGTGGATCAATCAATGGATGGGCGTGAATGCCAGATATAGGGAGATGTATTTGTGAATGTTGTTTACGTAATTAACTGTCGATATCATGTGCTATGGATGCATGATATAAGTAGCCAACTATTTGCCAGTTACTTATTGTATCTTGTTCTTGGTTCTTATTACTTTTCAATATGCGTCTTGCATTTATTTATTTGTGATTTGTTTTAATCCTAGTTTCATGGCTATTGTTTGAGGTGCTTTGTGGTCTTCCATTTTGATTTTTATTTTGATTTTTAACTGATATTGGAATAAATAGATTAAATTCTCTTGTTTTATATGACTTCATCCCCCTCCAACAGATGTTAGCAAATCTTGCTTTCATTTTATGTTTCTGCTATCACGTCCTTTAGCATTGCAGTCATTGAATATGTATAAGCTTGTTGTTTCTATGCTTTTTATCAGAGTAATTACTTCTGTCTTTCCAATTTGGATGATAAAATATGGGGTTTCTGTTGATAGTGCAGGGGTTTTGGTGAAGTTAGCCTTATTGGGATGGCAACTACATCAGATATGGATGATGATGATTTTAGGGATATCTACAAGGAGTATACTGGTCCTCTAGGATCTTCCGCCAACAATGCACAGGATCAGGGACAAGGAAATAATCAATCCCAAGCAGTTTCTGAGGAGGAAGAGGGGTCTCCTGACCCCAATGCTGTCCCAACCGATTTTACCAGTAGGGAAGCGAAGGTTTGGGAAGCTAAGTCAAAAGCAACAGAACGGAACTGGAAGAAAAGGAAAGAAGAAGAGTTAATATGCAAAATTTGCGGAGAATCAGGTCATTTCACTCAGGTATTGTTTTTCTTTCTGTTTCGGTCTGTGTTCTTGGACTATGAAGGTTGCTTTACTGCTGAAGATATAATCTCATAAACATGCAATGCATTTTAGTTCCTGGCTGGAATGCTGTCAGCGTGACAGGATCTCTTGTGGACCGGTTGCTGTTCTCTAATTTTCCTTATTTTTTTCACTTTTGGCTACTTTTTAGATGCACTAATCAACTTTGTTTCTGATAACACGTATTGGCAAGATAGTTTTTTGAATGCTCCAGCTGAATCTTTACGGGCACTAACTGGCGTATTTTGTAGCTCCAGTATGGTTCAGAAAGCAAAATTTGTTATAGTCTGATAGTTTAATTTTCTGGATCAACTTGCTCTCAAGAAGGGAAAAATAAACCTCTTCTGAAGCCTAAGTTTTCATATGCTTACAGCGTAATAACTCCTAACCTATTTCCCTTTGCAGACTAGTCTACTGTAGTTTAATTTTTCCTATTGCTAATGAAAAATGGAGGATTTTAATTTCTAGCTCATGTTCTTTTTCTTTTTGTGGCCACACATAATTAAACTGGGCGAAGAATGTATGGGAATCTTCTTTACTTCCTTGTCTGCATGTTTTGAGAGATCAGATTGGTTAAGTCATTCCCCCTCCTGCTCTCTCCCTCTTACCACCTATAAAAAAACTTTGTGTTAGCATCACCAGCAAACTGCCACTAAATGGTGTGAGATTCAATCTGGCGCATATACAGGGGTGCCCTTCCACTCTTGGTGCCAATCGCAAGTCTCAAGATTTTATCGAAAGGGTTCCGGCAAGAGAAAAGTACATTAGATCCCTATTTACTGAGAAGGCAATGCAAAGGATTGAAAGGGATATTGGATGCAAGCTCAAAATGGAGGAGAAGTTTATTATTGTTAGTGGAAAGGACAGGTTGATATTGAAGAAAGGTGTTGATGCTGTGCACAAAATGATTAAGGGAGATGGCGGTGATCATAGGGCCTCCTCTACCTCTAAGATGAGCAGGTCTAGGTCACCTGATCAACCAAGCCCTCCTGCATCTCGGTTGAGATACTCTGAATCTCAGAGGTCTCATCCAAGTTACCCTCGTGATGCATCTCAGTATCAACACAGATTTGGACGCCAGGATAAGATTATAGAAGATCGTATTCGTGAGGATATGCAGAAATTCTCAAGGGGTTCACCACAAGGTAGGGACAGCATAGGATACTTTTACGGCATCCATAAACAACTGGTAATCCCATTTTCATTGTTGTTAGGCCTCTGCAAGCTTTCATACTGATTTAATGGCACTCATTTTGCTAATTACATTAACTGTGCTTCTGCTTATTGGCCGTGATTATCCCAGAAAGAGGTAAGCTCTTGTATGGAGCTCACTCCACGGTTTATTAATAATTTTGTTGTCCTGAAAGCCAAAGAAACATCTAAACAAAATGCCTGACCTGAGGGTGGTTTGGTTTGTTATAAATCAGCTGTATATATTAAATAATGTGCTTCAGTTTTTGGATTCGAGAATCCAGGCCTTGACATTTTGTTTGTTTCCTCAAGGAGCTTATGGGAAAGATGCACGTAGAAGTCGGTCAAGCCATTCTAAGTCTCCTGGACGTCCTCCTCATGGTGGTGATTCTTATGGTTCATATGATGGGCACAGTCGCGGCACAGGCAGTGCCAGGTTAGATGGATGTGATGCTGGCAGGCGAGGAGGATCTGAGTTTCTCTCCCACAACCAGCAGTCTGAGTATTCCTACTTCCCTCGGACACTCGAGGAATTAGAACTAGACTACAAAAAGGAGGCAGCGATGCTTGGAAGAATCCATGACAAGGAAGAAGATGAAGAGAACTACAAACATCGTGAGGTATCAGACATCTATCTCATTATTATGCTCCATATTTACAATCAACCTCATTGAATTGTTATGGTTTTTTGACGTTGATCTTCATATGGTTTGTTAGGCAATGAGTGGGATACGAGATAGTTACCTGAAGAAGTTATCCGCCTTGAGGGGCACCCACAGCAAACAATTTGAGGAGTTCTTTCATCAACTCGATGCTCAACGACGCCAACAGGAAGCAGCACGGCGGCAAATGCCTGTCGCAGGTTATAGTGGTTTCGTTCAAAAACCATATCCTGACTACGACGGCGGTGCCTCATCAACGGTGCATCCTCACTTCCCCAGAGCAAGCTTGTCCGTCGGTTCCAGGCCCAGTTACCAAAATCATCTGGAAAATTATACTTCTAGAGCTCATAACGATTATGGTGAGTTCCAGCATCAGAGACCTGGGGATTTCGAGAAATCGTACAACCACTACTAAGCCTGGTTTATGGTGAGAAACGTTGGCGTGGAGCTGGGATTGGGATTGTAAGGTTTAGGTGGGTTCATTAGGAAACGTTGATTTGGATGGAAGTCGGAGAAACCATAGCTTTGTTTGTTCGATAGAATTCTCAGCTGTTTCTTTCTTTCTTTTCAACAGGATGTAAGCTAATAACGCAACTCTTTCATATGTATTTGAGCAAATGCACCTTCTGTCTCTTCTTTAATCCGTGAACTTATCTCTTTACTCTCGGGTTAAAGACACATTTGGTCACTGAGATTATAAAATCGAGACATGTTTAGTCACTAGAAAAAGTTAATATCAAATTTGGTCACTAGAATTACTAAAACTGGACACATTTAGTCACTCGCCGTTAGTTGTCGTCCAACTCCGTTAAAAGAGTCCGTTATGTGCTGATGTGGCTAACGTGAGCGCCTAGTCAGCGTCGTTTTGGGCCGGAAATGGTCAAACCCGACCTGCCACGTCACTAAACCAGCCACGTATTAAACCCAACCCAATCCATTAACCCAACCCGACCCAGAAATAAACCCTAACCCACCTAACCATACCAGATCCCACTTAAAAACAAAACAAAACTGATTTGTTTCCATTTTAGACCCAAAAACCCTTCTCCTTCCTCGAGAGCTCTTCCCCTTCCCCATTTTCGATCAAACTAATCCTAGAGCAGAGAGCAGGGAGAGGTGGAGCCATTTACGCTACCCCCTTGCTGTAGAGACGGAGGGCAGTGAGGCATACGAAGTTGGAGGACCGGTGGCAGAGCTCGTCGAAATCGAAGCCGAGGAGGGAGAGGTCGAGATCTTGGAGGGACCGGCAGAGGTGGATGAAACTGTGGGGAAACGATTCGACGATCGTCCAGAGCCGGGCCCGGATGGCCTGCCGGAAGGCGCGGGCCCTGTGGGCCGACCCGTACTCGTAGATCCGGCCAAAGAGGTCAGCGTACTTCGGGTCGAAGGCGTCGTTGACGATGATGGAGATGAGTGGGAGCTCCGATCGGGGCTCGCGAGCCGCCAGCAGGTTGTCAACGAAATCGGTTAGGTGGCGGTTTCTCACGGTGGCGTCACGGGGTTTCGAGGCAAATTTCGCGGAGGGCGGATCGCTAGAGGTGGCGCTAGCGGCGGGACAGAACGGAGGTCTGGGCGGTGGTTTTTAGGTCCAGATCGGCAGCGATCAGGATGTGGCGGAGGATGTCCTCCGGGAGGGCAGTGAGGCACACGAAGGGGAAGAGCTCTCGAGGAAGGAGAAGGATTTTTGGGTCTGAAATGGAAACAAATCAGTTTTGTTTTTTTAAGTGGGATCTGGTATGGTTAGGTGGGTTAGGGTTTATTTCTGGGTCGGGTTGGGTTAATGGATTGGGTTGGGTTTAATATGTGGCGGGTTTAGTGACGTGGCGGGTCTGGTTTGACCATTTCCTGCCCAAAACGGCGCTGACTAGGCGCTCACGTTAGCCACGTCAGCACATAACAGACTCTTTTAACGGAGTTGGACGGCAACTAACGGCGAGTGACTAAATGTGTCCAATTTTAGTAATTGTAGTGACCAAATTTGATATTCAATTTTTATAGTGACTAAACATGTCCCGATTTTGTAATCTCAGTGACCAAATGTGTCTTTAACCCCTTTACTCTCCCTCTAAAATCTGCCTAGAAAGATATAAGCTCTCTAAAACTCTGGGGGTTCCTCCTATTTATAGAGATTGGAAATTCAGAAAAGTTTGTGGCCATTTTCGGAGAAGTTTAAGGTCGCGAACTCGAAATTTGTTGCGTCATCTCGGTATGACGTCGCTTTGACCTGTCTGTGAAGGGAGTTTGCAGACTGAAGATCCCAATTGTGATTTGAAAGTCGCGATCGCGATCTTTCTTGTGGTCTCGGAGTTGAAGGCATGCAAGTGAGATTTTGAGACCTTCTATTCTTCCTGGTGTTAGCCTCCCGAAGTTCACGCCCGAGGAACCAAAGAACCCGACTGTGGTGCGGTACGCGTCACGTGATCTGCTTCATTTTGCCACAATCAGTCTTTGCCCCAATTTCCCTACACTTAGCCTTGATTTTCGTCATATTTGACGCACACACTTCACCTAATATGGACCATGTATGTGCTAAGAAGCAATTATAGGCTATAACGCGAGTTTGAAGTCAATGCATAATGTACATTAAAATACCAAGATCTATGAATTAAATAATACAAATTTGGGTGTTATTAGAGGCCTCGAAGGTGGAGCCTCATGTCGAATCAAGTCCATGAGCATTCATCAATTTTCATACCACCTGCTCCGGACTTGAGAGGTCATATCACCAACGAGAACCCCAACTCCAAGAAGATTTTGGGCTGGACCCCAACTTAGGAACAACCATCAACCTTAAAGATGTAAAAGTAGAGCTTGTTAGGAGGGAACCCAACCCCTTGGGAGTGTTTTTTGTGAGTTCAAAGTCAATAACTAAACCCTTAAGAGTTTTTCTTGTGTTTTGTTGTTCCATCTACTCTCCTCTACATTGATTGTCCTCCTGCCCCATCCATTGTTCTTCATTCATTCGGTAATTTCGTTCCCCTTCGCTATCTCATCTCCATTTAGGACAATATCGTACTTAAGTGTGTGCATTGCATGGGAGGGGGTATTTCAATATTTCATTTTGAATGAGCCTGAATGAGAAGTGATTGGAGGAGCCTACTCTACCATCTAAATTCTCCTTCCACACCCTTTAACGAAGTCCACTCTCAGGCATAGAGCAATCATGACCAAATGTGACGCACTTAGCACAAAGTAAAGGAACAATATTGTATTCCAAGTCAACACAAATTACTCATTCCATTTGCCTTCATATCCACTTTTGTAACAAGCTTGGTTTTCGCAGATATCTCAACACATACCTTCGCATACCCTAATTTTGTCCCTCTTCTGATAGGCATATCCATACAGAGCGGCTGCCATCAAAGCAAATTGAGGATATACTAACTATAAATGATTTTATGTGAATTAATCTTCTTAGTTGATTCCTAATTAATTTATTCGATATTGATGATTTTTCATTTTTCTCATGTATTATATTAAAGTTGGTATAACCGGTATAAACCGATTGTACCATTAATCTTACCATTTCACTTACCAAAACGATGTGATAGTATAAATCGGTTTGACAATATTGGTTGGTGGTGGTCTTAGAAGTCTGCGAGAAATCTCTAATTTTATATTATTATAAATAAAAAAAATCTAATGATGAAATAAAGCTTAGTTCGGATCAAGACAAAAGCGATTGTTATCTACCCATTTGCTCTCTCGCGCCCAGAAATGGCTCCCATGGCATCCGCTGCGACATCCAAAGTGCAACCTCATCGCTGTCCGATACTTGTATCCTCTTCCTCTTCCATCCATCAGTTCCAGCAGCAATCCATAGATTTCCCTTCGAATCACGGAATAAGCAGTAGAAGAATCGTCTGCAAGGGAAAGGCTTTCCGCGGAACGGCGATATGCGCCGCCGCGAGCTCAAGCGCGCCGTCTTCGTCGGGACTTTACACCGCTCAAACGTTCGATCTGACGGCTAAGAACGTCGACTTAGTCTTGGACGACGTCAGGCCTTACTTGATCGCTGACGGCGGGAACGTCGACGTCGTCTCCGTCGAAGACGGCGTTATCTCCCTTCAACTGCAAGGTCTGAATAGTTGATTTGATTTCCTGCTGCAATTTTGCGATTGACGATTGAGTCGATATTGATTTCTTTTTCTTGGATCGATTATGGCAGGAGCTTGTGGGAGTTGCCCTAGCTCAACGACCACCATGAAAATGGGGATTGAACGAGTTCTGAAGGAAAAATTTGGGGATGCAGTCAAAGAAATCCGGCAGGTGGGCAATGAAGATATCAACGGGGCAGCTACTGTGGAGGTTAGTCGGTGGTCTCAGATTCTTGTAAACAAAAGCAAATCCCATCAATAGTTGGCTGATGAATTTCTCTATATGCTAATATCCAACTCTGTAGGCTGTGAATGGCCATCTTGAGATTCTAAGACCAGCGATTAAGAACTATGGCGGGAGTGTGGACGTGCTATCGATCAAGGGCGGCGAGTGTCAGGTTAGATACACAGGGCCCGAGTCTATCGGTTCAGGAGTCAAAGCAGCAATCAAGGAGAAGTTCCCAGATATCCAAAATGTCGTATTTGTCGACTAGGTTGTGTATGTTGTTGCAGAGATTAATCGTAGATCGCCACTGTTGTAACTAGTAAGTCCTCTGATATTGTCTACTTGGATTTATTCTGAGAGAATTCTTGAATTATACTCTTGTGGTTTTTGTTGATTGTGCTTACATTATGATGAGAGTATTCTTGAATGGACAAATGTGTAAAGCCTTCTGTTTCTTTACTGCCACTACAAGGCCTGATATTTCGCCTCTTCGGTTCCCCTTCATTAGTGCTGTATGTGATGACTGGAACCGTTTGCAGAAGGCTTCAAAGTATCATGTATTACTGCATTTTGGGTTCTGATTTTGAGAGAGGATGAGCCTGGCATGTATTGTAGCAATGCCTATATCAACTTTTGTTAACATGAGTTGCGTCTTAAAGCCCAGAAGGACATCATGTTAGAACACTATGTGCATTAGAACAAGGATGTACTCCATTTCAAACTTGCAATTCTTTATGAGGAGAGAACTGGGTGCAGAGTTGAAAATATCTTGCTCTGATCCTGATATACACAAGACTTGGACTAGACTTTCAGTTAGCATCGAAAGATATGTAGGATGATGGCTCCTCTATAGAGCTATAACATTGGTGTTTTCAGGTTTCTGTCACTGCCTCCTTGTTTGGTTCTTGCTTGAAAGGTGTTCCATTGAATTTCAGGCCACGACAGCCCAATAGACAGAAAGCCTTCCTTCTCAACAGCTAGATCACTCGTCCTCCAGCGGAAGGCTTCGAGAATCTGCTATCACTTTCCCCTAGATGGATTTGTTTTTGTTGTCAGCAGAGGTCTTAACAACTGATCTCAACCAGCGGGACAGGCTGACGAGGAACGGTGTGTAAACGAAGTAGCAAGTTACAGTCCAGGTTACTAGTCCCTGCGTCAATAACGACATCACCATATCAAGCTTCCAACAACTCTACTATATTATTTGAGGTTGGTTAGAAGGTAAATCACCTGACCAAATATCTCAATGTTAGCTTGTGGGTACTCCCAAAGGTGCAAGAACCTGCCAGCACAGGTTGATATAGAAACATCAGTTGTTACTATTGGTCATAGTTGTTTTTCTTCCAAAGTACCAACTACCAAGGCAGGCTAAGTATTTTTGGTACTTCATTATTGGAATCTCCGCGAGTGGACAGCAGACGCCTACGATTGATGCGAGTGTGAATCCTATCCGCGTCCTGTCCACAGAGAACCATATCAACTCTGCTAATGCAAACAGTATGTATGCCTCGATGTTATCTGCTACTCCTGCTTTGTACATTTCAGCGCTCAACTCCAGGAACAGCACAAGCGCCCTGCAAATATTACAGGTGAAGCAGAGATGACTTGGATTACATGGAGAAATTAACCAGAGAAGTTCCAAAATCGTCTTACACTAGCGAAGCAGCTAAGTTCTCTGGTCTGCCTCGTGGAGCTTCTGACGATGTCTTGTCGTCTACGAAGAGCTGCAGCAATCCGACAGTGGAGTAAAACAGTCCAAGCATGGGAGGGACCTGATAGAAAGAAAGAAGACAGACGCATTTTATTCTTGGAGGCCACGAGTTTTTTTTTTTTTTTTGAGAAACAGAGGAGCTTACCCAGATGTCGGTATGGAGAGGGCCGATATCGATCGACCCAGTTCGATACTCGACGAGGTCCACCCTGGAATGGAGTCCGTCGAGAAGGGGGCCTAAGAAGAAACCTGAACCAAACAGCAAGAGACCAACGACGGGCCAGGAGCTGTTTGAAGATGGCTGCTGTGTGTCTCTCAGATTGCATAGTGGTTTAGCTGTATAGAGGCGGCGGCTTCCCTTCGTCTGGTTCTGGCGGAATGGAAGGCGGTGGTGGTGAGGATGACGGAGGAATGTTTGAAGAAAGCATGGAGTTGAGCTAACTGTAGCTAGTAGCACGCCTTGCATTCTTCTCTCAGGATTGGCAAATTTTGCAGTTGCATTTTGTGAGGAAAAGGAAGGAAGGAGGCACACCAGTTGCTGCGCTCAATTTCGCCAGCTAAAAATCGTGTGGCTCTAAATGCATTTCGGCCAGCCAGGCCCGGCCCGTTCTGTGGTACGTTTTTTTGTTTTTTGTTTTTGCCAAACATATTCCGAAAGAGTAATAGCAAGATACGAGAATATAGATACTAAACAGGTAACGAGTTGCCATCAGACCACTGTCCTCAATACATCTCCAGACTTTTATTTGCGTCAAGAGTGCCGGCGATCTCTGGCATCATCGTTTGGGGCATCCCGCTGCTGCAATTCTTTCACATGCTCTTCGTTTTGCTTCTCTTCGCTCCACTTTTCATGCGTCCAACTCTCGTTTGTCTTGTGGGTGTTGCAAAAGAGCACTTCCTACTATGCTATAAAGCAGTGGTGCTTTAATGTACAACTTGAAGTTGTACCATAACGTTAAATATATAATTTTAGGTTGTACCATAAACGAATTTGTACCATTATGCTTTAGTACAACTTCACAACTTAAAGTTGTACCATCACATAAAGGTACAAGGGTTAAAGACACATTTGGTCACTGAGATTACTAAATCGGGACATGTTTAGTCACTAGAAAAACTTAATATCAATTTTAGTCACTCGAATTACTGAAACAGGTCACTTTTAGTCACTCTCCGTTAGTCTCCGTCCAACTCCGTTAATGGAGTCCGTTAAGTGCTGATGTGGCAAACAGAATTGCCTAATCAACGCCGATTTGGGCCGGAAATGGTCAAACCCGACCCGCCACGTCACTAAACCCACCATGTCATACACCCAACCCATTAACCCTACCCACTAACCCAACCGTAGCCCACTTTAACAAAACAAAATTGGAAAACCCTAGCTCCAACTCGTTCTCCTCTTCTTCACCGCCGCTTCCCCAATGAAACAAAAGTTTTTCATCATCAACCTCTCCTCTCTAGTTAATCAAGCTAAGCATACCAAACCCCCTGAATCCTCACATCCTTGAGGCACCCAAATCGGTGTCCGACGGCTGAATGCTCTCAAACATCCCAATCACCTCCCCTGTCTCCGACTTGCTCTTGGTCACGCTCAATCTAATCTTCCCCTTCGACGCCGCCGCGTTCTTGACATTCTCATTCGCCAGCTCTTCCTCATCCCCTCTCCCACCGGGGGCAGCGCCGCCGCGTTGTCATAACCCTGGGACCCGCCTTTGCCCTTTGGGTCCAAGAACGACGACCCTCTGTACCTGGGAACCAAAAACTCGCAGCTGAAGCTCTCTGGTTTTCCAGAAGCAACGAGCTGCTTCACCGTGAAGTGGAAAGGGACCCTCCCGCCTCCGGGGAGCTGGACGGTGAGGACGGCATAGTCGATGCCATCTTTCTCCTTGAATTTCACGATGCCGTCGGGGGAGACCTCGAAGGGGCCTTCTAATCGTGATGATCTTGCAATTGCGGCTGATGTTGTTTCATTGGGGAAGACGGCCGTGAAGTGGAGGAGAATGAGTTGGAGCTTTTTCAATTTTGTTTTGTTAAGTGGGCTAGAGTTGGGTTGGTGGGTAGGGTTAGTGGGTTGGGTGTATGACATGGCTGGTTTAGTGACGTGGTAGGTCGGGTTTGACCATTTCCGGTCCAAACGACGCTGACTAGGCGCTCTCGTTAGCCACGTCAGCACATAACGGACTTTATTAACGGAGTTGGACGGAGACTAACGGAGAGTTACTAAATGTGACCTGTTTCAGTAATTCGAGTGACTAAAATTGATATTAATTTTTTCTAGTGACTAAACATGTCCCGATTTAATAATCTTAGTGACCAAATGTGTCTTTAACCCAAAGGTACAAGTTCAAGTTGTACCATAAAAGAATTTGTACAAAAAGTATAGGTACAATATGAAGTTGTACCATAAGATTAAAGATACAATTTCAAGTTGGACCATAAAAGCAAAAACCTATAACACTATTGCTATATAACATTGTAAAATTCCTCATTGCAAAAGTCATAGACTGCCTTTTTCTCACTTGACTCTCACCGGTTACTGTCCTCTTGAATTGCTTTGTTATGACTTATGATGTTTGGGTTCCTGCCTGTGTTTCATTTGCCTGTGTTCCCAAGGTATTTTTAGTAATTGTGATTCATTTTGGAGTGTTTATTGGTATTCGAGATTACGAGATTGAGATTGTTTATGCCGTAATATCGAGAAACAACAAAATTAAGTAAATATAGCACACATACTTTGGTTCTTCCTCACTCTTTGAAAACTCACAAACCCCATCCAACCCAATTTATACTTTCCAATTTAAGTCACTTTCGTCTCTCACTCAATCTCTTATTATTTTATTACTCACAAAACAATGAAACATACACTCTCATTGGCGTAATCAGTCAATCCCCTGAATTTTTTTTAATAATAAATAAAAAAAAAGGCCCGGGATAAACAACATTGCCAATCAGGGGCGCCGCAACCAGGTTTTCCGCTGATTGGGCCAAAAGGCAGAGAGATTCCTTGCTACCATTGCTCCCCACAACCGGATGAATATCTTGTAAAGCTAACCATTCTTCAAAATTATTACAATTCCAAAATTTATGCTGAATTTTTTGCTCTACTGTGGCAGCACGAATCTTTCGTCTGTAAAATTTTTCTGAATGGAATAAAAAAAATTCTCTTTTTTTTATCATAATAGAATTCGTACAACTTAAATTTGTAATATAACGTTATAAATACAAGTTAAGTTTGTATCGTGAAAGCAAAAAAACTAAAAGCACATATAACCTTGAATGAAGGGTGGTAAAATTCCTCACGGATGAAAAATCAATTCTTATACTTTTTTTTTTCTTATGAATTTTTCTATACTTTTTTTTCTTCTTCCCGATCAATGTTTTCTTATTGCTGGATGGATTCAATCTTCCATAATCAAGAGAGCGCCATGTGGCAAACCATGGAGAATTTAGGACCTACAAGTCCACAGTAGCCCAGGTTTTGTCGTGCCATAGTTTGGAAACCAAGTACGACGCCATGCAGCTCCCTGTCTCGTTGCTCCCCTTTTCATCTGAGTCATTTGTGCTCCCAGCTGTTTTTTTTTTTGGGGTTTTGTCTGCTGGTCGGCTCTGCTTGGCCGGCCGCAGCCATGAATTCAAGGACGGAGGGCACCTTTTTGGAGGCGGGAAAGCAGAGTCTTTGTCTCTCGTTTGCACGTGTGTGTCGTCTCTCCAATCAGCATACTTTGGGGTTTTTTATAATAACATGTAAGGAAGTGGTTAAGTACCATACATGGGTCTGTATAAGATCCAGCATAACTTTCTTTCAACAACTCGAGTTATTGGGACCAACTGGTTTATGACATGATATCAGAGCTGGTTTGTCCTTGAGTTCACGTGTTCAAATCCTCACGACCTCCCAATATTAACCGTTGTCTTTCAAGCACATGGTATGACGGGTCTGTGCAAACTTCAAGCTCATGAGTCGGCTTTCGTTTGAGGGGGCGTGTAAGGAAGTGGTTAAGTACAAATACATGGATGAATATGGATTATGGAACAAGTCAAGGGCATAAAACCTTGGTTTGGTTTGGTTTTGGATGGATATTCTATGTAAATTGTGGTCCAAATGATTTATATAGGGAAGAAATGGATGGGTTTTTTTTGGATTGGATGAAATATTCGAACATTCGGATGATGGATTGGAAAGCACAGTGGTGTATGTTGATAGAATAATATAAGGTAAATTTTGAAAGGAGTGGGCACTGACCCAGATTTGGGGGGTTTTTTTTTAGGGTTGTTCTAAACCCTTTTCCATTTACATTCTTGATTTAATGATCATCATTTGACGTTTTTTTTTCAAAAAGTTGTAAAACAATGCTTGAGATCGTATTGGAAAAGTTAGCGACGCGGTTTAATATATCGTTTCAAACCGCTAAAAACTACCTATCGATTCAGGCTCCGTTAAGGAGTTTTTACTGATCGAACCGCAGTTACGATATGGGTTCACAAGCACTTGTTTTTCTGATAATATACATATATATACGTTCAAGATTCCTTAATCTTTATATGTTCATTATCTTGGCATAGGCTGAGTCAATCATGATATTTTATCAAATTAGTTGACCTAGCCAACTTAAATGATATGTACTTCACAACTAGTCATAATAAAAATAAAAAATAGAAGTCATTTGACAAGATCATAAAAATATTATTAGAAAAATGATTCCATATTGTGGAATTCTGCCATGAAAAATCTCAAACAGGGCTAATGAAGATTGTTATAGACCATATACAAATAAATTATGTACATCTTTTAGAGCTCCTATGTTAAGCGTTTACGTCACCAATTTTGATCTTAGGTAGTGGATCATAAGGAGCTTACAAGGTCAATCATCACACTTATAGACTTTTGACCATGGCGATGAAGTACAAAACGTACTTCGTAAGCACGATAGATTCTTCTCTCACGAGATTGAGTCTTTCTAAGGATATGAGGTGAAGTATATGTAGCTTTATCAAGTATTTAAGTACATCCCTACCGCGTGACAGTTGTTTCTTAAAGTTCTTAAGTGTTCTATCTCTTTTCCTTCAATCTCTAGCATTGTACCCTTATGAAGGGGTTTGTTTATGTTTTTTTGCTACACTTATGCGCATGAGACACTCCAGATGCCAGAATTCCACTCACCCAACAAAAGAAACCTCCCATACTTCCCTGCAATCTTCTCTACCATACCTTTGTTTCTGTAAGCCGAGGGCATATCAATTACTCGAATCCAGAGTTCCATCTCACAAAAGTCCTCAGGCTTAGGGTGAATATTATTTAGGTTATCCTCTGTGAAATTCCCCATCGAAGTGCCAAGGATATCCAAATCTCACCCTATTACGGTCATCTGGGTCATAAAATTGAAACGTATACAAGCTTTCTTCGAGTGGTGTTATCATGAAGTCATTCTTTAGGTTCCAAACCTTAAATAGCGCAATCTTAATCGATTTCACATTAGGGTTTCGTCGAGCCATCAAACGACCTATTAAACCTAACTTCTGCACTACTTCATCTAGGCCAGTAATCTTGTCTGTCTCCTTTACTATCAAAGTTTCATCGTCTTCTTCGTCTGTCTGAATCCCTCATCTCAAGCTCTTTTGTTGCATGTACTAGTGTTGTATCTTCGCTAGCCATCTTACATATATGTTAGGGCAACTAGTGTTATATCTTTGCTAGCCATCTTACACATATATATGTTAAAAGGTAGAAAAGAATTACACCCTTACATACTAGATGAAGGAGGCAATCTAGGAACTCAACTACGAGACCCTAAGAATCTTGAATCTTCCTCGAAAACTCTCTCAATAGATCTATGGAACCCACCGTCTTAGTGATTATTAGGTTTTTCGGTGTAAAAACCTAATCGGGGCTCTCTCGAAAATCCTAACTAAACGAGGAAAAGAATCATAATTAGATATTATTTAGAAATTCGAACCTTAAACCTCATTATTCCTACATAAACAAACCTTTTTCAGAGCACAATTCAAAATTTCCAAACTGAATTTCTTGTGGATAGGTATGAGAGATTTACTAAGACGTATCCTATATATGCAAATCTAGAAAAAAGAACAAAGCACTTATAGAAATTGTCTCCGAAAACTGTAAGGAGAAGTTCCTAGAAGAAGAAGAAGCTAGCTCATCTGATGCGATCCTCAATTCCATGGAAAATGACAGTTGTACATCAACACGCAATACAAGGGAATTGCATCCAATGGGAGACACAGAATACATTGTTTTGTTGCCCTCTTAAAACTTTTGAGCTTAAATTAATTGGCCAGCCAGCCCCTGTAATTTTACCTTCGATTACACCGAAGCCGCTCTCCCCTGTACGTGTTGATCTTTCAGTTCCCATCCTATTTATTAAATGAAACAAAACAACTATTCGCAAACTCGTTGTTCCAGTCGTTCGTGTATATTCGCTTACCTTTTCCGATACAACTTTGCGAAGTATGGGCTAATATTGAAAGTGTAGGACAAATACAGCGATACTCGATCTCGGGACCTGGCGATGATACATAGGATCGCCAACTGCATGGGTTTTGAACAATCCTAGGAGGAAATGAATATAATTTTGTGTTATATCTTCATCTCTTTGGAGACATCGATCTTTCTTTCAATTTGTGTAGAAGGATTCTGTAGGGGGAAGGAATGGTTCCTCCCCAATTTATTTATTTATTTAATTAATTCTACAAAATTGGTAATGCCAAGTGTTTTCATGTTTATTAAAATTTCGTTAAAAAAAGGTGATTTGGATTTGGGAATGTGAAAATCTATGGATGCTGGTCTTTCAAGGACGTAATTAATGAGGGTGTGAATGACAGACGTTTTAATTATCTAGAAGCTCTTTTATCCTGGAATTTACAAGATATTTGTTAGTGAATCTCACAATTAATTCATCTCATGTTATTTGTATCAACTTATTTACATTATTTTTTTTACCATTAGCATTTATTAATAAAGGCAAGTTTACATGTTGTTAGGAATGTTAATGCCATCTTGCTTTGTTGACTGCGAAGAATTCTCTTGTTGGTCCTCTTTTATTTAACTATTTCGATTACGTATAGCTACAAATACGAATAATCACTACCAGACGATTGTTACTAATAGAAACAAATACGAACTGATATGTACAATACAAACATAATTCCTACTGGCAATGGATTTCGACACTTCTATGGTGTTATTCGCAATAGGGAGGAGAGGACCGGACCATGTGGGAGGAGGGGATTCTAAGCACATAAATTTGTACTTTGTCTTTCGTTTAATAGTATGAAGAAGATTGGAACCCAAACCTTAATTTATTGTCTTTCTTTTATGGTAATTTATCGTAATTTAGTCGTTTATCGTGAGGAAATTATCTAACCAGAGGCATTTTGTAAAATTACAAGTGTGAATATAAGTGGATTTAGTGGAATGATTCGTAAAATTAAAAAAATAGAGTATTTGTGAGAAAAACTCTTGTCCCACGGTGAAACCAGAGACAATTTATTATTATTATTATTATCAATGAACCAGATACATTTGCTAAAACCTAAACCAAAAAACAAAAAAAAAAACAAATATCTTTGTTCAGCAAAATGATATTGAAATATCTTTTTTTTGGTAGAAAATTTTAAATATCTTTGTTTCCCTTTTTCTATAAAAGTTCAGTGAATATAAAAAAAAAAAAAAACAAAACACCCTCCTCTACTTTCTCACCTTGGACCTGCTAATATCTCTATATAAGAAGGGCCAGAGCATCATCTTCAAACCCATCGCTTCTCCCTTCCTTCCTTCAACCTCCTCTCCAAATCTGCTCAATCACATTCTCCATTTTCAATCCTTCTTCCTCCTCACTTTCTTAAACCTCTAGCAAAACAAAGAAAGACAACAACAATGGTTGTCCCTTCCCCAATTTCCTTCTGGGCCAAGAAATCCAGGGCTGTCGGAATCCCGACCGTCGACCTATCCCTGGACAGAGAATCCATGTCGGAATCGATCGTGGACGCCTGCGAAGAGCTCGGGTTCTTCAAGGTTGTCAACCACGGCGTCGATATGGAGGCAGTTTCCCGCTGGGAGAAGGAAGGTGCCGAATTTTTCGCCAAGCCGGCGCCGGTGAAACAGAGGGCCGGACCGGCGGCGCCTTTCGGCTACGGCTGCAAGAACATTGGGTGCAATGGCGACACGGGCGAGCTCGAATACCTCACCCTCCATACCAATCCGGCTTCACTTTTCGAGCGATCGCTCACCATCTCTGAAGAACCGGAGAATTTCAGGTACCAAAATTTAGCTGGATTAATTGGTTGCTCTTTCATCATTCTCTGTTTTTTTTTTTTCTTTTTTGGGGTTTCCTTGTTTTCTTCTTCTATCATTCGCGTCAAATAATTTTCTGTTTTACTGCGCGTAAAACCGTACCAACCGAAATTTGTTACTGTTGGAATCTAAATCAGTAGACGATTTTTGAACTGCTGTTTTTTTTTTGGGCGGTGTGCTACTCAAGGTTTTTATGCACCAACTGGTTAATGGCGTGGATCGAACACATAGCCCTGCGTGTGCCGAACCAACACCCCATCAGTTGGGCTGTCCCTCTTTCGCAAATTATTGTTTCGGCATAAAATAAAAAAAATTATGATACTACGATTTTTTGTTGTTGTTATTCAAATCGTACGTAGTGTGATAAAGTTTCGCGTTTTTTTTTTGAAAGGTGGACTATAAGTGGAGTGATTATCACTAAAACTTATTATAGGGTTGGCTAAAATAGTGATGGATTTTGGAAGAGAATGATTAATGGTTTGCTACCAATTTGGATGACTTCGGTTGTGGAGATGGTGGGGGAACTTTTTTTAATATGATAAATAACTATAAATAATTTGGCGGAAAAAGGGGGGTTAGGATGGCCGGCCGGTTTTATTAATACAAGAATATTTATTCTTTTTTTTGTGTGAGAATATTTATTCTTTATCATGATTAAAAATAAATAAATTTGACTGGTATAATTTCTTCATTTTTATTGTTATAAAATTTTTCTATAATATATTTTAAGAAATTTTATGCGTAGGAGTATTTTTTTTTTTTATATAGTTGACCGCAAGGTTTCGAACTCAATTATGGGTGGAAGTTGGGGAAGGAAAGATTGATTGATTGTTCAAAAAAAATGTAAGTGCGTGGTGTCCTAGAAAAGGACACGGCTCCATTTATGGGGAAAAAAAAATAATTGTGAAAAAATTGCAACAAAGCCGCTGCGGCGATGCATCAAATGAAACAACTTAACATCTGCTAATCTTCCTCCCAATTTCTTTTTTCGTTAATCCTCTTGTTGACTGAAAACTCTTAAGTTGTAGATTAAATGATTAATACCTAAACCAATAATATTGATTTTAATAGCGTATTCCCAGTTTTTCAATAATAAAAATGCGGGCACAAATGTTCACATAGTCAAAGATCACTTTTTGGTCTCAAATTTTGTTATTAAATATATATATATAAATAAAAGGCTCCAACCAGAGCAGGCACCTTCCTTCCCCATATCCCCAGGAAATAACAATTCCCATGCACATGTTTGCCGGTCCTCTCATTTTTGTTTTCTCACTTCTTTTATGAATTTTCTTGGTCTAACTTTTTTTTTTCCTGATTAATATATTATTGGTCTCGCATGATTTTATTTTTGGGTGTATTACGATAACTTTTTCATAGGTCACTCATCTCTTGCTTCATTGATTTTTGTTCAGATCCGTGGCGAACGATTACATAGAGGAAGTGAAAGACCTGGCTTGTGAAATCCTCGATTTGGCCGCGGAGGGGCTGCAGATCGCGGACAAGTACGCCTTCAGCCGGCTGATCAGGGACACTCACAACGACTCGGTCATCAGGATCAACCACTATCCTTGGGGGAAAAAGGGTCCCGCCCCACAGCGGGACCAACGACCTTCCCCCAAGACGAGGATCGGGTTCGGGGAGCATTCGGACCCTCAGATCCTGACCCTCCTCCGATCCAACGAGGTCTCGGGCCTCCAGATCTGCACCAGGGACGGTTTGTGGGTCTCCGTCCAGCCGGACCCCAACGCGTTCTACGCGATCGTCGGCGATGCATTTCAGGCACTTACCAACGGGAGATTCATGAGCGTGAGGCACAGAGCGCTGGCCAACTCAACGAGAACTCGAATGTCGATGATGTACTTCGGCGCGCCGGCGTTGGACGCGTGGATTTGTCCCGTGCCGGAGTTGATCTCCCACGACAGTCCATGCCTGTACCAGCCTTTCACCTGGGGAGAGTTCAAGTCGGCCGTCTATGCCATGCGGCTGGCCGATTCACGACTTGACCTCTTCAAGAAAGTACACCCACCGTCTTCTTAGCTCTATAGCTATACAATCTTGTTAGTAATATGCCCTAAAAGAGTTGATAGAAAATATTTACGAATTTGTTTGTAGATCATGTCTGTAGTGTCATAGAGATCGATGTAATTTTTTTTTTTTTTTGGTCGGGTTGAAACCTTTAGCATGTTTTGCTCGGTTGTGTAGAGGAAGAAACAAAAGGAACAGAAGAAAAGAAAAAAGCCACATAGATGATAGACAAATAAATATGGCTCATCGCCCACAGCTAAGCTAGCTGGATGTAAATAGTGCCTAGTTTTGTCCCTCTAGTTTTTTTCTCCATTTATTCTTTTCACCCGCCAATTGTTCAATTGTTATTGTTTGCTGTTTCGACACATATATATAATATATATATATTTGTTTTGTAATTTTGTTCATTTTAGGGTGGCGTTATAGTTTTCCGTTGTGAGATTGGAAGAGTTTTCTTCTGTTCTCGATAAGTCGATGGACTCGAGGAATGTGTTGGATTGGAATCGGTTTTATAGCGAGAAACTTCTGGTGTTTTGAATTTAATAAATGCATTTTTGATTTGTATGAGGAGCAACGATTCTAAATATGGTTCGCACTTGTTTAACAATAGTTCGAACTTCGAATGAAAGCGTTTGATAATTTTAATAGTTTTTTTGAGAATAAGGTCATTACTATAACTATTGCTACAGAGAAAAGATAAATGATAAACTTGACATGTGTGCTATTAGTGGCGTAGCCAGAAATTTTGTTAGGGTGGTTCCAACACTTTAAAGAAAATAATTCATAACTTATATTAATAATTTACCATAGTCCACAACGTGTTTTCATATTCAGAAAAGTATGTAAAATACATTCATCATCCAAAAGATCAAGGATGTATCTATCAATGTAATGAACAAAAAAAAAAATCATTCATAATTTCATCATTCATCCAATTCTGAAGTGTGTTTTTCACGAAGTTCATTGTAGAAAAGAATGTAAAATACCATCAGATATCTTGAACCTGCTACAAAATATGGATGAAAATGAACATGATTGAAAGAAAGAATAAGAGGAGGAAGAGTCGAGATTCCCAACTCAACCCCTTTAATTACTTCATTCTCACCACTTGGTAATAAGATTGAGTAGATAATCACAATGAAGGAGGTTAGTGACTCACTAGCAACCTCTGAACAAAAGCAAAGAGATGCTTAACCACCATTACCACCAAGAATCAACTAGTATCTTTTCCAAAATTCGATTTTTTTCAAGGATAAGACAACTCACACTTGGCTTTTTACCTCACACTTTATATGCGGCGGCATCGTCTACTGATTCTGGCTTAACGTGGTAGGATATCAAATGGACGAACCTGCATATCGACCCCATTTTTGTTTTAAGCGCAGAAGACTCCTGGATTCAGATGGTAATTTACTATTGTTTGCTTATTGTATTTTGCTAGGAATTTTACTTCATTAGATTTGTTGCCAAGATTGTTAGCATTGACCCAAATCTCACCTTGAACCATGAGATTTGCAAGTCCGTGTTGTCTACAAATTTGGACTCTTATTAAAGTATGTGGATCCCAAGCATTTTACTCCCCTAAAATTGGATTTGAAAAATGAAGGTTTTCATTAAAATCTGGGTTTTATAAAATTATGTGTTTATGATAGAATTGGTCCATTAAGAATTTGGACCAAACTATTGTAGCATGGTGGATTTTATGATGCACTTGTTGAATTAGATTTGTGGGTATGAAATACAATTTACCTTATTGCCTTCTTTATAATTATTTGTCTATTATTTTTATTTCATATAAACAGATCGTGTAAGGTTGTTACACTGGTTTGATATCGTTTATGTCGGTTTAGCAAGTGGTATGGTCCAACCACAGTACAACTAGTATATCTCGGTTTATATTGATTTAACAATATATGTAGGAAAAGTCGAAAACTATTCCACCAAATGAATTACGTCTTTATATACACATGGTAATGACTGATATACTCCAGGAGTATAGTATACTCCAGATGATCTGGTCGTTAGATTATTTTCTATCTAATTAAACTTCGGGTTTGAGTTTAGAGAATCGGTGTCAGGGGGTTTATCCATTAGAGGTTAGAGTATAGTATCATAGCAAAATGATACCTAGACGTTGAATTTGACCGGAGTTTTGCATCTCGTACTATTCTCAAACCCTTAAAGATTAAAATCTAGGTCTTAATTCCATAAATTCATACGCTAAGATCAATTTAATTAGAAACAAAAATCAACGGTTATGATTCGGAGAATATATGCAACAAATTACATGTAGGATCTTAGGGGTTAGGCTCTATGATTTAGAAAACTAAGACCTAGGGGTTCACTCATCAAGAGTTAGGGTATAGTATCATGCCCAAAAATCCTGTTGATTTGAGGTTTAGATAGCGTTTTCTTACTCAGGGTATGACGTACCCTAGATTTTACCAAAGATACGATAGAAGCCACCAAGATACGACATCCTTATTTAAATAAAATATGACATTACAAACAAAATATAAATTCTCGTATTTAAATACGTCGCAAAGATAGTAATTAAAGGAAAACAAGTGAGGGTAAATGTGTAAAGTATCATCATGGAATTTAAACCCTCAACCAAATCTCATCTTAAGAGATAGAACTTGCGAGTCCATGGTATCCACAAATTTAGACCCTCAAAGTCCATGCACCCCATATATTTTATACCCCTAATTCCATGAAGCAAACAATGGACTTCGGTCAAAGTCTATGATGGAAGAAATTTGTTCACCAAATCCATGATCAAATCCATTACGCAAACGATCTCTAGACTCTTTCAAATCCGTAATGACAACAAATAATCCATCACGAATCTAGAAATTTCCAACACCCAGAGTTTTTCAAAACTCTCTTTTTTTTTTCTTCTTCAAAATTCATGAAGCAAACCATAAAGTATCAATCCTTTTTTTCAATGACATAAAATCTTTCACATCAGTTTACATTAGATGAATCGAAAACCAGGTAAACCTTTTAGAGTCCCAAAGTACTGATGATCACTCAGTGAGTGGGTCTACTAGCCATTTGTCTCCATCAACATAGTAAGTACCTAAGAAAGGTTTGGCCTCCTCATCACTCAGTATTCTGGCCCAAGGCACCCTCTCTGTCACATCAGCACCTGGGCCACTGCATTTGTATTCCCCATAGAACACTCTTCTGCAGCAAAATAACAACAATGGCTCATAAAAATGATTTAACTGAATATCATGACAGTGATGAACAAAGCAGCAGTCTTTGAGTTTGGAAACTAACCTGTCACGCTCAGTTTTGCCCCAGTCGTTCCAGCCTTGAGGGAGGACAACCTGGTCCATGTAAGTGTAGGAGAAAACCACCCTGGAATAATCACCCCACGCCCGACCAAGATAAATCCTGCCGGTTCCAGTCACTGAACAGTTTTTGAAGGAGAACCCATTGGCAAGTGACGAACTGCTTCTCTTTTGCGCCGTGATTGAGGCAACTTTCTTCGACGTCGATCTCAAACCACAATTCTGCATTTATATTAACCCTCACATCTTCATTCTATCATATATCACATTTAGGCCGGTAAAGTCTAGCCCTAGAAAGGTCGGACTGGGTCAGTTTGTCTACAAAATAATCGGTTTAAGGTTGGGTCATCTTTTGATCATGTAAGGATCTTATCGGCTTATGACTCATAGCAAGTACTGGCGATTTGAAATTGGCCGGGAGAGGATAGGGTACCAACAAATTGGACCTTTTTATAAAGTTTTAAGAGGCTGTGTCTGGCACGATTTCAGCCCTAGATTCACATTACATGCAAGAGGTTGTCACACACGGACTAGAATAATTGACAATGCAAGACAGACAACGATAGCGAATGAAGTAAAGATCGTACAAATTTGTGTGGTTCGTTAACACTATGTGTGTTAGCTAGTCCATGAGTGAGAGAGATAGAGAGTCGGGTTCGCTACACTTGAGAATATTACAAATTACAAAGGAGTATAACAAGTACGTACTTATAGTAATTCTTCAATGACCTAACCCTAATCTAATATGATAGAGATGATCAAGATTTTAATTCAAATGAAAGAGTAATCATCGGTATAACTGACCTCGTAAAGGGATGTGCCGGAGCCAAAAATGAAGTCGACGGAACCTTGGATGAAGCAACTCTGGAAATAGTGAAGGCCTTTGTGATCATAGAGAGTGTCTTGATTGCCATAGAAACTGCAGTTGTAGAACGCAGCCTTGGTTCCAGAGACTCGGATGGCCACACCTTGTCCTCCTCTAGACCCAATCACATGCGGAGCTGTGTTCTGCGATGTCACTAAAATGTTCTTGTTATTGCTTTGATTGATCGAGAATCTGTACTCTATTCCCAAAAGATATGAGATTTCGTAATAGTGCGTTACCATAATTATAATTAAGGCTAGTAGAGATTTAGTAGAATTAGGAATTTTACTATTGTTTTCTCGTGTTTTATCTATAAATATGTAAGTTGGCTTTCAACTTTTCATTCATAATCAATCAAAAACGTATTAAGCAAAGTATCCCTCCTAAACCTAATACCTCTCAACTACTCCTAATTTCTCTTCTTCCCCAATCCAAGGCCTCACCCGATTCTTTATTCTATTATGTTCTTCCCATCTATATCTCTAGTTCTTTCTCTCAACCCCAAATCCCTATTTGTTACAAGTAATTGTGTGTGTGTTGGGGGGGGGGGGGGGGATCATAATCGAGAATCTCTGGAAAGAGGGGTTCTTTCATTCAGGCTAGCGTTTTCCCGGAGCGTACGTTAGGCTATCGTGCAACTGTTAGGTTTTGCTATTTGGATCATGAATTAACCGACGTTTTGGGTATGATATTATACCCAGATACACCTAGGTGACCCCAAGGTGTGGTCAAACTGTGTCACCACGTTCGAAATTTCTAATTTGTTGCGGAATCACTATACGGTACAGGACGTTTTGCCTTTGTCGAGCACCTATGCTCAAGTGCGCTTTTTTGAACTATGGTTATTATTACATAATATACATAAACCTTGAGAATTTTGTTAATCATCTCCAAAATGATTCGGGATTTTGTTAATAAAGGAGAGAGTGAAGTTTTTTTACTCGTCAAAGATAACATTTTTGTAATTATTGATTTTATTAATCGAGTCATATCTCCCTCGTTATAATTGAAAATATTAAAAATGCAGAAATAATGATCTACACAATGATATCAATATGGCTACGTTTTGAGGGGGAATGAGCTCTTTCAAAACAGGTGTTGGTTGTAGTGGCATGGTGATATAGCTACTTCGTTTTAACCTGAATTTAAAATATTTTATAGAAAGACCTTATTAATTATGATCTACATGAATATCCATTTTATTTTTCAAAGTGATTTACCAGCACGCTGGAAATCTGTGTCAACCCAAAAAAATCCAGTCTTCCTATAGTGATAAAATCCAGTCTTCCTATAGTGATAAAATCATGGTATGACAGTGGTGAGATGGAATTATGAAGTCTTGCCATAGTGGTATATGATAATAGTGAAATCTTATAATAGTATAAAACTATAAAATAACATCCATTTTGATATTTTCAAACAAAATGTTTGCACGTCATCTTATCACTATAGTGTCATGATAATATCATTATGGTAATATCGTCATATCACAGTGGTACGATAACATCAATTTTTTGTTAAAATATAGCATAAGGGATATTATTGTTTATAAATAAAATATAAATAGTTAGAAATTCTCCCTTATACAGTTGTACTCCCGTCTCTTTTCCTCCTTCCACCACCGCCATTAATTCCTTAACCTTGCCTTCTTTCTCACACTATAGATTTCAATCTAAAGTATATATCAAAGTTCCAAGTATTGAGATCAACTATTTACTTTATAATTTTTTTATAAAAAGACCAACTGATTATCTTAAGTAAGTAATTAAATGTTGGATGGGAATTATACTTTGTGATAATTAGTATATGTAAAATTAGCTATAGAGGATGCACCTCAAACTTGATGTTGACGGCAACGAAATAATCGCCGTCCACAGCAACGGTGGCGCTCTGAAATGTTGTGAGCGGCATCCCATCTTTCCCCGGCACAGAAGCGGTGTCGTTTCCTGTGATCGTTGGTGGGTCGCCGCCAGCGTCTCCCCGCAATGTAATGAAGGGCAATGTTTTGGGAATTGCAATCTTCTCTCTGAAAAAATGGTATTTGAAAAACAAAAAGTAAACAAAACACACAGATTTATGTCGTTCACTAACAGGATATTACCGCGCGCGATATGATCAGTGGTACCTGTAAACACCCGATTCGACGAAGATCACGACCCTCCTGGGATTGTGTGGCGGAATGCTCGCAAGGGCTTCAGTGATGGTGCGGAAATCTGCACTCCCATTTTGGCTGACGCTGATTCTGATTCTGTTCATCTCAGCCAGCCTCAGCTTCTCGTCAAGGATAGCATTAGCAGCGCCATTCCCCAAAAATAAAGAACCGAAGAAGGAAACCAGGAGGAGGAGGATGAGAAGGAGAACATTATTAGTGTTGTGGGAGTTTGGAGCCATGGAGTTGGATTATATTGTTCTCCAATATTCAATTCTCTATTGTGGCAGCATGGCCACTTCAATATATATAACAGAATCATAATGCGGAGCTGCTGAATAGATGGTGGGGTAAGAGAAACATTTGCAGTAGCACTGCTGTAACCCTCTTTTTTATGAGTATTTTTTTTTTAGGAACAAAACTTTAGTTTTCTCAAGAAAAGTTTGTAAAGAAAGTATTTTTTAGTAAGAATGATGTTAATAATATTTTTGGATATATGATTTGAGATACTTGTTATTAACAATAACAAACATATATGAGTTTACTTCATGATATGCTCGTCGAGAGTATTCGCAGCATGCGATCGAGTGAAGGTTGTCATTGTACGTGTTAGGCATTATCACAACATTTGTTAGGTAATATTCACAACATTTGTTGTTTGTATCTACGCTTATTAGTTACTTCTGAAAGGAAAATTAGAGGAGAAGTTCGATACAAACAATTGATGTATTTGTCTCCATAGATATAAAGAAGCAAATAAAATGTCATTTCGAGTTCAATAGTCTCGTCCTCTTAAAATCAGATTTTCTTGTAAGTAATTGCATTGTATGACTATATATGTCAATGAGCCACTCGCTTATGAATGTTGTATTGGTGACCCCCCGATCTGAATAACATCAGCACCTTGCGTCTAGCTCGTCGTGTCGCTGATGAATTGTCTACCGACCTAGTATTCGTCGGCGAAGAATAAGTAAAGGCACAGAGAAGTTGTGGGTTGGGTTATCTCACGATGGTGAATGAACAAGGCGAACGAGTCAGCTAAAAACATTACCAAGAATTTTTTTTTTTTTTTGAATAATCTAGGTTAAAAAGGCACGGTTTAATTAAGAGATAGGAATGTATGCTTCTGGTTGGATCACCCGGTATCTCGAATTTTGACCATAGCATAATACCGGTTGTGTCGTCATCATGATGTAAACAATGTATGTTCTTTGCATCATGAGACCATCTGTGTCGTCATCATGATGTCAATTTTATTTTATCATTTCTATAAAACATGAATGGGTTTTGGTCATTGATTCCAGGCACTAAAGAACAGGACAAGGGATCCTCTTTGATCATGTGTTTTGGTCGGAAACCTCGATCATGAGACAGCTGGATGGCAATTTCCCATTATGATCATCTTAAATTTCCCATTATGCTGTCCAGATGTATTCAGCACTACCGAATAGACAGAGTCTCCAAACTTCCCTGGATTAGTGCCTTTAAGCACCACCCCAAAATTAGCCTCTCTAAACACATGGTAGACTTCTACTTCCTAATCAGGATTAATAAGGTGATTAAACTGTCTAGCAAGAGTGCCATCGTCGATGGTCATCGTTGAAATGGTTCTTTTTCATGAGTAAAGAAAGATTCAAAACTAGAGCAAGCAGCAAGCTCGTTTGTATCCTTTTCAAACAAGATCACATCTACGACTGTGCTCGGAGTACTTGGAAGTTGGAACAAAGTGCTTTTACAATACATTTTGCCTCGTATATATGTGATGCTTTCTTTTTTACACATTCCAGGAAATGGACTTTGAGAAACTAGGGCTGTGACGATTCATCTGCTACTGACACTAGATAAAGGACATGTTGCATACATTGACGGAATGCTCGAAAATATAACATCGAAACTTTTTGTTCAGAGTCCAGATAACTCAGACCACGCTGAAGGCAGACTGCAGAGTTGATGAAAAACGAGATGAGATCGTCTGAGTTGCGAATGCTTGGATCTGCTTCTTGGCATCTGACAATGGAGGAAGTTATTAATGTGAGCAAGAGAAGGTGGGCAATACATGAGTTTGCTTGAAGGCCATTACTAGAAAGAGGATCAACAAGAGCATGCAGTCGTTCAGATAACCAACTACCTAGTACGAACAGTACCATTCAGAATAATGTACCATCACACTTTATACCGTGCACCGACTTGAAGTAGGTTAGCAGAGCATGTAATAGCGGATAGCCCATATTATTGTTCCTCTTTTCCAAATGTTATCGTTAACTTGACCAACAAAATGTTCTTGAGAACTTAACCAAACCACATGCATTTAAAATGCAACATTGTATTGATGAGATCAGAAGAAAATATCTAACAGTAAGGAGCTAATAAAGAAAACAGTGCACTACATTACATAAGTACACTCTGATCACTTCCACGAGCAGCACACAGTTTAAACGATGTTAAATTACTTTTTTTCACAAGCAACCAAAAGTATTAGATTCAAAGGGAGAATCAGGAAGCCAAACAGACTATCAATATGAGCGCATGCTTCCTGGATTCAAGTAGCAACACGGATTATTCAATATTGCTTCAGACATGCATTATAAGTTAAAATGGAGAAGTTCCAAACCTTTCTGACATTTGGTAAAACCAATTATGTTGGCAATGCTGAGGCTTAAACAGACAGCGATCACCAGAACATAGTCCACCTGAAACCTTATCACAGAAAATACTCCAAGGACAATCCAAGCAGCTGCCTGCAACAGCACATTCACCAGAGAATATCATGCATACAACCCAATACAGAGCACCGAACTGAGATTAACAGCGCATTCCAAGACCTAAAGCTGTCACTTTGACAAAATAGAGGATCTATATGCCAAACCATTCACTTGAATAAACTATGTTCTGTTTACCAATGAAAAACTGGAGAATGCTTGACACTACATACGGAACTGTGAATGTAAGTTGATATATGAAAAAGTCGTCTACATCTAACTCCACAAGAAACTCACATTAAGGTACAACGTCCACCAGAATAGCCAAGAATCCTTCTTGTTAATCCGAGCCAGTGACTGCATAAACAAAAGGAACACAGCGAGAAGATTCTAAATACGGGGCAACTCATGAGCAATTAACATTGAGGAGCAATGATCCCACCAAACATTGTGGGAAGACTGTACAAAACCTGTTGGTCAAGGCTCTCAAACTTCCAAACACTTTCACCATCTTCATTGATCTCATTCCACCACCTGAGTCCAACTAAAATCCGCCCACTGACATTCTTAACTACCCAGAAATCAAGAGCAGCAAGCACCACGGTTACCACAAAGATAATGACGAAACTATCAACGAAGAGAGCGGATAGTATATAAAACGCCAGCGCTGCAGCCTGCCAAAAAAGGTGCAAAAAGGTAACATTAGATCGAAATCAATGCAAGACCAAAGAACCCATATGCCAGAAACGGTGGATGAATCAAACCTTGAAGAGCACATGGAAGAAGCAAGTCTTGGGATTGGCGTAGTTTTCGCCAGGCGTCTGCACATCCCAAAAGCAAAAATCAGATTGATCAGCACAGAAAAGAGCTCGATTTCATCCCGTACTAGTAAACTACGAGAACAGATGGTGTGAGATAGGCGCCGCCGGAAACAATGGAGGGCCGATCTTAATTATAGTAAATTGGGTACTGTAGATCTGAAGAGCGAGAACGATGGAATATCTACCTGGCTAAAATCCATTTTGCTGTAGACTGATAGATTTGGGAATTGAGCGATTCCCGCAACTAGTTCCTTCGCGTATGATCCGATCCAGATACGGGCGCGCAGGAGCTCGGACGTCCGCTTTTCTACCTGAGAGAGTTTTAACTTTCAAGGCTTCTGGATCTGAAGGTAAGGAAGGTATGAAAGAGAAGGAAACTGAAGATGACGAGATTGTGGAACTCGGGTGAACAGATTGGGCTGGGCTTCTTCCCCTCCTCTTGGGTTGGAATTATCATAAAAAAAAAATTGCTTGGCAACAAGCCCAAGTAACAACCGAGTTTGTTCAATGGTCAATACACTTATCCTTTCCTAGTTTCTTATGTATAGCTCTATTAGGACAATTATCAAAATATTATTAAAATTAAACAATACCAAATATAAAGTTTTTTAAATATTTATTTACACGAATATTGTGTTAGAGAAATTTAAGTGTGCATGCACGCTCCTAGCAAGCGAGACTAAAAGTATAGCTCAACATGTACATGGTTGTGCACGTTGAGATAAATACTATAATTCAATCGATGAGTCTTCATGTTTCTTCCTTCTCGGGCGAGATGGTGGACAAACTCATTGGCATAAGCAACGATGACTTCAATCTTCAAATTTCTTTCTTCTTCACACTCTTTGTCAGACTGTTAATGTATATTTTTCAGCATGTCTTATTCTTTCTCCTCCACTACGTCACCACCAATTCCACTTCATCAACTCCATGTTTTTCGTTGCTGGAAAACTATCTGAGAGACGTAGATCAAAGTTGGTAAGCTCTCTCTTCGCTTGATTAGAGCGATCGTTGATTGGAAGTAGGGATCGTGAGTCGACCAACTACTTTGTATTGGGTGTGAATACAGTAGAGGTGTTTAGGTCGAATAGCCTTGGTCGATTGTCTTAGTTTATAATAGATTCCATCTAAGAAATCCACTCAATAGGGCTTTGAATGCCTTGATCAACATTAAAGACTTGTTAAAGACTCTCCTCATTATGAACAAATGGTGAGAGGAGTTAGAGAATCATTAATTATCAATTCGGCTAGTGACTAGGGGGAATCATTACTAGAGTGAGTTTTCTCATTTTGAAACTTTATCAATTTAATCATTTGGTGTTAGTTTTAGTTGTTTAAAGTAACTAAACTTGAACTTGGAGTTTGCTAGATCATGTGAAGTGCCTACCCGCCTGAAAAGAGAGAATGGCTATAGATTTGTGGATTTGTAAAAAGGCAAGGGGAATAATTGTATTTTTAGTGAACTTATAAAAGTAAAGTGACGAGCAAGAAAAATCCTAGATGCACACTCCCTTCTTCTCTTCACTCTCGTCTTCTCGCCTCTCTGTTCTTTCCTCTACATATAAAAAACGAATCAACTCCCTATACGAACCAAAGATCAGAAGAAAATACAACATTTATTCTCCTTCACTCTCGAACAACCGAATCCTAGTCGCCACCTCTTCTCATATCTTCTCCGTCCAAGTAAAACATAAGAGAAAGACTGAGGGCGGCGACGACATCCATCATCGCTTCTCTCTCTCGATCATCTTCCCGTTGATCTGACGGAGAAGCCACCAGAAAGAGTCCTTAGTTAGGTCACCCAATTCGCCCAATCCACCCAGCCGCTCCCGCTCTAAACCGCGGATTTCCGGAAAAGCTTAAGAAATTTGCGAATTAATTATAACGAGAGCGCGAATTATGACACAAAGAGCGCGAATTCCATCCGACTTTATCATATTGAAGGAGACAGTGAAGAAAGAGATGGAAGGGAAATTAAGATGGCGCAGAGGATTTGCCAAAGAACGAATTTAATTTCCAGCCATGAAAGACGAGAAACTTCTGCTGCACCGAGAGATCTAATCGAACATGAAGGACCAACAGGAATGGGCAGGTCGTCTACCGCTCACGCATGGAAATTTGATGAGTTAATTTGCTTGCATGGTAGAAACTAGGATTGATCCATTCCCGATCTTGTTTTGTATCACTCTAGCTTTCTCCGATGGGTTGGAATATAATTCGTTTTATAAGCTGTAATTGGGAAGGAACTGCAAATTATTAATTAAAATAATATATTATTAATGCTCTATTCACGCTCTCAATATTAAATTATTAAAAAATGAATACTCTGACGATCCCGTTTCCGCTCCCGATCCCGCTCCACGAACTAATTACCTAAGTCCTTAGCAAAGATGTGAATCATAATCATTAGTCCGCTCTGAATTAGGATGTGAATCTCGATTCCTGGGACCGGTTACTATGACAACACTCCTTGTGTTGTTATTGTAACAACACTAGTCTCCAACCAATAGGAAGCTAGGATTGTGATGACTTTTTATTAGATGAGTTGACCTAGTGTAAATTCAAAGCAGGGGTATACTTGTCATTATGAAAAATCTGTTAAAAAATAAAAAAAATAAAAAATATTTTTTTATTTTTTGCCAAAAATTTGGCCGCCGTAATTCTGCCACCGGTCGCCGGAAAATGGTCGTCGGTAGGGCTGCAAATGAGCCAAGCCGCTCGCGAGCAACTCGACGTTCGAATCGGAAAAAACTCGTTCGACACTCGACTCGTTATTTAACAAGCCGGCTCGCGAGCCAACTCGTTAGTTAACGAGCCAAGCCTGAGCTAGACCATGCTCAGCTTGATAAGCTCGCGAGCTAGCTTGATTCGGTGGCTTGTCGAGCTAAGCTCGCGACCTGCCTTGTTTTGAGCTTGTGGAAGGATGAATTACTCTTTTAAACATGAACATTGTCTTATAATACAGATGTGTATGAAATTTAGATGTTATTTCTAGTTTCTAGTGTTCTTTCTATCATTTAAATTCTTATGTTTATACATTTTTCCAGCAAAAATGATTTTAAATCGAGCTCATCTTGAGCCGAGCTTGTACTCAGCTTAACAAGCTATGTTAATGAGCATTTATCGAGCTCTACCGAGTCGAGCTCGAGCTAGATTATTTTTATTCAAGCCGAGCTCGAGCTCGAGCTGGATTATCAAAATTCGAGTTCGAGCCGAGCTCGAGCTGAAAAATTAATAAACGAGCCGAGCTCAAGCTAAGCAAAAACTCGACTCGGCTCGTTTGCAGCCCTAGTCGTCGGGCACCGGAATATGCTTTTTGTCGCCGGAATATGCTATTTGTCGCCGGAATATGCTTACCTGTGTCGGAATATGCTTACCGGCGTCGGAATATGCTTACCGGCGTCAGAATCTAGTCATTGGGGCCGGAATATGCCTATCAGCGTCGGAATATGCTCACTGACGGTCACCTGAGTTCGGTCAACGAACTTCGTTGACCGGTCAACGGTCTTCGTTGACCGGTCAACGGTCAACGACCACCGGATGTATGGTCTACATTGTGAGATTTATGGTTTGGTTTCTCATATTTTCGTATGCCTTTTGTGGTTTGCTTTATCGTGTTTGTGGTTTGCATTAAGATGTTTCTGGTTTGCTTTATCGTGTTTGTGGTTTGCATTGAGAAGTTTCTGGTTTGCTTTCAAAAACTTTGTGGTCTGCATTGTGAGGTTTCTGGTTTGTTTTAATATATTTGCGGTTTGCATTAGGACATTTATGGTTTGTTTTTTTGTGGTTTGATTTACTATGTTTGTGGTTTGCATTTGGAGGTTTCTGGTGTGCTTTCGCAAATGTTGTGGTTTGCATTGTGGGGGTTCTAGTTTGTTTTAGGAGATTTGTGGTTTGCATTAGGAGGTTTCTGGTTTGCATTAAGAAGTTTCTGGTGTGCTTTAAAAAAAATTGTGGTTTGCTTTGTGGGATTTCTGGTTTGTTTTAATAAATTTGTGGTTTGCATCAGGACGTTTATGGTTTGCTTTAGTGTGGTTTGCTTTACCGTGTTTGTGGTTTGCATTATGATGTTTTTGGTGTGCTTTCGAAATATTTGTGGTGTGCAATGTGGGGTTTTCGGTATGTTTTAGGGGATTTTTGGTTTGCATTATGAGGTTTCTGGTATGCGTTTTGTGGTTTGTTTTACTGTGTTTGTGCGCTACATTAGGAGGTTTATGGTGTGCTTTTGAAATATTTGTAGTTTGCTTTGTGGTATTTCTAGTATGTTTTAGGCGATTTGTAGTTTGCATTATGAGATTTCTGGTATGCTTTAGAAACATTTGTGGTGTGTTTTATGGTGTTTGTGGTATGTTTCAGAAGGTTTATGGTTTACCTTACAAGGTTTTGGTATGTTTATAATTTATGTGTGGTTTGATTTATCAGAAACAAATTGGAAACAAACTTGACAAATAACTCTTCTCCTGGAGCTAAACAATTACAAATCGACATAACAAGCTATTGAAATCATATCAATGACAAGCTATTGAAATCATATCAATTAAACTCTCCATTGTCCACTCAATTCATATCAAGAATTAACAATTGGACCGGAGAAGTACTAATGAATGAAAGTGACGAGAGAGAAAAGCAATCGGAGCACTAAGTTCATGGTATGGAGAGCTTGGGAACGATCGCGTGCGATGACAACAAGGCCTTCAGAATGAATAATCCCTTGACAAAGTCGTCCGCAGCCATCGCCATGTTCGCGAATCTCTAGGAGGGGGAAGAGCGGTAGAGTTGCATGAGATTTAGAACCGGGGAAAAACGAGTTGCAGCGGGGCAGCAGCGAATCTCAACGAAGTCATCCGCAGCCGATACTGCCATGGTTGTGAAGCTCTAGGAGGGGAAAAGATCGACGAAGTTGTAGGACGTCGGAGAGAAACGAGTTGGGGCAGAGCAGCAGGGGAGCAAGAATCGCCGATCTGGGAGGAGTCCCTCTAGTCTCGATATCCTCGATGACCAGACCAATTTTCTCAGAGTCTGTCGCCGTCTCTTGTGTTGAGGAAGAATGGCGATGGGAGGAGGAAGGATCAAAGCGAGTTGGTCTCTGCCATCCCGTCGGCGAAAGAGAAGAGACCGAGATTTTGTCTTTAAGGAGAAAGACCACCGTCACCGGATAATGAAATATAGATTTGGGACTGGGAGCAATTTTTTTTTTGGAGAGGAAGAGAGCACATAAGCCGAGAAAGTGGATTAATTTAATTTTTATTTTATTAATTTGGGTCAATGTGACCCTTTTACCCCTGTTGTTATTATAACAACGCATTGACTGTTGTTATTGTATCCCGTCCCTCGATTCCTTTTACATAAAAATAACGAAAGATTGGTTGGGCCGCTGGCCCGCTAGACTATCAGCATTGCCGCCCGCCAATAGGACTAGTAGCCCAAATAAATACGTAGCAGTGCCCACCAAGGAACCAGCGAACGTAACCAAAGAGGAGGGAATGGGATAATAAATTTCTCGAGAATAAAAAAAAAAAAATCTCTCTTTCACCTCTTGGGCTACCCTCGCTATCCTTCTCCTTTGTTCTCTGCAGTTCGCGTTTTGATTGTTCTTCTCTTCCTCGGAAACCCTAGATCCCTCTGTCTCCCGATCTTCCCCGGCTCTCTCTGCTTCTTCCCGATCGGCGGAGGCCCTTTCGTAAGTTTTTCTCGCTAGTTTCAGGCAGCAAGGGGAGGCGAAGAGCGACCGATCGGAGTAATATGGACGATAGCTGTGCTGTGTGTGCCGATGCCTTGGAATGGGTTGCCTACGGCGCCTGCGGCCATCGCGACGTCTGCTCTACCTGCGTCGTTCGTCTTCGATTCATCTGCGATGATCGCCGGTGCTGCATCTGCAAGGCGGAGTCCGATGTCGTTTTTGTCACCAAGGTTAGGAACAACCCCCCTCCTCCTCGTCAATCTAACAGCTTCTTTGATACCTATGCGATGTTTGTTAAGATGGGCTGTTGGGAATTCTGGGACTTGGTTGAATGTTGGAGCTGATTTCTCACATGCGGATACGTTTTTCCAGTGCTTGTTACTTCAGTAATTGGGTTGTCATAAAGAAACGATTTTTGCAACTTGTACTTGGTTCTGCCCGGTGCATGTAGCCTCCTGAAGGGTTCTCTTGGGGAATGCCGCTGAGGGTCCTCATTGATTTGCTTCAATGGCTTTGGTGTTGGTTCTGATAACTTTCTGTTTGTAACCTGTGATATGTGCAGGCTCTGGGAGACTATACAAGGATTATCAATGACTTCGCAGTCCTTCCTTCTGAACCTAGGGAAGGCAGGAGCGGGTCGTATTGGTACCATGAGGATACACAGGCGTTTTTTGATGATGTGGACCACTACAAGATGATCAAGGCAATGTGCAGACTCTCGTGCAGTGTATGTGACAACATGGAGGAGGAGACGAATGATGGCACAAAGCGTCGCTCCAGGTTTAGGAACATTGAACAGCTGAAGGGTCATTTGTTTCACAAACATAAGTTGTTTATGTGCAGCCTATGTTTGGAAGGGCGGAAGGTAGAATGATCCACTCACCGTTGATTTTGATTGTTTTTGTTGCTTTTGGTTTTAGCTTTATTGTTATCATGTTATGTGGTAGTACTTGTTTTAGAATCTGAAAGGGTTCAGGTTCACTCGGGTAATTCTTTCTCAGTCTTCTTGATGTTTTACTGCAACTGTTACTTAAAGTTCTGCCCTAGGTGTATAATTTGCAAGGGTTGAAAAGCTCACATAAAATAGCATCACCAAGTTTTGTACTTCTTTATCTTTTGATGCCTTGTCTGGCTTTGTATTTGAGTAGCTTGGTAATGTGAACTGCTAAAGCTGAAATTTTGGTGCAAGTAAGGCAGAATATGTTGGATTTTTTATTGTTTCTCGTCTGAATTCCTTGGGCTTCTCTGCCATTTACAGGTATTTATTTGTGAGCAGAAGCTGTATAGTAGATCACAGCTTAATCAGCACAGCAGCACAGGGAACTCTGAGGTGGATGGTAGTGAAAGTGAAAGAGGTGGCTTTATGGGTCATCCCCAATGTGAATTTTGCAAGTCATCATTCTATGGTGAAAATGAGTTATACTCGCATATGTCTAGGGACCACTATACCTGTCATATATGCCAAAGGTGTGCCACCATTTTGTTTATCGTAATGTTGGTATAATTTACTTCGTCAGCTTCCTGAAATTAACCGCTGTAGCTTATGTCGAATATAGGCAGCACCCTGGACAATATGAGTATTACAGAAATTACGATGACCTAGAGGTGAGCTCTGTTCTTTTATGTCCAATTCATCATTGTTGTTTAACCCCATTGATTGAAACTTATTTTGTAACTCTTGCTCTTTCTAACTGAGTGAAACTATTCTATTTGCAGATGCACTTCCGCGGAGACCATTTCCTTTGTGAGGATGAGTCATGTCTTGCCAAAAAGTTTGTTGTTTTTCAAAGTGAATCTGAAATGAAGGTCAGTATGTTCATGAGAAGGGGATATTGTGCTTGTGCAATGCCGTTGTCCGGCATTTTTATCCAGCCTACTTATCAAACTTTGTTCTTGAATCTTTCAGAGGCATAATACCATCGAACATGCTGGGCGTATGTCCCGTTCGAAGCGTAATGCTGCTCTACAGGTATGTATATCTTTCCTTATACTCAAACCAAACTCAGTCTTCTTAGTGTATGGTTCTACATACCCATTATTATTTGTTTGGTATGGTCTATCCTGTTTTCTCTGGTTGTTCCTCTTGTTTGTTGACAACTTTGGTGATTGATTGCAATTTCAGATACCAACCAGCTTCCGGTTTCATCGTGAACAAGATGCCCGTCGTGGAAGGGGCCGCCCATCTCGGCGTGATGATTCTGATAACCAACTTTCCATGGCAATTCAGGCAAGTCTGGATACCTCTTACGCTGATCCCCCATTGCCGTCATCTGGTACACAAACAGCAGCCGATTCTGGAGATGGTATTTATATGGATCCACTCAGTGAGCCTCTAGACTCATTAACTCTATCTGACTCATCCACGCCTTCAAGATATCTTCAAGCATTAGGGCACAGTAGGAATGGTGCTCTGCAAGAGTCCGCCTTTCCTCCCCTTGCTACGGGCCCCAGCAGTAGTAGTAGCCAGCAGCAGAAGCCCACACAAGAACCAGAAGGTTTACCAAACAACACTATGGCAGCACATCTCAGACGCAAGAATAAAAAGGCAACTGTTGTCAACTCAGCCAAGGGATGGGCTACAACCCGTGTGCCCCTCTCTGTTAGTGGTGGTTCATCACAGTGGCCCGCGATAAATAATATTGTGCCATCAAGCTCTCACAGTATTTCTACTGCACCTCCTCCACTTTCGAGTCGTGCAAGTCCTCCTGTTCGAGCACCCGTGTCAGTTGCTGGACATATCTCTGCTGGTAATCTAGTGAGCACCAGTGGCAGAATGAGTCATTCTGCATCAGCCCCAAGTCTTGCTGAGAGTACTAGGTTGCTAAAAAAGCCCCCTGACTCGGATTTCCCTCCAGTCTCTGCGGTGCAAGTACACAAAGCACCCTCCAGTAGTCAGCAGCAGGCTGTGGTTAAAGCACCCTCCACTAGTCAGCAGAAGGCTGTGGTTAATGCTGGAGATGTTCAAACTGCAAACAAATCTCTGGTTGAGAAAATTCGTGACGCCTTACATCACGATGAGGCAATGTATGCTTCTTTCAAAGAGATTTCTGGTCAGTATCGACAGGGCTCTGTCGACACTGAAGAGTACTTGGGATATGTGCAGCAGTATGGGTTGTCTCATCTTGTTCTCGAGTTAGCTAGACTTTGCCCTGATCCCCTGAAGCAGAAGGAGCTGGTTGACACCTACAATGCTGCTGCTAGTTTGGGATTGAATGGCCGCCAGGAAAAGGGTAAAGACTCTACTAAAAAGGGCAAGGGAATATCTTCAGAAGGCAGCAACAGCAGCAGCAGCTCAAGGGATAAATTAGCCGATAACATTATGAACACGGTTCGGACACTGCAGTCACAACAACAGAAACCTGTGGCAGAAGAGCTGGTCGAGGTGTTATCCAAGGATGGTTATCGGAACTCTAAAGGAAAGCCTAGTTCGACTATTGATAATTGGGAATCAGGCGGTCAGCAACGGTCCACTTCATCTGGCGATGGAAATATGAAAAAGAAGAAAACTTCAAAGTTCCATAGGGCGAGGCTGGGCGATGGGTCAATGGAGGTGATCTTAGGCAAGAAGAATTCCGACCATGACCTGGGTCCCGGTTTAGTAGGCGAAGCATCTTCAGATGGTAGCAATAGTAATGATGCCGCTGGAGGGGTGCCTGTGCGCGGGGTTTGGAGGAAAGGAGGGAGCAAGAAGCTCTTTACATAGATACAGTCGGTGGAGGATACCAGATTGATTACCTTTGAATGGAGAAGTCAAATGCACAGATGTGTTTTTCGGGTTGTGAATGAATCGTTTTGTAGATGCCTGATCAGACTGCAGAGGTGAGCAAATTTTGCGCTTGTTTCTTGCCAAGTGTGATGATGGCTGAGTTGAGATGATAGTGGCTGTTTTCTGTTTTAGATTGAATTCTGGTTGTAGTCAATCAGTTGTTGGTGAGTTGATGACAAATGTTGATAGAATTTGACATGTTGGAGAGGAACACAGTTTTCTTTCTTCCGCACTTATTAGTTATTTTTGCTTAAAATCTTTTTCTCACTAGTTTAATGGTTTTTGCTTGCAAATCGAATGACGCTGTTAGAATTTGGCTATGGCACTGACAATGACTTGGTACTGGTGGCGCACATCATGATCTGTATTCTGTGCCAAGTTGAATCAAAAAATTATATGTGTTCATTTCATACATAATCCATTCAAAATAGAGAAGAAACAAATGGTATAAAAACAAATGGCAGGTACACTTTACTTTATTGTCTATATGTGCAATTCGGCTATCAGGTTGACATTCATAAACATAAATCAGTAACGTTTCTTTTAGTTCAAGAATTTAAAATTTAACGTCGCGATTTAAACAGGGTAAAAAAATATTAAAAATGTGCACGCAAATAGGGGTAAATATCACATTTGGTCACTGAATTATTAAAGCATATCATGTTTAGTCACTAGAAAAATTTAATATCAATTTTGATCACCTGAATTACTGAAACAGATCACATTTAGTCACTCTCTCGTTAGTTTCCGTCCAAATCCATTAATAAAAAAAAAACTTTTGTGTTGGTTTAATATAATCATCGTGTTTGCTAGATTATTAATTGGTGCTTTTTGTGCATTGTCGCGTTCAACCGACCTTCCGGACATAATTTGTGATGACTATGCTAAAGTGAAGAGGTTTAGCGTCCAACGTAGAGATCTTCATAGGAATAATCAAGGATTCAAGGTATTGACTCTCTCAATTTGTTATTTCTTCTATGTTACCTATGTTACGAGCTTCAAAATATTTTGATGTTCTTATTTTTCTAATTTTCTTATAAACATAGTAGATTATTTGTTCTGTACAACTATTTTTCTTATTTTCTTGAGTTTTGCAGACTATTTGTTACTTTACAACTATGAAAGCGGATAAAATTAATAAATTCTTACAGACCGGTTGGTACCAAATGAATCAAGAATTCATTTCATTGTAAAATGAGTTACCGTGTAGAATTCATTGTCAAATGAAATCCTATGTTTGGTATGTTATATTCAAATCATTGAAGTGTCGTGTAGAATTCATTGTCAAATTAATTTCTGTGTTTGGTATGTCATATGTATAAGTAATTTAGTTAATAAAAGAGGATAATCATGTCATTTTATTATAATTAGTAAATACTTGTGGAATTCATTTGGAAATTCTATCTCAATTCCTCGGAATTGCTATCACTGGTTCCAATTCCGTAGAATTCAAAATTTATAATTGAAAATGAATTCTTTTTAATACCAAACACAAAAATATTTCATTTCAAAATGAATTACTCAAACTTATGGAATTCATTTATACCAAGGTTGTCAACCCGTGGGTTGACCCAGACCCGGTGGAGCTAGTGGGTCAAGGGTTAATGGGTCACCCGATTTAGCCCGGAAAATATGGAAATAGTCATTATATTGTACTTATCCTGATAAATTATATCAAATCTCATCTAACATATGAGTTATAACATATAATATTCCACCAAAATAACATGTCGTACTTAGATCCAACATATATTGAAAATTTACAAACACTTATATAATATATATATTCAAATGTTTAACTTAGAATTCCAAAGATAGAGTTAGATGAAAATAAAAATCAGAAAATAGGCGCATTTCGCAAATCAAAGAAAAAATGACACAATTTGACCTCCAACCCATTACCTTGTAGCGGTCGACCCGGCGGGTGCGTACGACCCGTTTTTCTCACCGGGTCAGGGTGAAAGTGGGTCGACCCACGGGTTGACAACCTTGATTTATACCAAACGGTATGTTAATGTGTTTTGTGAGATTTCAACTGCTGGACGTCCTGTTTTGTTAAAACTACTAATTATTTAGATACACTGAAGTTGATTGTGGAATGGGGCAGGATCGACCGATTGTTAAAATACTTCCATGGGGGAAAAAATGAGCATATGCATTGTTAACATGTTATAATACTGTTGGTCGCCGAATAGTCGCCGGCAGCCAATCTTGAGCTCCCAAGTCCCATCTCTTTATTTAAATTCAGAGTATGGTGGTGAGTCGCTTCTCGATCCTTGCTGTGGAAGCAAAGGAAAAGAAAATGGAAAACAAAAAACAAAGAACCAAAGTTTGACTTCCGCCATTCCCTAAGTCATTCATTTCCCATTTATTGCTGGTGCTTTTCTTCCCTAGCACGGATTTACCAGATATATATAGAGTGGGCGATTTCGTTTTGTTTTTGTTGCTCTGTCACAGGCTAGCCCAGCTCATAAGCAAAGCAAAAAAGCCAAGACTTGGCTTGCCGCAATCTCATCCCCAGGGCAAAAGAGAAAAGAAAAGGCAACGAAAAGCTCAAACCCATTTTATTCAGATCCAAAACTGAAAAGGAAAAGTCATCATCAACTTGCCTCCTTCTCTGTGAGTTTTTCACTCCTCTTGAAACATTGCTCTGTTTCATTGTCTGTACTCTGTTTTTTTTTTTTCAAGATCGGAACTGTTTATTCCTTTCATTCTAGTCTTCTTTTGCTGCCTTTTGTTCCTCTTTATTATTCTCTTTTCCTTTTTCTGGGTTTCTTGTATACTCTCCGAAACTAAAAGGAAAAGTCACCAACTTGCCTCCTCTGTGAGTTTATCACTGCTCTTGAAACATTGCTCTGTTTCCTTGTATGTACTCTGTTTTTTCAAGATCGAAACTGTCTTTTTCCTTTCATTCCAGCTTATTTTTACTGCTGTTTCTTCATCTTTATTCTCTTTTCCCTTTCTGGGTTTCTGTTAGTTTTTGGGTTGGTGATGGAAAGCCGAAAGCTTTCATCAGTTTTGTTTTGGTATGAAAATAAAAAAAAAAAGCATTCACTGTTTTGAATGTGAAACAGCTGAGTGTCAGCTTCAGCATTGTTCTATTAATGAAGGCAGTTTTACAAATTTTTCTTCTTTCCTTTTTCCCCACCACCATTTATGGTCAAAAGATCCTGTTTTTCATCTCCTTAAAAGTTTCTCCTTTTCGTTCATCCCCACTCTGCCTCTCCTGTCATATTTCCTGTGATTCTTGAGGTTCAGCAATGGTTTTGAAACGCTTCATGAATGGTTGTCTGTAAACAAAACAAAAGAGTTCTGATTTCGAGGTTTCGTTTTCCTTCACCTTAGCTTGTTGGTGTAATCAATCCCGGCCATGGAGAATGCCGGGAGCAGTAATGGTAACGAGGCCTCTGCCTCTGCATCAACCAGCCACGAGAGAGAGGAGAACAACGGAGGGAAGAACAAAGAGGAGACTGGGAAAACAGTTCCGTTCCACAAGCTTTTCTCCTTCGCCGATTCCATAGATGTTGTGCTGATGATCCTTGGAACCATTGGTGCTATTGGGAATGGGGTCGCCATGCCCTTGATGACAATTCTATTTGGGCAGCTCACTGATTCCTTTGGCCAAAACCAGAACAACTCAGATGTTGTATCTGTGGTTTCCAAGGTAATAAACCCTACCAAAACATATTTTTCCATCAATGATAATAATAGCCTTTCAATTGATTACTCAAATTGTTGACATGGTGAACTTAATAGGTGGCTCTCAAGTTCGTCTACTTGGCAGTGGGGACTGGTGTGCTAGCTTTTCTTCGTAAGTTCACACAAAGATGAAATGTATCAGATGGCTATTGTATTGTATGAAAACAAATATGTCGAAAATTCGGACTGATTGTTGTTGTTCTGCAGAGGTAACTTGCTGGATGGTGACGGGGGAGAGACAAGCAGCTCGGATTAGGGGTTTATATTTGAAGACCATATTGAGGCAAGACATTGCATTTTTCGACAAGGAAACAAACACAGGAGAGGTTGTGGGCAGAATGTCTGGTGACACTGTTCTTATTCAGGACGCCATGGGCGAGAAGGTACACTTTTTTTCGTAGCGTTTTTTCGTGCTTGTTCTCAGGAGTTATGATGTTAAGATGTAGATTGTTGTTTGATTCTACAGGTAGGGAAGTTCCTTCAGCTGTTCTCGACGTTCATCGGAGGGTTCGTTATATCATTCATCAAAGGCTGGCTTCTTACCCTTGTCATGCTGAGCACAATCCCCTTGCTGGTGATCACTGGGGCTGTCATTTCCTTGACGGTTTCTAGGATGACAACCAGGGGACAATCGGCATATGCTAAAGCGTCGACCGTGGTTGAGCAGACCATTGGATCAATACGAATAGTATGTCCACTGATTCGACATGAAATCTTCCAATTAGGTGTATGTCGACTGTTTTTATCGTTTTTGACACTGCTGCTACTACTTGTACCACCAGGTTGCGTCCTTTACAGGGGAGAAGCAATCCATAGAGAATTACAAGAAGCATCTTGTTACTGCCTATAAATCTGGTGCCAGTGAAGGATTGGCTACTGGCTTAGGCCTTGGGATGCTTATGTTCATCATGTTTGCTAGCTATGGTCTGGCTATTTGGTTTGGCGGGAAGATGATTTTGGAGAAAGGGTATACTGGAGGTGAAGTTCTCAATGTCATCATTGCTGTCTTGACTGGTTCCATGTGAGTAAATTTTGCTCTCGATGGAGTAGTTAATATGTCTTGAATTGTTCATTGAACTGTGAAATTGTGACAAGATCATTAAGCATCTACATATTTTTGAACAATTTCAGGTCACTTGGGCAGTCTTCTCCTTCTTTGACTGCTTTTGCAGCTGGTCAAGCTGCAGCTTATAAAATGTTCGAGACCATCAACAGGAAGCCGGAGATCGATGCCTACGACCCTAAGGGGAAGGTGTTGGAAGACATTCGAGGGGATATCGAGTTGAAAGATGTGCACTTTAACTATCCAGCGAGACCAGATGAGCAGATATTCAATGGCTTCTCTCTTTCGATTGAGAGCGGAACAACTGCAGCTTTGGTTGGACAAAGTGGGAGTGGGAAGTCGACTGTGATTAGTTTGATAGAGAGGTTTTATGATCCACTAGCTGGTGAGGTTCTCATTGATGGGATTAATCTCAAAGAACTTCAGCTGAAATGGATCCGAGGTAAAATCGGGCTTGTTAGCCAAGAACCCGCGCTGTTCACATCAAGCATTAAGGACAACATTGCGTATGGGAAAGAAGGCGCAACCACTGAAGAGATAAGAGCTGCTTCCGAACTTGCCAATGCTGCGAAGTTCATTGATAAACTACCTCAGGTACTAGTCGTGATGCATTGCTGTGTTCGTTCTTATGCAAAAACTTACCGATACAAGTGATGTCTAAATTTGAGCTTGTTTGGATGAGACTGTAACTTTGATCTTTAACTTGCCATATTCCAGGGGCTGGATACCATGGTTGGTGAGCATGGAACTCAACTGTCTGGTGGACAGAAGCAGAGAATCGCCATAGCAAGGGCTATTCTCAAGAACCCGAGGATCTTGCTTCTAGACGAAGCAACAAGTGCACTTGATGCAGAGTCCGAAAAGGTTGTGCAGGAAGCACTGGACAGGATCATGGTGGACAGGACAACTGTGATTGTTGCTCATCGTTTGAGCACTGTCAAGAACGCCAATACCATCGCTGTCATCCATCGTGGAAAGATGGTTGAAAAAGGTATGGTAACACTAACATCTTAACCAATTGTTGCATAGAAACATGTTCAGTATCCAATTTGTCATGACACGTTACAATTATCCGATCATCAGGCTCGCACCACGAGCTGCTCAAGGACCCAGAAGGTGCATACGCGCAGCTCATTCGGCTGCAAGAGATCAACAGACCGTCGGACCTCGAAGACAACAACAGCAAGAGACCATCCGATATGAACCCAGAGTCCTTCAGACAGTCCAGCCTCCGAATGTCGCAGCGATCCCTTAGTCGAGGATCATCCGGCGGGGTAGGTGGCAGCAGCCGCCGCTCCTTCTCAGTCTCCTTCGGCCTCCCAACAGGAATCGACACCACAGGAGGCGACCCTGCACATGACATGGAAGCATCACCTGCCCCAGTGAAGGTCTATATGAATTTTTATACATCATTTCTTTTTCACTTACACGCTTGTTCAAATGAAAACCTACTTACGACGCGCACTCTAATACGAACAATAATTTATCAGAGGGGATGATGTGTTCAACTTGTGCACACTGACAATTATTTTTCTAACAACTCGAGTTATTGAGACTAAATGGTTTGTTCGTTGTTTACAGGATGCGCCAGATGTTTCGATTAAACGGCTGGCGTACCTGAACAAGCCGGAGATCCCGGTGCTGATCGGCGGAGCCATCGCCGCGGTAGGCAACGGGGTGCTGTTCCCACTCTTCGGCATCTTGATCTCGCGCGCCATCAGATCTTTCTACGAGCCGCCCAACGAGCTGAAAAAGGACACACAATTCTGGGCCCTAATGTTCACAACCCTCGGCGTCGCGTCGCTGCTGATCTACCCAACGCAGACCTACTTGTTCAGCGTGGCTGGGTGCAGGCTGATCCAGAGGGTAAGGTCGATCTGCTTCGAGAAAGTGCTGCGCATGGAGGTTAGCTGGTTCGACGAGCCGGAGAACTCGAGCGGCGCCATTGGTGCCAGGCTCTCGGCGGATGCCGCCACGGTTCGCGCCCTAGTTGGCGACAAGCTTGGACAGACGGTGCAGAACATCGCTTCTCTTGTTGCTGGTTTGGTGATCGCGTTCACGGCCAGTTGGCAGCTTGCTCTGATCATCCTTGCGTTGGTGCCGTTGATAGGGATGAATGGGTATCTCCAGCTCAAGTTCATGAAAGGGTTCAGTGCAGATGCAAAGGTAAATTTGCAACTGCGGATGTACGCTTCTAGGTCACCAAAATGCTTCTACGTAGAATCGTACTTTTGACTACGTTGTTCTCAATCGTTGTTGTTGTTGTTTGTTGTTGGTAGATGATGTATGAAGAGGCGAGTCAGGTGGCCAACGATGCGGTTGGGAGCATAAGAACAGTGGCATCTTTCTGTGCAGAAGAGAAAGTAATGGAGCTGTACAGGAAGAAATGTGAGGGGCCTAAGAACACAGGAATCAGGGAAGGTCTCATCAGCGGGATTGGATTCGGGCTTTCGTTCTTTCTGCTCTTCTGTTTCTATGCAACCAGCTTCTACGCTGGTGCTCAGCTGGTGAAGCAGGGCAAAACAACGTTCTCCGATGTCTTTCAGGTCAGTTCCCATTTTGGGGAAGAAGAAAAAAGGGTTCTTTTCATTCTATGAAGCCATTACAAGTTGCAGACTGTGCTTTAACTGGTTCATCAATTGTCTGGTTCAGGTGTTCTTTGCCCTGACAATGGCAGCTCTTGCAGTGTCCCAATCAAGTTCATTTGGGCCTGATTCCTCAAAGGCTAAATCTGCTGTGGCTTCCATTTTCTCAATCATAGACAGGGAGTCGAAGATCGATCCCTGTGACGAATCAGGGACGACACTAGCCGCCGTGAAAGGAGACATTGAACTCAGGCACGTTAGCTTCTGCTACCCTTCTAGGCCAGATATTCAGATCTTCAGAGACCTCAACTTGGCTATTCATTCTGGCAAGGTAATAAAGAAAAGACTGAGACTTCAAGTTCCATAATCAATCAGTCAATCATAAGCTAGACATTTCTGATTATGGCTTATTTTTATCTCCATTTAGACCGTGGCTCTTGTTGGGGAGAGTGGGAGTGGGAAGTCCACAGTTATTGCTTTGCTGCAAAGGTTTTATGATCCGGATTCAGGAAGGATAACCCTCGACGGAGTCGAAATCCAGACCTTGAACATCAAATGGCTGAGACAGCAAATGGGGCTTGTGAGCCAAGAACCAACTTTGTTCAACGAGACCATCCGGGCCAACATTGCTTATGGGAAGCAAGGAGATGCAACGGAATCTGAAATCCAGTCGGCATCAGAACTAGCAAATGCACACAAGTTTATCAGTGGCCTACAACAGGTAAAAGTCCATACTCCGAAATCCCACTAATTGGTTCTCGAGTTGTTTGAACGAACTGGTTTATCACGCGAATTATCGTGTTGTAGGGGTACGATACGATGGTTGGGGAGCGAGGAGTGCAGCTATCCGGGGGCCAGAAGCAACGAGTGGCCATAGCTCGAGCCATCGTTAAGGATCCGAAGATCTTGTTGCTCGATGAGGCGACTAGTGCATTGGATGCTGAATCGGAAAAAGTTGTACAAGACGCACTCGACAGAGTGATGGTAAATCGCACGACGGTGGTCGTCGCGCATCGGTTGTCGACGATCAAGAAGGCCGATGTGATCGCCGTGGTTAAGAATGGGGTGATCGTGGAGAAAGGGAAGCATGAAAGTTTGATCAACATCAAAGATGGATTCTATGCCTCTCTTGTTGCGCTTCACATGACCTCCTCGAGTAATTAAATTCACAATTTGGCGGGTTTCCCTTCTCTGTTTTTTTTTTTTTTTTTTTTGTGAATTGTATTTTCCCTTTTTTCTTGGAGGTGAGAGATCACCTTTTCCTTCCATTGTTGGAACTCAAGCGAAGTAAAAGGGAAGGAATATGAGAAGAATGCGGCTGTCAATATGGGTATGGTTTTTTGGTTAACCGTAACCGAATCGCAATAGAGTGATTAGTGGTTAACAATACATTGCATGAGATTGAGAGGATATTTAAATGGGTATGGTTAATAATATTAACATATTTTGCGTTTGTGCGGTTAATCATCGAATACCATCGAATACGAGAAATTTGTCTAATTAATCGCTAATAATCATTTATATAATTGCACCTACTAAACTCGACTCAATATGGAAATAACACTCTTAAACTCGACCCTAATGGCAACCAACCCAACCACCTAATCTTAAATTCCAAATCCCAAGCTCGACCCAACATGTTTTTCCTATCTGTCATTCCAATTTGGCAAAGGAAAAGCTCTCACCCACCTGTTCTAATTTTTAGGGTTTCAATTTTTCGTCGTTGTTGTGATGATGCTACATCTTGGTGCTTCACCGCTCCAACTGGAAGAAAGAAGAGTCCGTCATTGTTGTTGTGTTTATGCTGCATCTTTCGTATAACTGATTGTCTGAATTTTTATAAGGAAAGCGCAAGTGGAAGGAAAGATAAATCTTCTTTACCTCCAAGTGTAGCCATTGATGATGGAGCTCCTTTTATGTGAACTATTGGTGTTGGAGATTCTAGCAAAGAGGAGGATGAGGAGGCAATAATTTATTTAGGATTTTTTATTTGTGTTTCTTTGTTTTTTTACCACTAAGTAATGTGAGTTTTAGTGGATAACCAAGGGTAACTGCTACCTGCATTATGAGGTTTATGGGTAACCGCTAACCACATATGACGAGATTGTGGTTAGCATATTCGTGCTAAGACAGATATGAGTAACTGCCCTAAACGATGTTCATTGACACCTCTGAGAGAAGTTGATGAGGGAAAAGAGGAGGGAAATGTTATTGATTTAGTTGTGGATATATTATTAATCATGGTTAGTTCAAAAGGGATTTGGGATTGTGTTTAGAATTTCAAAGCCATGTGGGTTTTATGGAAGACGCAGAGGACAGGACAAGCTGCTTTGGGATTTTGTTGATACGATTACGCTGACCGAATCATGGATATCATTAAAAAAATGGTTGTTTATTGCATTGAAATGCACAGCTCAGCACAGCCCAGGTGGTGCTTTTCCTCGAATCTCGAATGTGGAATGGAATCAAACGTTTGACGTAATGCATGACGACGATGATGTTTCTGAGTTTCGGAATTTGGGCACCACGACTGTCCACGTAATGAGCTCTAACTGGATCCGATTTGGGACCAAAATGGATTTTGTTCACTTGATTTTGATTTATAAGTTTCTTTCATGTTTGTAATGATTTTTCTTTTTCGTTAGTCAATCGATCTAAATCCTATTTTATATTTATCGTTCATTAAGAATTGTTCAATCTTATTAAAGTCATCTTATGTTACCGTCAATTGTTGGATAGATGATGTGACAATTAAAAATGAATTATTTTTAACTTTTTGCCTCTTCGCCATTTCACGTCCTCAATCCCTCCAAATGAGAGAATGGTCGTGTAAATTGCATGTTTGATCAACGAGATTACTATTTGTTTCACGTTTTTCATTTTACAGTACCGATGAAGACTTGCGGTCAACAATTCGATACCCTCGACATGGTAGACACAATCACATATATATCATCCACATACAATAGCGAGAAGTGGAATGAGTGAAGAGGCAATGACCATTAGAACTCTGCTGAAACTCGGGGCTCAAAATAGTATACTGAAATTTATGGAACCAAGCCTGAGTACCAAAAAGTAACCTTACGTAGACTGTCTCCTTCAGCTAGCCACGCATAAATGCATTATTGACACAAGCCGATACAATTGGCCTACCACGAAGAGAGGCAACAACCAACATCAAAGACCATCTTAGCAACAGGAGCAAACGCCTCCTCAAAATTGGTGCAACACTCTTGACCGGATACGAACTTCTTTTCGAGCAAGTCTTAACATTTGGTGGAGACATCGCCCAACCCACTGCACTGAAAGCTATGGAGCAATACGTAAATGCATAACGGTGTTTTGAGAAAACATTGTCTTTGATATGAGATATTATTTACAAAATAAGACCAATCCAGTATGAAAAATGGTAACTCATGAGGTTTTGCGGAGGAATCCCCAATCAAAGACTCAATCTAGCAATTTTAGATATGTATAGAATCAAGGCATTCGACAACTCTATTTAGAAATGGCTCTCTAAACAAAAACCACCACCGACTCTTGGGGGGTGATAGTTGGCCCCATTAGCAGTTGTTAACTGATAATGCGGTTAGCAATTACTCGTCAAACAAAAAATTATTATTGTTAGTCGATCTGTCAAGATTTAATGGTTAATCGTTAGTCGTCAATGCAACTAACGGTATTTAGTGGTTAACCGCCAACCCGCATAAAAGAGAGGAAGTTGTAGGTTTGTGGATTTGGCAAAAGAGAAGGAGTATAATGGTTTATTTAGACAATGTATAAAAGGAAAGTGATGTGAAAGAGAAACCCTAGCCGCACGCTCTCTTCTACACTTTTTTTTTCTTTGCAGAACTAAAAACGAATAAAAACAAATCCACTTCCTTGGTGAAACAACAAACATAATGAAACACACTTATTTTCTCCTTGACTATCGAACAGTCAATTTCTAGCCACCACCATCTCTTCCTCTTCTCCTCTATTCTCCATCCAAGTAAAATAAAGGAAGAGGACTTACGACGTTGGCAACATCGGGGTCGACCACTGTCACTTCTCTCTGTCGATTATCCTCCTTTGCATTGATCTGATGGGGAAGCTACCAGGGACGGTACATAGCTCGACGGCAAGCAATGCGTGTTCATTCTTTGTTTGGGCTGAGAAGACAAGGAGATTGAAGCCGATGAGGGCTGAGTGGTCAGGTGAAAATAGTTTCCTTCGTTGAATGTGACATTTTGTCTATTTCGAATGGTTAACAACCCTTATCGGTTAGTCATTAGCCATTTGTTATTAGCCGTTTATGACTTAATAATCCGATAAGAAATTGTCAACCTCCGTTAAATGACCCAAATTCTTCTTAGCGATTGACGGTTTAACCAGTAACAATGAAATTAGAGTGCGATTAGTGATTAAACCATTAATATCATAACTAAACTCCCTACTGACGCTCCCTCTCCAGTCTCCTCGCCTTGATTTTATCCCGAAAGACATCATACTAGGGGGTTGGGTGGGTGGGCTAAGTCCAGCGAGTTTTGGACTAAATTGACTGCACCTGCCAAGTTTTGGGCTTAGGTGGGTTTCGGTTTAATTAGAGAAAGAATTGTGGGCTTGGCCGAACTAGTATGCAGGGAAGGAAGATTGGCGGGCCTTTCCCCAGCCTCATTTCGGCCCATCTCCATAAGAATTGGCACGGTGATGATTAGAGAATAAGGTTCTTGAGTGTTGACGTGGAAGTGATAAAATATACTAGAAGGTTTTAGAGTCGTATTGTTAGAGACCAAGACTTTTTAAGTGTGTGAATTTCACTTCAGTGGTAGAATATCAAATATTTCATTACTTCGGGTGTACAGAAAATTAACGTTTTATTATTATTTTGATACGATTGATAATTTATAATTTGCATCACAATATTTGATGGACATTACACGAATAGTATCCAATAGTAGAATTTCAAAAATATTATTTATTTTCTGTCTTCAATCAATATGATTATCTTTTGTTAAAAAAAAGTCAATGATCGGCGTGTAGTGTGGTTACGTAATATGATGATTATTCGATGACATAAACACAAGAAACAACTCTTTACATGTGAAAGTGAGACGCGAGTCATTCAGGTAGCCCGCCACCCATATAAATAAGTGTGATTACAAAAAATTTGATCTACGATCCACCCACATAAATCATCAACCTATTGCGGTTTGAATTATTTGCAGATGGATCAAATGACAAACCACGAATTAACCACCACCTCACCACCCCTAAAACTAATATTTCGTAAAACAGAGTTAACTAATAGAGGAATATACATAATTAATCACTCAAATTCCATTTATTGTCTCGCAAATAAAGAAAGGAAAGTTCAAATTATTGAGATAACAATGAGATCATACTTTGTTATGGAATAACTAAGTAAACATTGATCTCATTGTGGAATAGTACTTAGATATCACATGATATCCATAAAGGTTCATCGAATTGGCCCGTCAGCTTATCACCAACTCCTTCCCCCAAATGCAAGTCTCCCAACTTCACCTCCACACAATCAGATTTAGGGTGCCACGCTGGCGTCCCATTCTCATACCCATTCCACGTCAGCCGCCTCAGCCCACTCCCATCCAGCCTCATCACATACAGGTCTCCATATGGCTGAAACTGATTGGGCGCCGACACGGGCTCCACCGTCACTCCTCCCAAGTTGGCCGTGAACAACAGCCACTCCCCGTCCCTGCTGAAGCATACGTGGTTGATCCTCTCCCAGTCAGCCTCCCCTTCCGCCACGTGGATCCTCCTCAGATCCGATCCGTCGGGCCTGATCACGTAGATGCTAAACGCCTCCGTATTGCTGGGGTTGTGCCTGTTCGAGGAGAAGGCGATGAGGTCGCCCCTGGGGGACCAGGACGGCATCGTATCGATGCACTTCCCCTCTGTCAGCTGACGCAAGCTTCCACCGTCGTCATGTTCGCCTTCCAGGGCATCCACCACGTACAAATTTTTATACCCGGATCGTCCGGATCGAAACACAACGAACCTACCGTCAGGAGAGCACGACGGGAATGCGTTGTTCCCCGTGTCGGTCCTCGTCAGGATCTTGACCTCGGAATGCACCACCTCTTGACTGGTGGTGGTGCCTTTGGATTCGAGGTCACGTGGATCGAACGTGACCCGAGCGATCTGAACCGTCGTATCGGTCGACGCGAAGATGGGACCCATCGAGGTGTAGATCACGTGCCTCTCCGTGGGGCTCCACGAGTTACCAAACGAGGTACGGTCTTTGACCAGCGTCCACTCTTTCGAGCCGTCCGATTTGACCACTCTCAACCCTCCGAACCCGGGATTGAACGCGACGAGATCGCCGCCGGGAGAGAAAGCCGGGAAAGCTCCGGCTATCCTCACCATCCGGAGGTCCTTGATTGGGGAAGCGACCGGGTCCAGGCGAGGAATCGTCTTCTCCCCTGGACCCGACTCGCCTCTGAACCGGTGGTACCCGAGGAATTTGGAATCGAGACTGACGAAAGGATTGTAATGGTGGGAATCAGGGTGTACAGGCTCTGTAACGGGCGAAAATTCCCCCGATTCGAGGTCGAAGATCTCGATGTGCCTGTATTTACTGCCTTTCCGCCGAGTCGCGACGGAGATTCTACGGCCGCCGTCGTGCATCGCCGCGGGAGTGAAGCAGTGAACTCCCGCCGGAGTGACGCGGCTAGGGATCTGCGGAGCGAGGTCGAGGAAATTCTCAGGGGAGAACTCGACCCTGAAGACGCTCCACCAGCCGTCCTCCGCCTGGCGGTGGAAGAAAATCGCCGAATCCCCCGACCACGAGGGCCACCCGCCGAGTTTGCAAACGACGGCGCGCTTCTCCGGGTCGGATCCGCGGAACACGACGATGTCGGTCTGCAGCTCCTGAAACTCGCCGCCCCAAGGACGGGTTCCGTACGACGCGACGGCGATGAAATCGCCGGAGCGGGACAGGGCCGGGCTGTAGTCGACGGCCCCCTGAGGTGTCAATCGGCGGGGGAGGAGGACGGTTGGGGATTCGTAATCCTCGACGGAGTAGAGAGCGGACCAGCTTCGGAAAGGTGAATTGGGATCTTCGTGAGCCGAAACGAAGTAGAGGCGGCGGTTCCTGACGATGGGCCTGTCGACGAAAAGGGTAGTATCGCCGGAATGTGGTAGTGGTTTGGGGATTCCGGCGCCGGCTGCAATGTGATAAATTCGAGGGGAGCCGGTTCGCTCGGAGACGAAGACGATGGAAGGATTGAGTTCGTCATCGTTGAATTGGGCGTTGAAATTGACGGAAATGCCGTCGGTGAGGCGGCGGTCGTTGGCAGAAATGGAGGGAAGGAGCTGGCGGGAGAAGACGTCGAAGCCGTAGTCGGTGCGGCCGACGGTAAAGAAGAGGATGGTGCCTTGGGGACCTGTTTCCATTTGTGGGTTTGAAGCTCGGATTACTTTGCTGGCTGGTGGTGATGGTGATGGTTGATTTTGAGGTTATTGCACTGATAATGGATATGGATATGGATAGTTAGTTGGATGTATATATACAGATAAGATCCAGCTGAGAAGAGTTGTGAAGAACAGTGGTGTCGTGTGGGGTGAAGTTGAAGAGAATTTGTCGACGAAACTTCACTGTGCGAGTGTGAAGACGACAGATCCGTTATTGGAAGCGCGGCAAAGCTTGTAGTTTAGCGGGAATTTAACACAGTAAACGCAATTTTGATGTGCTTGCTTGGTTACCGTGTCACAAATCACGAATGAATTAAAAGAACGACAATCGTTTGGATGGATCAATATAGAAATGAGTTAATTTGATCAATTGTCTCGTTTTATTAACGAGGCAATTAAAACGAGTCAATTCGAATTACCTGTCCCACACCATGTAATTGAAATTGACTCAAAACGAATCAATTCAAAATATCTCAGGCAGATTGATTCATCCAAAATTTTTGCTGGCAAACGAGGCAATTTGGTACAATTGTCTCAAAACGAGACAATTGTGTCAAATTGATCCGTTACAATTCCTCATCAAAACGACATACCATTATGACAATCTTGATCTAATGTCTAAACCAAGGTTGTCAACCCGCGGGTTGACACGGACCCGGTTGAGCTAGTGGGTCAAGGGTTAATGGGTCACCCATTTTAGCTCGGTTTAGCCCGGAAATATGAAAAGCGTCATTATATTGTACTTATCCTGATAAATTATATCAAATCTCATCTAACATATGAGTTATAACATATAATATTACACCAAAATAACATTTCGTACTTAGATTCAACATATAGTGAAAATTCACACACACTTATATAACATTAGTATTCAAATTAGGGGTGGACAACGGGACGGGACGGGATACCCGTCCCGTTTTAAACGGGTACCCAGTCCCATTTGGAGGCCAAAGTCCATCCCATATCCCAAACCCATATGGGAAACGGGTACCCATTACCCGTACGGGACGGATAACGGGTACCCATAAATACCCAAAGTTTAAACCACTCAAATTTTAACAAAAGTTTAAACTTAACTTGTACTTGCTTAACAATCACAAGACACAAATCATGAACAATCACAACGCATAGAAATAAATCATTCTAAGCACCAAATTATCAAATAAGAAGTTTCATTCAACACAAATCATGAACAATCACAACGCATAGAAATAAATGATTCTAAGCACCAAATTATCAAATAAGAAGTTTCATTTAACAAAAGGGAGTAATTGTTATCTGATTTGATATCTGATCTTCCAACTCCTTTGCATTTCACATAGCGTTCTTTGTTTCTTTACTAAGAAAAGTTTCATCTTTGTGGCGAAGTGGACATTCCCTTTCTATGGATTAGAGTTCGCAAGTGGGTAAAACGGTTACCCACATTACCCAAACGGGTATTTGCGGGTAACCCGCGGGTACCCATATTAGGAATGTACAATCCCAAGTCCCATCCGTTTATAATAGTACGGGTAATATTGGTACCCATAACCCTTAAAAAACGGGACGGGTACGGGTATACCCAAATACCCGTTTCCCGTTGCCCACCCCTAATTCAAATGTTCAATTTAGGATTCCAAAGATTGAGTTAGGCGAAAAGAAAAATCAGAAAATAGGCGCATTTCGCAAAACAAAGAAAAAAATGACACAATTTGACCTCCAACCCGGTACCTTGTGGCGGTCGACCCAGCGGGTGCATGCGGCCCGTTTTTCTCACCGGGTCAAGGTTAAAGTGGGTCAACCCGACCCGCGGGTTGACAACCTTGGTCTAAACCCATTACTTGGTTCACCCAATGGAAAGGTGAATTCCGTACTAAAGTCGCTAGTTTGGGAAACCCGTAGTTAAGTTGCCATTTTGGGTAATTAGATACTGTGACAGACTATCAATTCTTTTATTATGGAGGCTTAATGACTAACGTTGAAATGTTGGTTCATCAATTATTCATCAATGGGAATGGGATCGTATCATGCGATTTGACTAGCCAACTGGTATGAAAAGAACAATTGAAACAAGAGGGAAAGCAATGCCAAAACGATGTCTGTCTCAGTCGAGAGGATAAAGATGCTGTAGCCAAAGACACCCAAAAAGGACTTGACTACAACGTCTACAAGGCGTGATGGAGCTTCTTCCCACTGCTGTCAGTTCCGAGTAATGAAATTTCATCGCCTCACCTACCGCAGCTTGGAGCACAAGGCAGCCGCCACCCACCAATGGCAGAGACGAGAGAGTAGTCAAACCCAAGTTCTACTGAAAAAGATTGCACCTCCTGCTTCCCCCATTTTAATGGCGGCCTCACTTCTCTGTAATACAAGGTTTAAGAAGTTAAAGCTAGTTTTTTTACACTTTTTGGGTAATTTTACTCACAGAAATGAGGTATTTGATTAAACCCGCAAGGGGGGAATGGCTAATGTCTCACTGAGCTAAGAAAAGGGGAGAGGAAAAGAAGTACCTTTTTGGGTACATTCAAATGATGCGCTTGGCCATCAGTAAATGGTTTTCAGGAGAGATGGTGGGTGCTACGTACTTAACCAGACGAGCCTCCAGGCCATTTCGGCTTCCCCATGCCATCCTTCCTTTATCAATGATCTGCTTGCACATGAAACCCAGCGCAGCTCTTTCAACTGCTTGCATGCTTCTCACAACACCTTCCACACCCGCTGCTGCATCTGTAGCATATTCCTCATCTTTCTCGCTGCCCAATCAAATGCAGAGCAGGCGAGACGGAATCTCGATGAAATTACATAAACGATGTGGCAATTTTAGGCAGATGATAAAATCGATGGAGAGTAACTACAAATGAACTAAAAAACTTTAATGACTGTTCATGCAGTCACGTGAGATAAGAGTTGAGCTGGAATTGTGTTCAATGATGTGATGGAAATGACCAGAAAAAGATGTCAAATGGAGGGTAGGAAGTGCAGTAGTTAAGAAGAGAAGGCTACCTGAGCTGCAGATGCAATCCACTGTCCGAAACTTCTGCTCCATGATCACCATCGACTGCCCAACTGGTGAACCAGGTGATTGCGTGAAACTCTTCTTTGGAAATTCCCAGGCCGAGCATGAATTCTTTATCTGGAAGCAATTACCCGGTCAGCTTGAACGAGAAATAATATTATATGAACGACACCAATAAGGTAAGAAGGAAGACTGGGGGAATGCCAATTACTTATGTAATGCTTCCACTGGCAGAGATGATGGCAACATGTTGCTATAGCAAAGCCCTCAAGGTACGGTTTTTCACCCCCACATTCTGGGGCAATCTTGCTGACTCGTTCAGGTACGCAACATCTCAGCGTCAAATCTACCACACAGAATTACAAGGAAGAAAACATTGAAACATGCATGTACAAATTTTCATCGAAAGATTATTGTGTCTCAATGTCCCAAACTAGTTTTTACCATACATGGGAAACTGAAAATTCTTGCTTACCAGTTGCTGGCCCGCAGAGATGCTTCCCAATAGCTAGATAGTAAACTCCATGTAAAGACTCAACAGCTTTCAGGTTCAAGTCTTCAACTGCAAAAGTAGAACCCGCTGCTGTTGGAGGCAATGTAAAAATACCACTGAACCTAAATCATACATATATAGAACAATCAAGATATAACTTCATCAAACATAGATTTTTTATTCCCATGGTCGGTATACCAAGGTGGTAGAGGTACAGGCCACAGAGCAATAGTGCAATACTATTCCGTTAGTAAATTAAACTGGTTACTATAGTAAGATATATAACATTACGAAAATAACTGTTGCATATAAACAAGAGACTAGTATTTCTGAAGTTTAAAGACGATTGATAATTTCATCAAGTACACTTCATACTGTAAACATGGATATTTCGCTCTTCTGACCCACACACACACACAAAACTTGATAGATCTTATGCAGGACATGCTAGATATATTACAAGGGACAGGCTGTGACATGGGAGAAATTTTGCAATTGTGCAGATTGAAAGGAAAAAAGAAAAAAAAAAACAGGTAAGGGATAAATGTGAAGACTAAGATAAGACATATATAATCAAACTGAATGCCTATAAAAGATAGAACACTACAAGAACATGAGAAAAATAGATGGAACAAAAGTAATAAAAAAAAGCAAGGCGATAACATATGGGAAATAAAGAGAAGGCCAAATGGTGGACATTATAATGACAAGACTTTGAAATGCTTACTATCAATTCTTAATCGCTCTAATGACAAGCTCTCTTTTTGTCGCAAAGATCGGTCAGCCTAGAAGTTGCAATAAGAAGAAATGAGCAAACACAAGAATCACATATGAATAAAAATCAAGCCCCAAAGAAATAATGCTTAGTAGGTGCCACATTTCCTTCATGAAACAATGAAAACTATAATGCTAACATACACAGAAATGAAGCTCAGCCAACCTTAAGTTTATATGACTTCCTCTCAACAAGAAAAACTTTTCTGATGCCGTAACAATCTGCTAGCATCTGAGTTAAATAGCCTCTTCCTGCTCCAAATTCAACAACTGCAGAGACATGTTGGCTATCATCCTGCTCTGTCCTTTCCCTTTGATCTTTCTTTTTCCCATGAAAACTCTTTAGTAGCCCAGAATCCTCCAGGTTTCCTAGAATTGATGCTTGCTGTACGACATGTTTCTCTTGAAATGGCATTTTGCTGTGGAACACATACTAACTCATCATGGAAAATTCAACAAGAACCCACCAAAATGCAAAGAATATCTTGCCACAATTACCTGTCTATCTCTCTGTTAATCCACATATTACAAGCTTCTGGCATCTTATAGGATTCCCGTATATCATCACATATTGACGCATGAACATGTTGAACCTTTTCAATTAATTTGTAAAATTCAGCTATACTCATTCTATAAACAGCATGCCTCTTCATTTCAGAAGAAACATCATCTTCCCCTTCCTCTACTTCTTCTTTTCCAGCATTGATTCCCTTGCAATAATATGGCTGGAGGGACAAGGTCCGTGCTTGCTTCATGAAAGGGCATCTCTTTACGTGACTTTCAAGATTTTCTGTAAGAACGGAACTTGAAAACGCACATCAAAGATACCATCAAAGACCAATTAAACTCCGTACACATAAAAATCCATATATGAGTAACAGAATGGCTGAGGAGAAGTACTGAGATTGGTCGATTGGGCAGGGAATCCATTGGCCATCAGACCTCACCATGTGATTTCCACAAAACCTTTAAACCGTGCAATCCAACAGAAACCGAATTAGGAGGAAGTGAGTCAGAGAAAGAAAAGCAGACACTCAACAGTAAGCTTACGGAGAATCCTTGAAAGGGAGAACTGCACAAAATCGTTTCTTTTTGGGCAGCCAGAACTTGCAACGAGGCTGCTCCATCCCTTTTCACAACCAGGCACCCTAAAGCGTTCTAATGAGACTGGAACCTGGTTCACCAGCCAAAATGCTGTTTGATCGACCTGTGCCATAAATGATGATTAAACTGATGTTACTGAAACCCTTCTTGATCAGTGATTGTGCCACTCAATGCAATTAGAAAAAGTAAACAAAAAGAACTTTTGTATCGGGCCAAAAACCAAGGAAAAAGAGTTGCGACTTGGTCGATACTTAGGTAACCAGCAATCTCAATGATGGTGCACAAGACAGGAGGAAACAAACCTAAGATAGCTACCTAGACTCCACCTAAAACATTGGTGGCATTTAGCCTTAAGGCTAGAGCATCGCGACTTCCGAGTATACAGCTCAGCTTGATTGATCACAAATAAAATTACCCTTCCACGAAACATGAGCATTTCCAGTAACCAATCGATGCCAACAAATACTGAATTCAACTGAGAACCACCCCTTGTTGATTCACGGTTTGGATGGATAGCAAAGTCGGAAAACTGTCAACACTGAAGAACAACTGCAGACACCATTTAATTACTAAGAGACCGAAACAACCCAACTTCCATCACTATCCAATCAGTCTCACTCGCTCATCAATCCAAACTTCAACAGGGAACCCTACTCTCAATCACTCCCAACATGGACGACTCCAAACAAAAAATATATAAATGGAATGTCATTCAAATTACCGGAAAAGGATGAGACTTCACAACGTTACAGTAGACGGAGATGGTAAGAAGCCGATGAAAAGGGTAGCAGGGGAGCTCTCCTGCCGACCAGTTCAGCTTTCCCTATCTGCTCTTCCACAGTTACTCTTCACAACGCGACGGTGAAAGACGCGGCAACCCAACAAGCAAGCTGCGGAAACTAACAGCTAAAGCAGGCAATGGTCCCTTGGTTAGTTGGTTCTCTCTCTCTCTCAAATCTCCCGGCGCCGGCGGCTCCTTCCCTCCATGCGAGGTAAGAGTTGTGACCAGCAGTTCCAGGAATGCGCTCCGCCTAATACGACACCGTTCTACCGTTTTATTTTATTTATATATAATTAATCACTCTGCCTTTTACTTTTACAGCTTCATCCATCAACATAGCAGAAATGTGGAGTGGGCTTTACTCCACCCGGAGATTAAAGTATCTCCATGGCCCAACATCAATAGCTAACACAACAAATCGTTCTAGACCTACCAAATTAGGACCCGACATGTTGATCCAACATGGGGAAAATAAAAATTACAAGACTCACTGACAACACGAGGTAGCTCGTGTGTAACCGGACTATCGATGAACTATCTTTTGTGGAAGACTAAACTTCAGCCACTCTTTCGTTATCACCGTCGTCTCATTAGCCATGTCGTCAACACCTCATGTGCTCCGTGACCACAATTGAAAACCAACCCAATCCAACTTCTAATGAGTGGTATGAGGGTGATCAACTTGTCCTCTACTAGAATGAATCCCAGGATAAAGTAATGAATCGATTGACTCTCGCACAATCGATTCACTACTTACGATTGAAGAAGTTCCCTTAACCCAATTAGATTCTATCGATTCTAAGTTAAAGCAGAAATTAAGAGAATGTAATCAAAATTCAATTGACTAAAATAATCATGCCTCAATTGAGTAAACCCAATCAGTTTAACATCCAAAGGTCCATACAAGAAGGATTCTAATACATGGAACTAGGGTTCTTCATGTCCCAGTGAGAAGGAGGTTTACTCCATACAGAGAGAGAAAACCAAAATCAAAGCAGACATACTCATGGAGATGTGTATAAGATGCTCTGGGATGCCGATTTGCTCTCCAAGAGGTGAAATCCAAGCTTCAATGGTGGTATCTCAACTCAAATCAGTTATAAGATTTTGTTCTTCGTCATTTTTTCCCTTGAGAGCTATGTTTTTACTCCCAAAAGTCGGATCTGTTTCAAAATGCTCGAATTTGGCAATTAACCATGTAGCTTACCAAAACACGATCGTGTTTGCTACCCGTGTTTTGGTTTTGCCCGTGTTTTCAGCCTTCCCTGTGTTTCACTTAACCGAGTACAAAGTTACGATCGGATAACCGAGTACAAAGTTACGTTTGTTTGAAGTTTCGGAGGTTAGGCATTCATAAAAAAAACATATTTGGAGCGGAACGTAGGGGGGTGTGACGGTTTGGCCTAGATCGCAGAGGTGGTGCACGATCGATCTGACTGCAGCCACCCCACGCGGTCTATAGGCGGCAAGAACGGAAATCGCAGCACCCCCCGGCGGTCCTTGCCTAAACCGCCATGGGGGCTGCGGTCCTTGTGATGAATGTTTTTGGGAAAGAATGGAAATCGCAGCACCCCCCGACGGTCCTCGCCTAAACCGCCATGGGGTTGCGGTCATTGTGATGAATGTTTATGGAAAAGAATGGAAATCGCAGCACCCCTCGACGGTCCTCGCCTAAACTGCCATGGGGGCTGCGGTCCTTGTGATGAATGTTTTTGGGAAAGAATGATATTTTTGAATTTTTTTAGTTTTTAGGTGGTATATTGGGAAAATTTTCTTAACACTCTGTTTGGGAAGAGGTGCAAATGGGAGGGGTAAGCACAGTTTTTAATACATTTGCACCCGTTTGGTTAATTTGTAACTAATAGCGGGGGTGCTAAATGGGGTGCAAAGTTATTGTTCCGGCTTACCCCAAAATTGGGGGTGTAAGGGAAGGAAGGAAGAATGGAGGAGGGGGAGAGAAGGGAAATTATTTTTCTAATTATATAATAATTAATATTATCAATTTATTTCTTATGATTATCATTAATGTAGATATGTTCGGGGTTGAGTGTTTGACTCCAAAAGCAAGTTTATCAATGTTCGTCTAGTCAAATCGAGATCTTTTGGTTGACTCGAATTTGCATTGGAAATAAGAGATAAGAAATGCTTATGGAAAATGTAACAAGTAATGGTTTGGTTGACTCGGTTTACTTGACTCTATAGTTAAAACTTACAGATCCGACCGTGTTTGACTAAGTTTGGCCATATTCAATTAAAAGTTAAATTATACACGAGAACCATGTAGAATGACCAGTTACGAGTTGGACATCGAGTTTGGAGGTCGTTCGATCAGTGATTATTATAGTTGTTATAATTAATTATTACTTGAGCATTATTATATAATAATTATTTTATTAATGTAAATTTATTTTGTTATTTTCTTATAATAATTTATAAATTTGATAAATTTATTTTATAATAATATAATTACTCACTTTCCATTCTATTTTTTTCATCCAAACAACAATTTATGTCTCCACTTACACCCACCACCAATTTGCACCTCCTGCAATTAGGGGTGGGCAACGGGACGGGACGGGATACCCGTCCCGTTTTAAACGGGTACCCAGTCCCATTTGGAGGCCAAAGTCCTTCCCATGTCCCAAACCCATATGGGAAACGGGTACCCATTACCCGTACGGGACGGATAACGGGTACCCATAATACCCATAAATACCCAAAGTTTCATTCCCTTGACTGGCTTCATTCCCTTGATTAGCCATGGAAACTATAAACCAAATCAACATAAACCAAATAGACAGATGCTGGAAATTAGAAACATAATTAGTAATTAGCATAACAAACCTAACTTGTAATTAGAGTCCAGAATATGTACTATAAGTAGAAAAGAAAAGAGAATGGCAACTGCATACCTAAATAGATAACAAACCTAACTAGTAATTAGAGTCCAGAATCTCGTTGTCGGCCTGTCGCTGAGCTGGCGCTGGGTGGAGGACGCTGTCTCACACTCTCGCTGTCTGACTGTCTCGCAGTTAAGTGAAAGCCGAAAAGGAATAGGTAGTCAGGCAGGGTAAGGGCCGACTAAGGGTAAGGGCCGAAATGGCCAATGCCCAATGCCACATTTCTGAATTAGTGAATTGGGTTGGGGTGTTGGGCTGTGGGCTATTTCTGGTAAATGGGTATAACGGGTACCCACATTACCCAAACGGGTATTTGCGGGTAACCCGCGGGTACCCATATTACGAATGTACAATCCCAAGTTCCATCCGTTTATAATAATACGGGTAATATGGGTATCCGTAACCCTTAAAAAACGGTACGGGTACGGGTATACCCAAATACCCGTTTCCCGTTGCCCACCCCTACCTGCAATTTACCCTCAACTTGCACTCTTCTTGAATTTGCACCCATTCTTGATTCTTGCCTAGTCGCTCAACTTTTTTTTCTTTTTCTTTTTCAATTTCTGTTAATTATTTCCAGCTTGTCTTTGGATATGATTCGGCTAGTGTAAACAGGATGTACAAACACCACTTCAAAATTATTCTTTTATTCCTTTAATTTGGACAACATTTGATGGATTTGTTGCTGATCCAGTACCGCCAGTCTTTCTCACTTATAAAAACCAAGTCAAAGGGCACCACTGAACCAGCAACAAGCAAAGAGGGAAGGGAAGGGAAGCAAACGGTGCCATTTGTCCGACTGTCGGGAATAGAGAAGAAAAAGGTAAAAGGAAGAGGACGCAGTTCATACACCGGACCAGGTTGGTTGGTTAATTAATTAGTAATAATCATTTCCATAACCAACTACGGTTGTCTTCTCTTCTGGCCTACACCCAACTACCATTAGTGGGAGCTTCACTTAATATTAATCAGCATTATTGTTTAAGTAGCGGGGAAATAGTCAATATTAATCCTGGTTTCAAATAACGCCATGGCCATCTAACTTTTCTATTTGGTTCTATTTTGTTGAGTAACCAACGAAGGGGACTCACCTGTCGTTGTGGAAACCAACATATACTTTTGTAAATTAACCGGTTTCAACCATTCTTGTTCGAAAGAGATTTATGTATGATATTTAATAATTTCTTTTACACGTCTTCTTGAACTAAAGGCAACACATGAGATTGAAGTTTATACTGGTTCAGTCATACCATGTGCTTTAAGACAACGGTTAATATTGAGGGTTGTGAGGACTTGAACATGTGACCCTCAATGACAACTGATTTTAATAACTCGAGATGTTGAGAGAGATCTGTGTACGGTACTTAACCACTTCTTTGCACGCACTCTCAAACGAAAAGCCAACTCATGAGTATGAAGTTTGCACATATACAACCATACAATGTGCTTTAAGACAACGGTTATTAATATTGAGAATCTTAAGAACTTAAACACATGACCTCAACAACCACAACCAGTAATGATAGATTCAATATCACAAACCAACTGATTTCAATAACTCGAGTTGTTGAGAGATTTACATAACTCCATATATCATATTTAATAACTTTCTTGTACATATACACATCCACCAGATAAGAGAAACATTCAAAGAGGATTGGATTCGACGTATGATGTGAGGACGTCTGCATAAGCTTCGACTTGCATTAGTTTACAATATATATTCCATGTCCACTTCACCTGCTACAGCTTTAACACACGGTTTTAGAACTAACTAAACAAAAGATTAATCCCATGATAGAAAAAGTAATACCAACTCTGAACCAATTAAACCCCGTAGCCAGCAGATCAATTCCACTCTTTCCCGCCATATATAAATACCAGCATTCAATCACTCCTCTCTCAGAACATCCACACTTCATAGCAACTACTCGGTCTCTTCTTCAATCGTCAAGCCTGCTACTCGATCTCTTCTCTTCCGGTTTATTGATTCATGCACAATATGAAGAAGGCTTGCACTAGCCATGAATTGTTTGGTGGGATGCTGTTGCTCTTCTTGACCATGCTGCTCGTCCCAGCTGTGTACTCTGATCCGTCTCTCAAAGTGGGCTTCTACAAGCGATCTTGTCCTGCGGCGGAATCCATTGTGAGGAAAACCGTCAGAAGGGCAGTGTCCCGCAATCCTGGAATTGGCGGTGGGATTATCAGGATGCATTTCCATGACTGCTTTGTCCGGGTAAGTACATCTAATCTAATAATTTCATCCTAAACCTCGTGATATTCGGGCTCGATCTGTATGTCTTAATCACTTCCTTACACACCATGACAATTGCAGGGTTGTGATGGTTCCGTGTTGCTGAAATCGGGGCCAGGTGGTCAGCAATCAGAGAGGGACCACCCGGCCAACAATCCGGGGCTGAGAGGATTCGAAGTAATCGAGGAAGCCAAGAACAAAATCGAGTCCCTCTGCCCCAACACCGTCTCCTGCGCCGACATCCTAGCTTTCGCCGCCAGGGACAGCTCCAATAAGCTCGGCCGCATCAACTACGCCGTCCCTGCGGGTCGCCGGGACGGCCGCGTCACCGTCTTCGACGAGGTCACCGAGAACCTCCCTCCACCGACCTCCACCGCCGACCAACTCGTCGCGCATTTCGCCCGGAAAGGACTGTCGGTCGACGAGATGGTCACGCTCTCCGGCGCGCATTCCATCGGCGCGTCGCACTGCTCGTCGTTCTCGGCCCGCCTCTACTCCTTCAACGGAACGCATGATCAGGACCCGTCCCTCGACCGGAAATTCGCGGCGGCTCTGAAGGCCACGTGCCCCCAGCCGTCGCGAAACGGTGGCGGAGGCCGTGATCCGTTGGTGCCGCTCGACTCGGCCACGCCCAACCGGCTGGACAATAAGTACTACGTGGAGCTGACAGCGGGGCGGGGGTTGCTGACGTCGGACCAGACGTTGGTGGAGAATTCGCTGACGAGCAAGTACGTGGCGGTCAATGCTAGGTACGGCGCCACGTGGACTGCCAAGTATGTTAAGGCTATGTTGAGGATGGGTTCGATTGATGTGTTGACCGGAAGTCAAGGTGAGATTCGGAGGAGCTGTAGCTTTGTCAACTGATGGTGGAATTGGAAGCTTACGATGGCGAGGATGGGTTCGATTATCACCTTTTTCTGTCTTTCTCAATTTTCAAATATGTGATTTTTCGCAATTATCATTCTTAATCCAAGGTGTGTGATATGTAACTTGTAATGATGTTAGGATGTCTAGCAATGTTTATTTTTCGTGGTATCATTCTTCTTTGTTTTTTCATAGCGTTTGAAAAAAATAATTTGGTGTTGATTTTGTCACATTGTTAACATAATTTGATAATTTGATAATTATTTTTACATACTTAGTAATACAGACTATTTTTCTTTGTCGCGTCAATTAATTAATAGTAATAATTACAACATTATTTTTTTCTCATACTTCCAATAAACTTGCATCCATGGTTTAAAGGTCAGCCGATCAACCTCGACTATCTTATCTGCCTTAACATGCTCAAAGTTGCACCTTTTTTTTTACAAGAATAAACTTTTACTTCACCATTCGAATGAAACATGAAACAGCTTACGAACTCAATAAAGATTAGATCAACAAAATTAATCCAATCATCTAGAAGCGAATCTCTGGCCTTCGATCGCGCAACCCAATCAGCTTTGATATTGAGATTTCTTGGCACCTCCTTGACCTTAACCCTATGTTCTTGAAGAGTGGAAAAGGAGGGGAAGGGAAAAAGGGGAAGGAAAGTTGGAATTCCCAAACATTTTCCTCCGTTTCCGAAGAGATGAACAGTGCGAGAGGAAAGAAAAGGGGCTGGAAAAAACACTGTTTCACCCTCCCCTCCAAATCGGAGGGAAAACACTGAGTGGGCTTAGTTTCTTTTTTATTTTATTTGCATCATCTCTCTTTTATCTTTCTTCTTTGTTCTTTTTTCCCCTTTCTTCTTCGTTCTTTCTTTCCACAAAACCCAGAAAATTCATCACCTGCAAAAGGAAGAAAATAATTGGAAACCAATTGAAAGTGAAAAAAAGAATAAAAACGAACCCAGAAAAACATCTCTCAGTTGAAGCTACTCTGTTGCCCCCACCGTCGTTCGTCGGCGAGGATGTCGACGGCCGTCACTGGTCATCTCTTTTCATCGATGTAATTAGGACCTCAAAACAACTAAACTCAATTAAAATCAAGAAAAATACAGAAAATAAAAGAAAAGATACATGCATGCCTTGATCTTACCTGAATCGATGCTCTACTTTTTGGATTGGGTTAACCCAAATCGTTTTGTAGGCCGAGAGAGGGAGAGGAAGAAGAAAGAGTGGGAGAAAAGGGATCTCTGTACATGCAGAAAAAAAATAAGAACAGAACAGGTCTAGGAATTGTTTTTTTCGATTACAAGAGACAAGAGAGCGCCATGGTGAAGGGACTAGGGAGTAGGAAAGAGTAACGGGTTTATGGGGTTATTTTTTAATTGAGTGGAGAGAAAGCAGGTGGTCAGATTAATAGGATGGAGTAAATTTGGTGACAATTTAATTGAGATTGGTAGGGGAAATTAGGGTAGTATTTGGTCGTTTAATTGGAAAGAGCAAGGCATTTATTAATTGAATAAGTAATTTGCATATTTATTTGTCAAATATTAATTTTAAAATATTTTATAATTATTAGATGTGTCATTAGTTTATAGACACAAACGACATAAATCGCAAACTACAAACTTACGGTGTATTTTGTGTGTTTAAAACTCTCATTTTGTATCATAAGTAAAATATTAACATACAATCAAATTATTTTACTATTATATAACCAATAAAATAACATATTCATCACACTTTCCAAAACATACTTTCCTTTCACTTTCCTCCATAAAACAACATTTTCCTCCCAATTTCCTTCACTTCCAAATCTCCCTTCCCCTCCTAATTTTCCTTCACCTCCCCTCCTTTTCCTCCCTTCTTCGTAAACAGAGGGTAAAGAAAGGGGTTTGTCCTGAGAATCGTGACAATAGAGCCAATCCATGCAACACACCGCCACGTCCAACTTGCTTGATTTTGATTCAACGCTTTAACCAGCACCTGGCAGTCGAATAGGGCCATGCATTCGGAACCATATTCTTGTGCTAATTTTACTCCTTCAAAAAGAGAGCGTTAGTTTATGCTTCAATCGGGGTGGAACAAAAAAAAGCATCGACTCGTCTAGAGGTGGCAATTTTAATCCGATCCACCAATCCAATCCATCAATCCATTAAAAATATCCACCTAATTCAATCCATTTAAATCCAATCCATTTTATCCAAATCCAATTGGATTGGTGGATTAATGGATTGGATCCATGGAGCATTGGCAAATTACGATTTAGTACCTATAATTTTTATTTTTTGCATTTTGGTACCTAAAATTTAATTTTTTATACGAAAAATATCATTGGAAAATTACATTTTGGTACCTAAAATTTTTCATTATATCATTTTAGTACCTAAACTTTTTACATTTTACATATTGGTCCTTGGTTGAGAATGTCATTTGGATTCATGGATAATCCACCAATCCACTTGATCCAATCCATAAATCCACCAATCCATTAGATCCAATCCATTTAATCCATGGATCTACCAATCCAATCCACCAATCCAATCCATTTGCCACCTCTAGACTCGTCCATCATACACTTGTTCATGGTGGTTAACAACCAAAACACGTAATCTGTGTTTATACTCTCTCTCTCCATTGTGTTGCTATTTATGCGTTCACTATCTGCAGTATTCTAGCTATGTTCTGTTCTCTATCAAAGCTGTACTTTAAATACACTCAACCAATAATACAACAGTACAATAGTCAATGGCATTTCACCTGCTACTTCCCCCCTAATGAGCTCACAACTCGGACAAATATATGTGATTTAAGTCCTAAAGTAGAGACCCTCCAGATGTTCGCTCGCTCCTAAAATCGTAACTGCTCCAGCGATAATACATGCACTTGGTCTGATGATTCTTGGTATAGTCTTCCATGTGCAGAGTGGCCAATCTGAGAGGCGCAGCTGTGGCATTTAGCTTGGCTTCCAAGCCTGCTTTCACTGGGGATAATGTATTATTAATCTTCAGCTGAAGGACATCGAACTAGGCACAAACATCTACTAATCTCGGCTCAGCTTTCTACAAGATTGATGATAGACTAGACGAATTTGGCTAGGATGATGCTAACAATCAGCTCAACCCTTCTTTCACCCCGAAATCATCCGACGGAGGTGAATGAAAGGCCCGCATTTGGAGGAGTAGGAGAATCAGTGGTATGATCTGCTCACAAAGGCACCAGGAAACCATTTTGGGAGGAGTGAGTATTTGGCCTTAACAAGCAGCACGTACATCCCATAAAAGGGGACGTGCACCACAGCGATGGCGAAATACCTGCAATCGAAGCCAAATTAGGACTTTTTCTAGAGACTGAATCTACTACAAACCTACAGGTATAGTTGATGTCGGCCTCAAGATTCAAAAATCGGCAGCACTGGAACACAAACTACACAAAGGACCATACATACGTACCATAAGGGAGCCCATGGCGTATTGAGCTCCAAGAATTCGTATGGCCACCTGTGGAATGAATGGTTATATAACTTATTAGAGAAGGTGTAAGATGTGCATTAAGTAGAAGTACAACTAGGCCAGGAGATAGAACAAAAGCTACAGCATTACCCTGAGATCCCACCGACGTGAAGCGCCCATTGGAAAACCATGTAGACACAGCTCCACAGCACAAAATATAGAAATCCGAACCAAGGAAACGGCTGCAAACCAAACATGAGAGGTGTTTTCATACTATTTAGATTTGAGGGTGTCAGGAATTATAAAGCAGAGTTGTGTGTAAGCTAAAGGGAATGAAGATGGAGGGGGAAAAAGGAAGGGAGAGCTTACAAGGTTGTTGAGGATAGTATCAAGGATTAGGAACGCAACATTCAGAGAGTGGATGCAGCCCATCAACTGCCAGAAACACAAGTGAATCTCCAATTAACTCCTTGTAGAAGCAGTAAGGGTCAGATGGAAGGAACTGAAGATAGACTTCTAAGGTAAAAAAGGTGAAAATACCACATCCAGATGAAAATGCTCGTCGGATTGAAATGGAAGAAGAAGACACCAGAACACAATGTCAGTCAGGATCACAGCTCCCCCACAAGTCTTCTCAAGCAGCAAGGAGAAAAGAGATCAGAGACCAATTACAAATCCATTTTCCTCGAAAGTGACAGTTCATATACACACTAATTCTCAGTGTAGCCACGTATTGGAGGATCCAGCATGGCTCTATCACGATTTCAATATGTATGATTCTTTCACGATTATATCATCAGTTGAACGGGGCCTTGACCGTTGCTTACCACACCATAGGTGTTAAAATAGCTTGACCATTGGCATGTTCTCTGCATCCTTTTATACATAATCATAAACCGAACTCTAAAAGCTAGGAAGAAGCTTGAAGTGACACAAAATTTGCACAATTCGTATAATCTTAGAAGTTAGAAGAAAAACTTCAAAACCCCACCTGATATACAGTGAGCATGAGGTAACCCCAGAACCCAGCTTTCAACTGTACTGTTTCATCAGTTCCTCTAATTCCTCTTCCCCCTTTATCAATATCATCCAAACCCGTCTCAAGAAACAAAGAGGCTTCAGCGGTTCCAGCTCCAGATGGTGATTGGTTTTGGGATTCCCAGTAACAACCATATGCAGAAATGACGGTCCCCAACTACAAGTGAAGTTGTATTTTTCCATTTCAATAAGCAGAACAATATGTATGAAAATGGTTTCTTTCTGGTCTAACAACATACCGCAAAGTAGACCATCACAAGCGTAAACGTCCACCTGAAAAATATTTGACAGAAACAGCAGCCAAAATTCAGAATCGCCCAACTTAACCCACATCCTAGAAATGCCGAAATTATCTCACTTTATCCAGAAATTACGAAAATTCCCAGTTTGGAAGCGTGAAGGAGGGCCCAAGCTCCTCGTAGAAATGAGGGGGAAGGGGGCTTACTGAGTGTAGAAATAGTAGGTAAAGATCCCATCGACAGCGGCGACTCCATAGAGTACGGGGGCCAAGCAAACGAGCGCAAAAGCTCTGAAGACAAGAAGGTAGAGAGGGTTGAGGCATCTCCAGCAGGATTTCCAGAGATCGCTGTAGTAGAGAGTCTCTGCGGCTCTGGATTTCTTGATAATAATACAAGCGGCCGCCACTCCAGGGCCGACGACGATGAAAGCACAGATTGCCACTTGCCATCGCAGCCAATACCCAATTCCTCCGTCGTCGGGATTTGACATTTGGGCGGTGGGTAAAGGACGAGCGAGAGATTGGAGGTAGAGTCTGCTCGAAGTCGGATTGCTTGGGTTGGTGTGGTAGTTAAGGTGGTTGACTCGGTAAATGACTCGAGAGTCGAGATGTCCTCCTACTGGATTTGGGCGGCATTGAACTCGCGTGATTTCTCGTACATGGGTGGGCTCTTATAGGGAAAAATGATCCACGGCAAGATAGCAAGGTGTACCATCTATCAGCTGGGTAATGGTGTATTGCGCGCTAGGTTGTCAACTAACTGGGCGTTGGGTCGTGTTTGGGTTGGCACGGCACGTGCACACTTCAGGTTATTTATTTTGTATGGTGTTTGGTACATCTTGTCAGTTTTCGTGTCGTGCCGTACTATTTCATTTGTTAATTTTGCTAGGCCCAGGCCCGAACACAGTTTGAGTCGTGTTTATGCCTATCTCATATTCGTATTTAATGAAAAAGAAATATAACAAATAAGGGGAAAAGAAAATTGGAAGTATGGCGAGTGTGATTTGACTTTATTTAATACTTCGTTCATTTTTATTTATGGTAGTAATTAGGTATATATCTATATGATCACTTATAATAACAACAAATATTTTTTATTGTACTTGTATTTTGTAATATTTGAACCTATAATCATTTTATATTTATTTTCTATCAAATAAATCTTCTTTTCGTACCATGTTCGTTACTATACTCAAGAAGGTCTAAAAAATATTATGTCTGACACGGTCCACTAACAAATCGTGTCATGCCCGTGCTCGTGCCCATGAAGTTTAGGCCCGACATGACCCATAAATTATTTGTGCTTGTGCCGGGCCGACCTATATATTTTGTGCACGTGCTCGTGTCGTGCTCTAACTGTGTCGTGCCGTGCTAGCCCGTGGGCGACCCGGCCCGTTGCCCATGTACATTGTCAACCCGCGGGTCGATCTGGACCCGGTTGAGCTAGTAGGTCATGAATTAATGGGTCACCCGGTTTAGCCCGATCTAGCCCGACATTCATCTAAAACATCTAAAATATAAAACATCTCAATCCTAATTCCAATTCGTGTTCGTTTGCATTTATTGGAAGTTGGAACCAAGTTCCAAATCCAACTAAGTAACTAACCTTTACCAGTAATTCAATCCAATTAAATAGAGGGAGGAGACTAGGATCCATAGACTTCGAAATCCAAGTAAAATGGTCCTTCGGAAAAAAAATCGCAAAAAATTTACGAAAATGCCACCCGAAAACGAATTACCCCAAATTGTTGCTTGATGGACTTAATCGTCGGTGGAGAATAGGATCCATAGACTTCATCATTTCTGGAGAATAGCCTCGGGCCTAATCCGTGATCCACAACCTTCAAAATCGAAAGAAAATGGCATTTCGGGAAAATCGCCCGAAATCTGTGATGGTACCCCTTTGGAATCTACCAAAAATTGACTGGAATAAATTTGCCTAAGTTGGTGCTTTAGGGACTTAATCATCGTTGAACAATAGTCGCAGGACGAATCTATGATTTGTAGCTTTCAAAATCCAAGTAATATGGCCCTACGAAAAAAAGTGCCAAAAAATTACGATAATGCCAGCAAAAAAAAAATTACCCCAAATTGTTGCTTAATGGACTTAATCGTCTGTGGAGAATAGGATCCATAGTCTTCACCATTGGCGGAGAATAGCCTCGGGTCGAATCCGTGATCCGTAGCATTCAAAATCGAAAGAAATAGCATTCTGGAAAATCGCCATAAATCTATGATGCTACCCCTTTGCAATCTTCCAAAAATTGACCTGGAACAAATTCGCCCAAATCGATGCATAAGAGACTTAATCATCGTTGAAGAATAGTTACAGGCCGAATATGTGATCTATAGCATTCAAAATCCAAGTAAAATGGTCCTTCGAAAAAAACCCGTCAAAGAATTACGAAAATGTCATCCGAAAATAATTTACCACAAATTGTTGCTTAATGGACTTTATAGTCAGTGGAGAATATGATCCATAAACTTCATGATCGGTGGAGAATAGCCTTGGGCAGAATCCATGATTCGTAGCCTTCAAAATCGAAAGAAAATGGCATTTCGGAAAATCGCATGAAATCTGTGTGGTATCCCTTTGAAATCTGCCAAAAATGGATCCGGAATAAATCCGCCCACATTGGTGCTTAAGTTACTTAATCATCGTTGAAGAATAGTCTCAGGCCTAATCTGTGATATGTAGCATTCAAAATCCAAGTAAAATGGCACTTCGTAAAAAAATAGCAAAAAATTAACGAAAACACCATCCGAAAACAAATTACCCCAAATTGTTGCTTAATCGACTTAATCGTCGGTGTAGATTAGGATCCATAGACTTCACCATTAGTGGAGAATAGGCTCGGGCCGAATTCGTGCGATTTGGGCGGATTTATTTCGGGTCAATTTTTGGAAGATTCCAAAGGGGTACCGTCATATATTTTGGGCGATTTTTCCAAAATGTCATTTTCTTTCGATTCTGGAGACTGCAGATCACAGAATCAGGTCGAGGCTATTCTTCACTGATAATGAAGTCTATTGATCCTATTCTCCACGGATGATAAGTCCATTAAGCACTGATTTGGGCCATTTTATTTTCGGAAGACATTTTCGTAATTTTTGGGCGACAAAAGACCATTTTCTTTGGATTTTGAAGGCTACAAATCATGGATTTGGTCTTAGGCTATTCTTCAACAATGATTAAGTCCATTAAGCACCAATTTGGGCGGATTTATTCCGGGTCAATTTTTGGCAGATTCCAAAGGGGTACCATCACAGATTTCAGGCAATTTTTCCAAAAGGGCAATTTCTTTCGATTCTGGAGGCTGCAGATCACAGAATCAGGCCGAGGCTATTCTCTAGCGATAATGAAGTTTATTGATCTTATTCTCCACGGATGATAAGTCCATTAAGAACCGATTTGGGCCAATTAAATTTTGGATGGCATTTTGGTCATTTTTTGGGCGACGAAGGCCATTTTCTTTGGATTTTGAAAGCTGCAGATCACAGATTTGGCCCGAGACTTTTCTTCAACGATGATTAAGTCCATTAAGCACCGATTTGGGGGTATTTATTTCTGTTCAATTTTTGGCAGATTCCAAAGGGGTACCATCACATATTTCGGGCAATTTTTCAAAAATGGCATTTTCTTTCAATTCTGGAGGCTGCAGATCACAGAATCAGGCCGAGGCTATTCTCCACTGTTAATGAAGTCTATTGATCCTATTCTCCACTGATAATGAAGTCTATTGATCCTATTCTCCACGGATGATAAGTCCATTAAGCACCGATTTGGGCCAATTCATTTTCGGATGGCATTTTCGTAATTTTTTGGGCTATGAAAGGCCATTTTCTGTGGATTTTGAATGATACAGATTACATATTCGGGCTGAGGCTATTCTTCAACGATGATTAAGTCCATTAAGCACCGATTTGGGCGGATTTATTCGGGGTCAACTTTGGACCGATTCCAAAGGGGTACCATCACAGATTTCGAGCGTTTTTTTTCGAAATGCCATTTTCTTTCTATTCTGGAGGGTTCAAACCACGGAATCAGGCTGAGGACTTATCATCCATGGAGAATAGGATCACTAGACTTCATTATAGGTGGAGAATAGTCTCGGCCTGATTCCGTGATCTGTAGCCTTTAGAATCGAAAGAAAATGGCATTTCGGATAAATTGCCCGAAATCTGTGATGGTACCCCTTCGGAATCTGCCAAAAATGGACCTGGAATAAATCCGCCCAAATTGGTGCTTAATAGACTCAATCATCGTTGGAGAATAGCCTCATGCCGAATCCGTGATCTGTAGCCTTCAATATCCAAAGAAAATGGCCTTTCGTCAACCAAGAAATTACAAAAATGCAATTCGAAAATAAATTGGCCCAAATCGATGCTTAACGGACTTATCATCCATGCAGAATAGGATCAATAGACTTCATTATCGGTGGAGAATAGCCTCGGCCTGATTCCGTGATATGTAGCCTCCAGAATCGAAAGAAAATGGCATTTCGGATAAATCGGCCGAAATTTGTGATGGTACCCCTTTGGAATCTGCCAAAAATTGACCCGGAATAAATCCGCCCAAATCAGTGCTTAATGGAATAATTAATCGTTGGAGAATAGCCTCAGGCCGAATCCGTGATCTGTAGCCTTCAATATCCAAAGAAAATGACCTTTCGTCGCCCAAGAAATTACGAAAATGCTATTCAAAAATAAATTGGCCCAAATCGATGCTTAACAGACTTATCATCCGTGGAGAATAGGATCAATAGACTTCATTATCGGTGGAGAGTAGCCTCGGCCTGATTCCGTGATCTGTAGCCTCCAGAATCGAAAGAAAATGGCATTTCGGATAAATCGCCCGAAATCTGTGATGGTACCCCTTTGGAATCTGCCAAAAATTGACCCCGAATAAATCCGCCCAAATCGGTGCTTAATGGAATCAATCATCATTGGAGAATAGCCTCAGGCCGAATCCGTGATCTGTAGCTTTCAATATCAAAAGAAAATGGCCTTTCGTTACCCAAGAAATTACGAAAATGCCATTCAAAAATAAATTGGCCCAAATCGATGCTTAACGGACTTATCATCCGCGGAGAATACGATCAATAGACTTCATTATCGGTGGAGAATAGCCTCGGCCTGATTCCGTGATCTGTAGCCTCCAGAATCGAAAGAAAATGGCATTTCGGATAAATCGCCCGAAATTTGTGATGGTACCCCTTTGGAATATGCCAAAAATACCGGGAATAAATCCGCCCAAATCGGTGCTTAATGAACTCAATCATCGTTGGAGAATAGCCTTAGGCCGAATCCGTGATTTGTAGCCTTCAATATCCAAAGAAAATGGTCTTTCGTCGCCCAAGAAATTACGAAAAGGCCATTCGAAAATAAATGGGCCCAAATCGATGCTTAACGGACTTATCATCCATGGAGAATAGGATCAATAGACTTCATTATCGGTGGAGAATAGCATCGGCCTGATTCCGTGATCTGTAGCCTCCAGAATCGAAAGAAAATGGCATTTCGGATAAATCGCCCGAAATTTGTGATGGTACCCCTTTGGAATATGCCAAAAATACCGGGAATAAATCCGCCCAAATCGGTGCTTAATGAACTCAATCATCGTTGGAGAATAGCCTCAGGCCGAATCCGTGATTTGTAGCCTTCAATATCCAAAGAAAATGGTCTTACGTCG